CGCTCACGGCCAACAACATCAAGCGACGATTATCTCAACCGCTCACGGGTCTCTCCTAGGTCGGCTCAGCCTCAAACGAGTACCTGGTGCGACGTCTAAACATCGCCACTGGGGAGACAAAGGCGGCCGGGCTTGGTGCTGGTCACCCACCCCTTGCAGGTGCTACTCGCTATCAGCACTTGCCCCGGCATTCTATCATGGCAATGGCACACCGTGTCAACCCACACCGAAATGTAATGTTCAGGTCCATACGGCGTACAGCCGTTTTACCCTTTGCAGGATGAACGTTGAAGATTTATAAGAGGGGCACGGGGTGACCGATAAGCTCTGAGTTGGACTCCAATACCAACAGCACCGATTGAGAATGTTCTGTTCTCTTATTGGGGGGCAGAGCACTCCAGAATCAGAACATTTATTCATTCTGGAGGAATGCGATGAGCTGTGAAGCTCTTTTTCACAGATGTCCAGTAGGGGCGGGTCAAAACGTTACAATAACAGTTTCAAAACACACCATAGGAGTGCAAAGTACAGGGAAGGTATTCATAAAAAAAAGTTTTTGGGTTATATCGCATAAGTATAAATGTGTCATAAGGGGCCGTCCATAAATGACGTCACGAGATTTTGGACTATTTTTGACCCCCCCCCCCCCCTTTCGTCACACGACGTCACAAAAAGTCAGACCCCCCCTCAAATATGACGTCACAAAGCTCTGCCCACCCCCCCAAAATAAAACCTGCTTCAAATCGCTTTAAACTATTGTCACTGTAGTGCGTATTTAATGTGGCGCTGCACTCTGATGTTGTAGGAGAAAACATTTATTAAAAAGTCTATTTAATTAAGTAGAACGTGTTGTCTATGTTTATTTAACGTTGCGCGTTGTGATGTGACGTCACATTTCTCAACCCCCCCCCACCCCCCGGGTGCGTGACGTCATTTATGGACGGACCCTAACCCTCCACCACACGACACAGCAGGTAAGAGATTTGTCACGTGAACAAGGCGCCAATGAATTTATGACTTCAGCCTACCGGTGTGCTGGAGAGGAAATCCACGACGTTTCCAATTTGAGTTGTACGACGTTTCGCTGGTAGTTACATCAACCAGCATCATCGGGCGATTTGCCAGAATAGTGACGCAATCGACCAGCTTCCAGGTCTTATATAGAGCAGCAGCAGGACGACGTCATCACTGTGGACCAATCAGGTGTAGAGCTCAGAATGGGCGGAGGGGGGGGTTAATTGTATTTATGTAACACTAGATTATGATTAAGTTAATTAGCGTTTCCTTTATTAGGAATACAGTTATAAGGCGTATAATACGCTTCCAGGCCGCACTAAGCCTGTAGCTGTCAGAGCGGTTTAAATTATTTATATTTCTCTCAATTTCAATAGATTCTCCCAATTAGCCTTGGCCAGTAATAATCTAATTACTTTTACACAACACTTCAACGTTATTAAAATAAATTGAGTGTCCTTGTTGGCAAGCATGTTCTGCATCTACCCACAGTTGTGTTTGTGAGTTTTTCGTGTTTCTTTTGTGTTATTTTAATCTTACGGTAAAGTTACATCCCGTCTGTCCAATATGGGGCCGTCCATAAATGACGTCACGCGACTTTGGACGATTTTTGACGACCCCCTCGTCACACGGCGTCACAAATAGTCAGACCCCCCCCCTCAAATATGACGTCACAAAGCTCTGCCCCCCCTCCAAAATAAAACATGCTTCAAATCGCTTTAAACTATTGTCATTGTAGTGCGTATTTAATGTGGCGCTGCACTCTGATGTTGTAGGAGAAAACATTTATTAAAAAGTCTATTTAATTAAGTAGAACGTGTTGTCTATATTTTATTTAAAGTTGCTCATTGTGATGTGACGTCACATTTCTCAACCCCCCCCCCCCTCATCACACATCGTCACAAATGTCTGACCCCCCCCCCAGGTGCGTGACGTCATTTATGGACGGCCCCTATAGCATTTGCCAAATAAAAAATCAATCCGATACACACCTGTTGATAACTTTGGCAATTAATCTTTAGAACAAGATACTAGTTTTTTTAATGTTGCTCCAAATATTACTCTGATTTTTTTTGTTTTTTTCCAAAACTCTAGCTATAGTTTATCATTTTTCGATTTAAAGCTTTCGTGACTGCAAGGCTTCATCTTCTTTGGTTCTTTCGCTAAAGTCACGTAGAATGAGAATAAAATAATAATTTAATCAAATAAAATAACACAATAAAATTCGGGACGACAGGTCCCGACAGGTCTGTTCCTTTCACCTGAAGGCCACTTGTGTTGTGGCCGAAACGTCGTGAGAATTTTATTGTTATTTTATTTTATTATTTTATTCTCATTCTACGTGATTTTACCGAAATAACCAAAGAAGATATAGTTTATCGGTTACTCCCGCAATATATATGGTATTGTAAATGTTGTGGATTTACTCTCCAACACACCGGTGGGCTGAAGTAGTATACGAATTGGCGCCTTGTTTACGTGGCAAATCCCTTGCTAATTCGCTGTGTCGGGTGGTGGAGGGTAACGACACAACATTCATACTTACGCCATCTAACCCAAAATAAAACTTTATGAATAATATTGGTCACGATCGCCTACGTGTTAAACTATAGCAGAAGGTAATCAAATAAAACCTATACAAATAAAACTAAACTATTATTTTTATCTTACCAGGTAAATCCCACTGAGCGAAGAGCTTATTTGTCAGAAGCGACCTGATCACGAATAATAGCTCCACAAAGTAGCTTACCATGTGAAAATACACAGCAGCAAGTTAACCTAAATAATCTCTCAACGATTTCGATTTAAAGCTTTCGTGACTGCAAGGATTCATCTTCTTTGGTTCTTTCGGTAAAGTCACGTAGAATGAGAATAAAATAATAAATTGATAAAATAAAATAACACTATAATATTCTCACGACGTTCCGGCCACAACACAAGCGGCCTTCATCAGGTGAAGGGACGAGACTGTCTGGAGGACAGCGCTGGAGTGAAAAAGCCACGCTCAGATCGCGACCTTTAAGCTGTGTGAGAAGAAACAAAGCGCCTTGACAAAGGAATTAGCATAGAATTTAGTATTGAAATGGCTGAGTTAGAGATGCTAAATTCTATGCTAATTCCCTTGTCAATGGGTGTCTCTGCGGATGTGTATGCTTTAACTTTATAGCCATTTCTGTGACCAGTCACAAGCTAATCACTCAGCCATTTCAATGCTAAATTCTATGCTAATTCCTTTGTCAAGGCGCTTTGTTTCTTCTCACACAGCTTAAAGGTCGCGATCTGAGCGTGGCTTTTTTCACTCCAGCGCTGTCCTCCAGACAGTCTCGTCCCTTCACCTGATGAAGGCCGCTTGTGTTGTGGCCGAAACGTCGTGAGAATATTATTGTGTTATTTTATTTTATCAATTATTCTCATTCTACGCGAATTTACCGAAAGAACCAAAGAAGATGAATCTCTCAACGCATGATTCTACACGTGGAGGGTAAATCCCGGAAGACCCGAAGATGAGAAAATCCACGCGTTCACGTTGCAGAGAAAGAGAAACGCAAACTCCAAATAAAACAGCAGGCGTCAGGGTCAGGATCGAACCGTCGAACCTCCTGCATACCGGGCGAGGAAGACAACATCACACGACTCAGCCCCCTCCAGCCCCGCGTCTCCCCCCTCCCCTCCCCCCTCTCCTCCCAGCTCGCTCCCCAGCAGCGCTCGTTTACCTGCAGTGCACGCGTTAATGAGCCAACGGCGCGGTTTAATTATTCCCTGTGACGTCCGCATGACGTTCGCGAATAGCTCCCCACCCCCCCACACCCCCTGCCCACTCACACCCCCTCCCCACTCACACCCCCCCCCCCCCCACACACACCCCACCACCGTCAATGGCCCCCGTGCGAGAGTGTTGGGGGGAGCGGTGGCGCAGTGGTTAGCGCAGCAGTGAGCTGGGAACTCTGCAAATCGACGAGGTCGGCGCGAAAGAAGTGCGACATGCGGGAACATACAAACGTCCACCCGCATCAACCAGTGTGGTGAAGTATGGTCAAACGACTCACGAAGTCCATAAGATAGCGTGTTGGTGTTGATTGAGAAAAGGTTGAGTATTATTATTTGTATGTAAGCAGAACCCTTTAAATGTAAATAGTAGCGCGCGTTTCTTTTATGCTGATAATCTGCATCAATCTTATTGCCTGATAGCTGCTGATTATGTTCATATCAAGGTAGATGATGATGATGATGGTTCGTGGACGAGACGATGCTGATGCTGAACATAACCGTATGATCACGGTGATGGGAGCAATGATGATTTGTTGATGATTATAACTGTTATAATCAATTATCATATTGAACATACATGATGGCGATTATGCTTTTGTGATGACGATGACAATTTAAATGATGCTCATGATTATTATGATGGCGGTCTTCTACTAATCGTGGGGGGCAGTGTGTAATGCATTTATTTTTAGGGTGGGGGGGGGGGGTGGTCTGAATGCATTGGGTTTGCGTAATTGTTTGCGTCATGATGTCTCCCGACACAAGCACAGTGCGTGATGACGCCACAGGACAACGTATGACATCACTCCACGTTCCAGCGCTTGCACTGACAGTCCAATGCACACGCAAAGACAAAGGTCGCCCGTGAAGCCTCTTAACAAACTGGTGGGCCAAGTGCTGTTGCGAACAGCACCTATGCAGGCCGGTACGGCACACGAGGGGGTCGGTGGCCAGCGCCACGTTTTGACGCACGCACACACAGCCGTAGAGACACACGCGCGCCCATAGCGACGTATACCAAAACACAGACACACGCACACCCATAGCGACATACGTATAAGACACACGAGCAACACGCAGCGACACGCATGCACACACGCACACATTTTGACAGACACGCGGACACACACACACACACATAGACACGCGCGCTCCCGAGAAGACATACACGCGCACGCTCACACACAGAGAAGACACACACGCAGAGAAGACACACACACAGAGAAGACACACACACACAGCACAGAGAAAGGAATATTCATCCGCGCGCGCGCGCGCGCGCGCGCACACAGCAGTGAAGCGGTTCGAATCCAACGCGAAAGCCGAAGGAATTTGGAATGTAAATTGGAATATATTTTCTTGGCTGTTTTTATCATCATCATCATCATAGCAGATTGTACGTTTCGGTTTATTTAATAATTTATTCCGCTCGCTGCTGCGGGCGCTGACGGGGAGGGGAAAGAGGAGGAGGAGGGGGGGGGGGAATTCGCGAGGAATTTATTGGTGCGTCTCCGAGCGGGGATATGGAGCTATCCGCGGTGGGGGAGCAGGTGTTTGCCGTGGAGCAAATTCAGAAGAAACGCGTCAGGAAGGTGAGCAGGAGGAATGGCGGTGGGTGGGTGGGTGGGGGTGGGCTTCCTAACATCGTGCCAGCAACTAGCGTGCGTCGTGTTGTCTTTGTGTGTGTGTGTTGTCGCTGTGTGTGAGAGAGAGGTGGCTGTAGCGGTGAGCTACACTGCGCCTGCGAACACCGGCTATGACCACAGAGTTCGATTCGCCCTCACGGCCAAACGGCAGAGACGATTATCTGAACCGGGTCCTGCGCCTCTCCTAGGTCGACTCAGCCTCAAATTATTTCTTCGGTGCGGCGTGTAAAGCATCGCCGCTGGGGAGACAAAGGCGGCCGGGCGTGGTGCTGGCCACCCACCCACCCACCACCTCGTGTGCCGTGTCGCGCCCTTCATAGGTGCTACTCGTTAACAGCGCCTGCCCCAACAGTCCGTTAAGGCTACACGGGGGATCTTTGTCTTTGTGCGCGTTATTTGCCTTTTGTGTGCGCGCGCGAATTTATTGTGTGGAGAGCGGTTCGTGTGCAGCGGTTAACGCGCCGCGCTAGGGACCCGGCGACCCTGGTGCCATTACCCACCCACCACCACCAACAACAACAACAGTGTCGGCGATTATTTGCACCGGTCCTGGCCCAGTTCCTAGGTCAACTAGGCCTCAAACGAGTACCCGGTGCGCTGGGATATATAAATATCAGCGTTGGGGAGACAAAAGCGGCCGGGCGTGGTGTTACCCGCCCTCGCGTGCCGTGCCGGCCTGAATAACGATCCTCGCTTGACAGCACTTGTCCCAACAGTCTGTGGAGGGCTATACGGGGGATCTTTGTCTCATTGTCTTTGTGTGCGTCTCAGTGTACTTGCTTGGGTGTTTTTTTTTGTATGTCGATGTGCATGTATGTACGGTATGTGTCCGTCTATTTGTATTGCGTGTGTGTGGGTAATCTGTATTGTGTCCATGTGTGTATGCATGTCAGCGTCTGTGTGTTAATGTTGGGGAGCGGTGGTGTAGCGGTTAGCACGCTGCGCTACGAACCCGGCCACCCGGGTTCGATTCGATACGAACCCGGCCACCCGGGTTCGATTCCCGCTCACGGCCAACACCGGTGACGATTATCTGAACCGGTCCTGGGCCTCCCCTAGGTCGACCCAGCTTCAAATGGACACGAGGGAGACAAAGGCGGCCCGGCGTGGTGCTGGCCACCCACCCCCTCGTGTGCCGTGCCAGCCTTCATAGGTGCTCGCTAACAGCATTTCCCCCAACAGTCTGTTACAGGCTATACGGGGGATCTTTGGCTATGTGTTAATGTGCGGCTGTAAATTGTTAAATTGTGCGTCTTATGACATGTATAATATTATGTGCGTCGGTGTGCCTGGCGGTATGCATGTATGTCTTCTTACGTATCTGTGTCTATTATGTTTGTTTGTGTGTGTGGGCCAACGTGTGTGTGTGTGTTAATGTGTCTGTCAACCAGCGTGTCTGTGTATGCCCGTGTCTCTTTGCGTGTGACTTATTATGTCTCTGCGTACATATCACTGTGTACGTCTTTACGTGTGTCCTTGTGCGTGTATTGTTTCATGTGTGTCGTCGTGTTTGTGTGTGTGTCTGGGAGGAGCAGTAGTGTAGTAGTTCGCACCCTTGGCCAAGAACCCCGGCCACGTAAGTTCGATTCCCGACCACACCAGCAGCGAATTATATCTGCACCGGTCTCATCATCACTTAGAGTGCGAATAAACATCACAACTGGGGAGACAAATGCTATCCACAACACCCCATGCACTCTATAGCACCGTGCCCGCGTTCGCAGGTGCTGCCATTACGGCACTTGTCCCAACGGTCTATGAAGGCTACCCGGGGGATCTTTGTTAATGTGTGTGTGTGTGCGTGGGTAAAAGTATAATTATCACACACACCATATAAAGATCCCCCGCGTAGCTTTAAATACTGGAAGGGAAAAGGGGGTTTGTTCCACGTCACGCACGCGCACGCGCGCATGCCATATCGTCTATACCAAGTACAATCATAACGGCTGAGTCGACCTCGGGGATTCCCAGGAAAAAAAAATATCGCAGGCGTTATTTTCCATTGAGGTTGTCTATCATGGACGGGAATACAACCTTCGGTGGCCCACCGTTCTGATATGATGGACGAGTTGGTCTAATGACCCACGATGATGATGATACATTAAATGGTCTTATGATGATGATTGAATGATTTTAACAAGAAAATGACATAGCAGTAGGACTCCATGCCGTGTCTCCACATTTAGTAAAACACTCAATCGGCCGATTGGCTTTGCCAAACCCGCAAATTATTCTCATCAGCATTTGGTTTGAGCAAGCAAAATCCCTAAACCGGCTTCGACCTTACTGTTCTCATCAGCAGTCGGGCTTTGTTCACCAAGCGAATTAGCGTCATGTAATTACCCGCCTTTTTATTTTAGTATCGGGATTCATGGTATTATGACAATTCAAGGTCACGGCCATTGCCAGAGTGATGGCACTTGACTGCATTGCTGATGATTCTGCAGATTGCTGATGACCGAATGGCCAATGTAAATTATTTACTTTTTTTCGATTTAAAGCTTCCGTGACTGCAGGGATTCATATTCTTGGTTCTTTCGGTAAAGTCACGTAGAAGGGAGAAAATAAATTAAACAATACAATTCTCACGACGTTTTGATTGCAACACAAGCAATCATCATCTGTGATTTTCACACCTGATGATGATTGCTCGTGTTGCAATCGAAACGTCGTGAGAATTTTATTGTTTAACTTGTAACAGGTCCCTGCAGGGTGCGCTGGTAGGAACATTGGAATTTTGCGCAATTTTATGACATTGTTACTTCCAAATGTTGGGTGCAATAAGACATATCAAGTCTTTGCGCTCTCTATTGCTGATTTTACACCCAACAGCACGAGATTTCACTTCGTTAAAGTATTGAAAGGGGACCGACGGACGGACACATTCATCTATTGCAGGCTGGTACACTCAGTTTACAACTTCGTTCCTACCAGTATTATTTTATTCATCCCCTTCTACGTGACTTTACCGAGAGAACTAAGAACATTTACTTTTCGCTCTTCGGTGATGGCGATTATTTCCGTATAATGTCAACAGGCATGCAAGTTCACCATTCTGAAAACGATTATATTGATACATTACGGTCCGATAAAGTTCGATTGATGATAATGGCAATTAAATGCAGTGGTGGTGATGAGTTGATGATGATGGTGTTACTAACAGCAGTGGTTATGATCGTAGTGTTAAGTGATGCTTATTGGTGTTAAGTGGTGATAATTGTTGTTAAACCCATGCATGTTGATTATTGCTTTTTAACTCATGACGATTGTTACAAAAGGGGATCACGTTGATGATCGTAGTGGTGGCACTACTGAACTAATTGACTATGATGATGGATGTATTAACCCTCTTTATCGATGACGATTATGGTGATTGTCAATTATTGATCATGATGCACAGGGTCGTGTGGAGTATCTGGTGAAGTGGCGAGGATGGGCTCCCAGGTGAATCGTGCATCGCCATCGCACGCATCGCCATCGCATCACCATATCACATCGATTTTTTGTAAAGATCTTTCAGTTCACCTGCGTTGAGGAATCTAACCACCACCAACACTGTAGGTGACAAGACTCACCTATTCACTCACCCGCCCACTCATTCATCACACGACACTACGGGCCGGGCCAAAAGAAGACACTCACTCGCCCTCTCATTCACTCACGTTCTCACACTCCCACCCACCGACTCACTCGCCCAGCCACTGACACTCGCCCGACACGCTCACCACACGGAACTTCTTTCGCACCGCACGTAGCCAAAGCGCGCTAATCGGAGGCGCGATGCTGGTTCGCACCGCTTGTTGTCTGCACAGGCACAACACGTGGGAACCCGAAGAGAACATCCTGGATCCCCGACTCGTGGTCGCCTTTGAAGAAAGGTCTCTCGATGTTTAAATACCGTATGCCCCACATTATAAGACGCTCTGGAAAGTAAGAAGCTCTGGAAAGTAAGACGCTCTGGAAAGTTAGACCCCCCCCCTCCCACCCCGCAAAACCTGTGCCCGGTGTTAATAACGAATAAAGTTACACAAATTTGGCCACACACACACATCGCGTCCGAATTATAAGACCATCCCCGACTCCCGCCACCCCGGACCTTTGCTTTAAAATTCAGGGAGAAAAGTGCATCTTATAGTCCAGGCAATGCGGTGATCATGTTAAGGCATTTTGTTTGATGTTGTTGCTGATGACACGATTTGATGATGGTGAGAACGATAACGATGAATTTCACGACTATGATGACGATGATGACTTTGTAAGGGGATGTTGGTGAATCTGCGATGACGAATACGGTGCATGATGCTGATTGTGAGGGATTTGAAGGATGATTTTGATGTCGACTTTGAATGGATGACGGCGGTGGTGGTGTGGCGAAGATGACATTGAATATCACGTGAAAAAAATTAATGAATGATCATGCAAAATGTGAGAACTGGGAAAATGATAAAATTTGAATATATTTTGAATGACGGTGATGGTGTCGTGAAGACAATGTTGAATGTATGACGATGACTCGAAAACAGTCGTTGACGATTGTGATTGTTGATGTTTCCGAACGGATGCCGACGAAGACTTTGAATGATGACAATGCTTCTGATGGTGGTTGTGATCAGTGTCATGTGGTTGATGACAACTTTGAATGATGACGATGCTTCTGGTGGTGGTTGTGATCAGTGTCACGTGGTTGATGACGACTTTGAATGACGATGCTTCTGGTGGTGGTTGTGATCAGTGTCACGTGGTTGACGACGACGTTGAATTATGACAATGCTTCTGGTGGTGATTGTGATCAGCGTCACGTGGTTGATGACGACTTTGGATGACAATGCTTCTGGTGGTGGTTGTGATCAGTGTCATGTGGTTGATGACGACTTTGAATGATGACGATGCTTCTGGTGGTGGTTGTGATCAGCGTCACGTGGTTGATGACGACTTTGAATGACGATGCTTCTGGTGATGGTTGTGATCAGTGTCACGTGGTTGACGACGACGTTGAATGATGACAATGCTTCTGGTGGTGGTTGTGATCAGTGTCACGTGGTTGACGACTTTGAATGGTGACGATGCTTCTGGTGGTGGTTGTGATCAGTGTCACGTGGTTGATGGCGACTTTGAATGATGACGATGCTTTTGGTGGTGGTTGTGATCAGTGTCACGTGGTTGACGACTTTGAATGATGACGATGCTTCTGGTGGTGGTTGTGATCAGTGTCACGTGGTTGATGGCGACTTTGAATGATGACAATGCTTCTGGTGGTGGTTGTGATCGGTGTCACGTGGTTGATGACGACTTTGAATGATGACGATGCTTCTGGTGGTGGTTGTGATCAGTGTCACGTGGTTGACGACAACTTTGAATGATGACAATGCTTCTGGTGGTGGTTGTGATCAGTGTCACGTGGTTGACGACTTTGAATGACGATGCTTCTGGTGGTGGTTGTAATCAGTGTCACGTGGTTGATGACGACTTTAAATGATGACGATGCTTCTGGTGGTGGTTGTGATCAGTGTCACGTGGTTGACGACGACATTGAATGATGACGATGCTTCTGGTGGTGGTTGTGATCAGCGTCACATGGTTGATGACGACATTGAATGATGACGAAGCTTTTGGTGGTGCTTGTGATCAGTGTCACGTGGTTGATGACGACTTTGAATGATGACGATGCTTCTGGTGGTGGTTGTGATCAGTGTCACGTGGTTGATTACGACTTTGAATGACGATGCTTATGGTGGTGGTTGTGATCAGCGACACGTGGTTGATGACTTTAAATGATGACGATGCTTCTGGTGGTGGTTGTGATCAGTGTCACGTGGTTGATGACGGCTTTGAATGATGACGATGCTTCTGGTGGTGGTTGTGATCAGTGTCACGTGGTTGATGAAGACTTTGAATGACGATGCTTCCGGTGGTGGTTGTGATCAGTGTCACGTGGTTGATGACGATGCTTCTGTGGTGGTTGTGATCAGTGTCACGTGATTGATGACTGAATATTGACTATGCTCCTGGTGGTGGTGGCTGTTGTGATCAGTGTCATGTGGTTGATGATGATGAATGCACTCTGAATGGATGCTGATTCTGCTGCCGATGATGCCAAACGCACAGGGAGCAGAGAGAGCGAGTATTTGGTTTACACAAGCGGGGTCCAAAGCCACGCCGCCTCCTGCTGCAGGTAACGAGAAACTACCGCTACAACAACCATCACTACAACAAAATCACCATCCCTACCACCACTACAAAGATTCCCCATATAGCATTTAAAGGAATGTTGGGGCAAATGCTAAAGCAAACACCTATTAAGGCCGGCGCGTACACATTTAAGGCAGAGACGACCTAAGGGGGAGGGGGGCACAGGGCCGGTTCAGATATTCGTCACCGATGTTGGCTGTGGGTCGTCGGGTTGTTAGAACGTTGCGTTAACCACTGCGTCACCAATACACCATCGACTACAGCAGGGGTGGGGAACGTCCGGCCCCGCGGGCCGTAGAGGGCCCGCGAAATCATTTGGTCTCTGGCCCTGCCAAGGGAACCGCAGGCGGGACTCGAAATTCAACAAATCTAGGAGCAAACCTGGAAAAGCAGTTGCGAGTAGCAGCAACATCATCAATAGCCGCTAACATCATCACACACCTCACCAAAGAGAAGCAGTTCCAGCCATCACATTAGGGGTGAGTTAATGAAATGTTTGACCAAATATAACAGGCAAATTTTAAAGTTGATAATTTTGTATGGCCCGCGAATGATGTTATAAATATCCAAATGGCCCTTGACAGAAAAAAGGTTCCCCACCCCTGGACGACAGCGACATTCTCATAGCGCGGCTGCTGCATCGAGAATTGTGCCATTGCTGTATCGCCAGACGGTGCCGGTTGTCACCATCACCGAAACGTCGTCCCCCAATTCTTAACATTTTGCGAGATCGCTCTCCACCACACCGGTGCGCTGCTGATGCCAGTAATGAACTCGGGCACGTTTGTTCATCACGTGACTTCATTCGTTGGCCGTGCCGGGTGGAAGAGGGTTATTACGACACGCAATTGTAGATACCAAAGTCAATTGCGCATCGTAATATTGCTCGTCAAAGCCTATGGATTAAACGCGTCTGGCCTTGGTCTGCGATAAAGACGATAACCGTATTCACACAGCCCGTTACCTGCACATCCCAGAATCAGTATTCATACCGGAGGAATCCGATGAGCTATAAAGCTTTTTTTCCCCCCACAGATGTCCAGTAGGTATTCTTAATTAACTCCGCTCCCACCCCCCACGACTCCCCATCCCTTTCACTGCCCCCCACCCCACCACTACCCGCTCCTCCCCTCCCCGGCAACCCCCTCGCACCCCCCCTCCCCGACCCCCTCGCCCCGCAGCCAGCACCGTCGCCTCTGGTTTCCCACGCACGCTACCCGCTGCTCGGATATCGCCGGTTCCCTGCATCGCCACCAGCCGTGCCACCGCGCTTCAAGCAGCAGAGTGTGGTGCCGGGCTCGGCTCCCGGTGTCGGCGTAACCACCGTGCGGCCCTCCACCCCGAATCGGCAACAGCAGCCGCAGCCGCCGCAGCCGCCGCAGCCGCCGCCGCAGCAGCCGCCACCGCCGCTCGCTCCTTCCTCCGGACTCGAATTCGGCCGCGGTTCCGGCTACGGTTACGGATTCGGCCAAAACCGCGGCGTAGCAAAGGGCGGCGACGCGAGCCGGGATCGAACCCAGACGTCGCAGCTCGGCGGCGCGGAGGGCGGCCGACCGGAGACGCTGCCGGCGCGCGAGAAAGCGGCGACGGGGCGGTGCGAGCGCGAGGCCGGGGCGCTACGGCAACACGAGCGGCAGCAGCAACAGCAACACCACGAGCGGCATCAGCAGGAGCGGCATCAGCTGCAGTGGCAGCAGCAGGATGAGTGGCAGCAGCAGCAGCAGAAGCGGAAAAAAAAGCGACTCAGGGACAAACAGAAGCGACACCGACACAAGCTACAGCTGCAGCTGCACCGGCTGCAGCTACAGCTACAGCAGAAGCAGCAGGAGACGCAGCAGCAGCAGATAGGACAGCAGGAGACGCAGAAACATGCCCAGGAGACACAGCAGCAGCATCAGGATAAGCATCATCATCAGAAGCAGCAGCATCAGAAGCAGCAGCAGCAGCATAATCAGAAGCAGCATAATCAGAAGCAGCATAAGCAGAAGCAGCATCAGGAGCAGCAGCAACATAAGGAGCAGCAGCAGCAACAACAAGAGACGCAGCCAAAACAGGGCAGCCCTTGCACCGACTCCCATAATCAAGAGCAGCCCATAGACCTGAGCTGTCTCAGTGGAAATGGCTCCAACCAGCTCCCGGCAAGAGGGGTCTCTCCGAGTCAAGGGCATGGCCAAGTGCAAGGGGAGGAGCAGGACCACGAGTTGGATGGATGCGGGGCCTCGGTCGAGGACGGAGTGCCAACGTCCAGCTCCGACTGCGGATCGGAGCCAGGAGCGGACACAAAACACGAGGAAGGGTCCGGGATCGAACGGGGACCCCGGTTCCCGTGGCTTTGGGGCTTCGCCGAGGCGTCGGCGGCAACGGTGGGCGTCACGGACGTGACCGTCACGGACGTGACCGTCACGGACGTGACGACGAACCTGCTCACCGTCACGGTGCGCGAGTCTCTGTGCGAACGCGGGTTTTTCAGGAGCAGACCCATGTAGCCGGGGGGAGGGGGGGGGGGGGAAGGGGGACTCACTGGTAGAGAGTGGTGGCACGTGACTGTTGAGAACGAGGCGTGCACGATTTCCCAGACCTGTGCGTCCCACTCCCCCGCACCCACACACTTGGCTGAGCCGAGTTCGACACGGTGGCGTGAAACTAATCGAGATGGCTCACGCTGGGGGCCCGACAACTGGCCGTTAGCATCATCCGTGCACGCCTCCCTCGGAGAGCTGAATTCTTCCGCGAGGTGCTGTGGCCGCCTAAGCTCGTCGCTGGATGCGAAGAGCATCTCTCGTCTGTCTCGCGTGTGGTGGCCGCCAGTCTGTGTGCGCTGGAGGGGAAGGGGACAGAAGTCCTGGTCGCTGGCAGAGAAACCCTCTCTTCTACCCTCATCTTGTGTACATGTGGAGGGGGCTGCCGCACACACAGGCAGCTACTTGGCAAGGCACAGGCGGGCTGCCGAGTTAGCAGAGCACCGGGGATGGAGACCAAAGTCGGGTCGCATCGCAGGACGCACGTGTGGCCAAGCTGAAGACAAGACGTGCTACTAACCCACTGGCCGCTCCACACACTAGTATCCGCAGCCTAAGCGCCATCAAACGCCATGTGCCCAGTGAAGTCATCTCCCTGTGCAGCTTCAAACCGAATTAGATACGAATGAAACACTTCTGAGGACAAACGCATGCTGCAAAGCGTTACAAGTTAGCCATGCGTATGCATGCTTTTTCTTCCTTTGTTTTCACATTAATGAACCGTGCACAACTCGTGCGAGACAGCCTGTGCGTGTTAACCACTGCGAAGCAGCTCCACGTAAATTTCGGGGTGTTTGTCTTGCTTAGATGCACTCATTATTTATAACAGTTGCTGCGCACGGCACAACATGCCATGTGGTCAGCGGCAAACAAATAGCACAACGTTGGAATAGACGAGAGGTCATACATTTCCTGAATTGAGAGGCGTTATAAGAATTTGGGGGGGGGGGGGAAGAGACGGGAGTGACATCCACAGCTAGGCAGCGAGGGAAGAAGTTTTACAGTCAACCCTCGATTATCCAGAGTAACGAGGTGGAGGGAGGGATGGATGTCTCGGATAACAATACAAAAACATGGATAATGCAAAACTCTGTAAATTAAGACTAAAACAACATATGTATTGCTTGACTATGTAGAACGGGAGTGAAGACGTAGAATGTCGTAATCTGGTTGTTGTTTTTTTTGCTTGTTAAAGTAATTCGTTTGCGGTCCGGTGGGCAATGAGTGACTGACCGGTGGAGAGTAAAAAGCAGCGAGTAATGGAACCAGTGCACATGCACGCGAAAAAGGTGCCGATTGAGCACGGTTAGTCCGCAACCTGGCTAACCTGCCCACGGATAATTAATTCAACTGCATTCGAATTAACGATGCGAATGGGGGTTTCCCCAAGCTCCCAGCAATGGGTGGTCTCTCAGAGTCTCTCCGACACCTGGATGATGTCCAAGAGCAGGAACATGGGAAGGGAGGGAGCGTGGCCAGAAGTGAAGGTGACAAGAGAGGCTCATTGGGACGACACTGGGACACCAACAGTGTTCACAAAAAGTAAAGCAAAAAAAAAGGGGGGCACCCTGAGCAAAGCGACAAGAGGTGCGGCTAGGGTTAGAGCCAGGATCGGGGCTCATTTTTCAGAATCGCAAGCTGACTTCAGCTGACCTCTGGGTGCTACTTCAATGTTTATCTAGGTAACCCACACTCTGTCGTACTGCCTGGAGAGAAATGCCTGTGGATTTATACGATTAAGTGAGCTAGTTTTTAGCTTAATTTGTGACACCAAGTGTCAATTTAGAACGCAGAGGATTGACTTTTTTAAAATAATTAATACGCTGCAAAAGCACATCGTGTAGTTATTGCGAAAAATGGCGAGAATAAGTTGATGCAATTTTATGAGATTAATGCTGTCATTGTGAATTGGGTTAACTTAATTTGAACTGAACGCAGCCGCAAATGTGAAGGTTATAGACCAGGGGTGGGGAACCTTTTCGTTACAGAGGGACCTTTAGCGGGCGACCACACATTAACACTCCACTCAGCCACTACCACCACTAACATAAACCCTTGCAGTCACAAGTGATTGAGCGCGCTAAATTTTCAACACACTGTTTGAGGCTTTGCCAGATCAAACATGTTTCCCTATAGTACCCAATTAGTGCAGCTAAGCTGCGTGCCGCGACCGAAAAACATCGTTTGCCGGCACGTTTCGGAAGTGGTTGGCTTTCCGGGTGCCCACCGGCCATATATATGTCGAGGTGCCATGTGAAACAAAGTCATGCCAGTAGGCCTTGGGTTCCCTACCCCTGTTATAATAGAAGTATGGGCGTCAAACCTGAGCACTTTAGCACGCTTGTGCCCTGTTGTTGGTTTTTTGTAATTAAAATAAAAATGCCATTTATACAGGAAAGCCTCGTCGAGTTTTAAAGACTTTTTCAGGATGAAAGACTGCTTTTGGGATGTTTGGCCATACCCTTTCGTGATTGGCATGTGCAATGAAAGCAGAGTACTCGGATAAAAATCCACCATGCACACAAGGGGATGGAGGGAGGGGTGGAACATTGGTCCATCATGTGCTACCTTTAGAACCTAGTGAGACCCGAGTTCACTCGCCAGGCACAGCTAACATTAGTGGCAAGTGGTATCTAAACCGGTCCTGGCGTCTCCTTCACCAACCTACGTTGACTGGAATGGTGAAGTATGGCCAAACAACTCCAAGTGACAGAAAATGTGAGGAAACATTCACCCAACAGTGAATTTATATCAATTATAAAAAAAATATTCATTATGTATATTATGCTTTAATAGGGTTTTCCCATTTTTTTCTGGCAACAAAACTGAAACCTTTTAACAAGGAATCATGTCTGCATTAACCACAATACTTGTGGTCAGAATGCAAAAAAAGTGTTTTATTGCCAGAAAAAAAGGGGAAACCCCTATTCTTATATTTTGGTACTGGCAAAGGAGGTCCCATGACATATTATGGTTGTTGTATAGACATTGGTATCGTTTGCCAGCGTAACTACTTAGGTTAGCAGTGGCTGTCACAAGTATATACTGGTCCCCATAACAGGAACGTGGAATGCCCAACACGGCTCAAACCCGTAAAATTAAATGAGCGTCACCCAACGCTTGTTTGCTTCCACACATTCACACGTGCAGCTTATCACTGTCTTTTCACAGGTCTTTCATAAAACGTGTCACACTCAGAAATCTTTCACTTAGAAGCAAAATTAACGAGGTCAATGCTGAGGATTGAGCAATTCGAAGACCCATGACGATTCCCCCTTTGACAAGTGGCCAGTCTTTCCAAAGGACATTCCGCATTACAATGGCTGAGGCCAGTCTATTGCAATGACACCCAGAAGAAAATAAAGCATCTATAAAGCAGCAACACACACGGCACGCATTGGGCATATTTATATGCGGCCTACATGCTAATAGCTTCAAGCTCCACTATTAGCGACACCTGAACCCCATTATGAGCCAATTTATTACGAGCAACGCGTAATTGCGAGTGGCCGCTCGATTGGTGATGCACATCAAATCAATAAATTAAAAGCCCAATTCGAGAAATATTGCTCATGATTGAATGTGCATAGCAGGAAATTAAGCATTCACTCACTCACTGCATCAACGCGTGCTGTTAACACTACACCGGCAGCTCCGCGTCCTATGTTAAAACGCTTGGTGAGCATAACGTGGTAACTCAGATTGCACTCTTAAACATGTAAGGTTTTCAGTCAATATTATAATTTGCGTAATTGAATTTTTTTGGGGTGAAGTCACGCAATGATCTGGCCAAATTGTTGCTGCACAACCCTCCACGCCAACCCGACAGCTAAACAAATGCAACGGTCACTCGTGCACAAGCGTTTTAACGCGCAAATCATTGTTGCTTCAGTTTTTACCGGCAAGTTTAAGAGAACAATTCGCACAAACCAAATTTTCCAATTATATACGTTTCTCTTGAAACTGCAGCAAGAATCCTCAGGTTATAAAACCTAGGAAGTCAAACTAACCGGCTGTACACGGTTGAAAAATTGCGGCAGCATTTCCTTGCCGCTTCAATCAACTTCTAAAATGACAGCCAAAAGACGAGAGGGAACAGTTTGTCTTAAATAACGGACGCACGGTGGCGTTTTATTCGCAGAGCGTGGGGGGCGGGCGGGGAGGAGGGGGGGGGGGAGCTTCCACCAAACGCCCAACGCCCAGGGGGTTACGAGTCACGAGTCGTCCCGCGTGCATCCATCCTCACCTGGGCGTCACAGGCGTGCAAAATGACACAGGATCCTGCACCAACACTCGGGCGCGTGCAAGCCCGGGCACACATGTACACAAAACAAAAATACCCACGGAAAAGACAAACCCCCTGCCCGCCTCCCCACCCATGTGGCCTTTAACAGACTGCTGGGGCAAGTGCTGTTAGCTCGCACCGAGGAAGGTTGGCGCGGCCGCCTTTTGTCGCCCCAATGGTGATTTTATCGCACTGCAACCAGCTACTCATTTGAGGCCGAGTCAACGTCACGTGCACGCTTTACACACACACACACGCAAACACACACACACACGTCCTGTCAAAAGCTGGGGTTCACTAAAGTAACGGCACCTTCTTCAACAAAGCCCTCAAACGAGAAACAAACTTCGCCGCCTTTTTTTTTTACAAAGTACATACAGTGCTGTTTATATATATGCTGTATACTGGCGCAAAGGTGAAGGTGCAGCGCTGCCATTATTTACAGGGCTGCTCTCGAGCCCCCTCGAATGAGTATTTCGTCTCATCTTCCGCGTTGGCTAGACATTTCGAAAGAGATCCCAGGATAAAGTTTTAGTTATCCCCCCCACCCCCCACCGACGTTCGCCCAGCGATACGAGTACACCGCAGTCGATCGATTGGCAAGTCGTGTGTAGTGGGGCAAAGTGTGGGTACTCCCGTGACAATCTGGCGAGCGTGGAAGAGTATGACAAATACCCTCTCTAAAGCTCCCACTGAGCAGAGGCCCTTCTTACCAGCAATTGGCGTAGACAGTTTCACGGCTGCACTTTTACCAACACTGGCGCAAGGTAAAGGTCTAATAGCTTAATAAAGTACAAATATGAGCAGGAGGAACACTGCAGGACAACAACTGGCCAAAGCCTAAACAACGTGGTCTCACAGAGGGTACCATTTCTACACCTCAGGGAGCAGGCACGGGGGATTCTCTTCTCCCTGCCACTCCGGGGGATTGGTATCTTCACCGCGGCCCTTACTTCAACAGCTATCAAATAAACCTCATGTCGGTATCACTAAACCCATTTGATTAAGACTGCACCGAATTGATGAGTTGATGGAAGGACAAATCTGCCAATGTTTTGAGTGGTTCGGCATGTCATACATTTCGCTCCACACTGCCTGAAGATTATTCATATTTCCGGGTTCACTCCAGAAAACTCACAACATCGTGCCGAATAAACGCAGTCTAACACCAAAACCAAATTGGACAGCTACACAGCCCAACTGCATGAACCCACACAAGTAGTAACACTGTCAAATGTCTGTTTTTTTCCACTATTTGTGAAGTTATTCAAAGAAAATCAGTTCTAGTCAATAAATTAATCACTCCTGGGTTAAGTAAATCTCAGAAACATCCTGCTCCCAGTAGTGAAATGGAAACCACCTTCCTGACCACTTAATTTCCCTCTTTCTAATCACGTCAAAGGAACAATCTTTACATCCTTAAGTAAAATAACTATGAATAATATAATTCCACACCGAGATCGTGCATGTGTAAATAGGTGAAGACAACTTCTACAGCCGTGCCTATGGATTTAACAATTTTTTTAAAAGAGTTTTCTCAGAAACTAAACGGATCCTTACCGGCGATATTCGCTATAAAATACCGCCACTGCTAAAACGGACATGGACTTGGCCATGTCCACAGATGCACTCGCACTCCACATTCTACGTGATGAAAATAGATATGCCACGCATCTATCCAGAAAATTATTCCCGATTCTTCAAGAACTTCTCAGGAGCAAACTGCATTGGGATGTTTGGCTAATTCCATTTTAAGGAGCGTTTTGCTTGTGGGAGGAAACCAGAGCACCTGCAGCCCACCGGGCTTACAAAAGAATGGGTTGGAGCCAGGGGCGGAGACAGGGGGGGTGACAGGGTAGACAATTGTCACCCCCGAAAAAAAAATCGAAAATCTGAAACATTCTGCGTATAAGTGTACGACACTTGGTCTGGCGGACTCCGGTGTCGCCAACCGATGGCGTGGGGTCATAGCCGATTTCTCAATCATTCTTGAAATTAAAATTTGTTGAATGTCGCCCCGGGCTGAAAATCCTGGCTCCGCCCCTCGTTGGAGCGGTGGGAGAGTGACTAGCAGACTGCGCGATGCACCCGCCACCTCCAATTCAATTCCCGGCAACAGCTAACATCAGTGGCAAATGACATCAGAAGCGGTCCTACCCTCCCACTTCACCAACCAGCATGGTGAAGTATGGACAAAAACACCTATCACTGACAACGGTTGGGAGTTAATGCAGTGCATAACACTAAAAAGTCTGCACAGAGAGGATTATGGTCGGATCCATTTCATGTACTGCCATCGCCCAAGCCATCTCAAAGCCAGGTGGGATTGAGAGTTTCCAAAAATCTATCCTTGACCAACCCTTGCGTCCCAACCAATGGGCTGGATTAAAAATGTGTACACCCATGATCAGATACTGAATGTAGATATCATAGAGTTATAACCAGAAATAGATTCAATAGTAGTATGATCTTTAGGAGATTAGAATGCATGGTGCTGATCCCGCCCATTATTATAATTAAGGTGCAGTCAGACCAAGAGAATAACAACACTGGAGATTGTTTAGCTAAGTATTGAGAAGGGACATATAATATTAAATTAGGACAATGAAAATGCCATCATTGCAGGGCAGAAGCATAGAGATCAGAAATTAGATGTAAGGATGTGGTGGAATGAGATATAGATGTGACTAGAGAAGAGATACGGAATAGACAGATGAATCTTATGGCGGTTGATTGGTCCCCCCAGTCGCAGAGTTTATGACACCCCTGGAAAAAATTGTGTCCCAGAAATAAAATAGTTAATTGCCTCAGCAATTTTGGATTATTTGGTACCCCGGGATACCGCCATAAGGATCAGATGAAGAAATAAAATCCTAACATCTGGCCCAATGCAATAATGGAGCTTCTGGCCTAGATGGTCAGAGGGAGTCTTAGACCCCTCATACTAAATCTGGTTAAAATACGAATAAGTTATACATATTTCAAATATGTAGGGAAGCTCTTCTTTTGTAATAATATGAATAAAAATCAGCCATCAAACACTTCTGGACACAATTATTTGCAATGGCGCATTATCCGGAGCCCAGTTATCCAAGCGTTGTTCGTTTCACCCGTGTGAGCAAAGAAGGCATCGGTGCGGTAAAGGCACGAATAGGGATGGAGGCAAGGTTAGGTACGGCCTCAGCATTAAAACGCCGTCACACTATCAAGACCCTGGAAATTAACAGCAATCGCAATTACTGTTTACGCCGCATAAGCGTTTCTCAACCAATGGAAACTTGGGGCGGGAGACGTTACCATTACTGGGCGTCTCAGCGAGCAGCCCGTAGCGCTTTGGAACGTTACGTTTGTCGGATCGGCCATCGGGGAACACTCCACTCGGTCAAGAGCGATGACAAGAACCCGATACTACAGCGCATTATCCATGATCGTATCGTGAATGCTAAAAACTTAGAAAATTCAAGCAGGGGAATTAAAAATAAACCATCAGGGTGCACAGGATCGGCATCAAAACGATGCTCCCTTTACCCGTTTTTTTAAGTCTTTGCCCTGTTAATGGTTATAAATCAAAACTATCGGTAAAGGTCTATGACCAGAAGCATAGTGAAAATGTTTCTTAAATGACACTGATATAAATAAGCGAAGATAATTTTGTGCTTAAGTTGTTGTATACGAGTGAATCCTGGGGTTCGAATCAGGACAAATTACAGTACAAGGGTCAGCAAAGCAAAGCGTCAGCAAAGGAATGTGATGCAAAAATATTTGCATCATACTGTGCAGTAGCTGCAGGAAACTGGCAGAGGGTAGAAAGCGTTGGCATGGTATCATAGCATCAACAGCTTTGGAAGTGAAGACATCTTGATTGAGATCTTGATAGAGGGGAAATCTCATTCAACTTTAAGACACGTGTGGCAGGCGGACAGACAAGACGCAACAAAACGCGGCTGGCTGCCTGCCGTCTCCTCACGGAAATAGGGCCCCCCTTGACCCCCACCCCCCTCCAAACCGCGCCCCCATCCCCCGTCTCGCTCAAGTCTCCCTGCCGATGGAGAAGAAGCCGACGCTGGTGGGGCTCTCTTTGACGGTGACGGTGACCAGATGCGCCGTCACGTCCGTCACGAACACGTGCTGCAGCAGCGCCTGCACAGGCGCCCACCGTAGCCCGGCCTCCTGCGAGGGCACGACGTCCTTGGTGCCGATGGGCACATCCCTCCGGTCGCGCTCACGTTCACCGACCGCGCCGCCGGGCGTCTCGGCGGGGCCGTCCATCATGCGCATTATCGGCAGGCAGTCCGAGGCCGCCGCCGCTAGACGGTCCAGGGCGGTGACGGGGACGAAAGGTGTGGCGGGCCCCACGGCGGGATTAACCGGGGTGCTGGGGTTTGCCCGTACGGCGGCATCGGCTGTGCCGCTCTCAAATTTTCCACAGCTGCCCGCCGAGACTGGGTTGGCATTCTTCAGGGCCGCTGGCGGAGGAAAGGCGGCGGTCATGCTCCCATTCGCCGCGACCAGCCGGCGCGGTTTTCCTCGGCTCCGCTCCTCTTCGTCCGAGTCCGAGTCCAGGTCCGACTGCAGCGCTTCGGAAACGCGAGCGATGATGGCCGCCATCTCGCGTGCGGCCACGCCAGCGCGAGCCTGCGCCAAGCCGGGCGACACTGCCCCCCTTGGCCGATCCAGCAAGGTTGCAACGGTGGCCTTGGTTGTTGCCGTTATATTTCCGTTCTTTATGTCCTCTTTGGCTGCATTGATTTTCTGCTGCTTCGCCTTCTGGTTCTCGGCGGCTACTCTGTCACGATTCTTCGCGAGCATGAGAGACAACATACTCTGGGCTGGTGCCTTCTTCCCTTCCTCCTCCTCCTCCGCCGCCATCCCCGCATCACTATTTCTCCTGTTGCTCTTTTCAGTGTCACCACAGGCCTCGGGCTCCAACTTTCGTCTCTTTTTCTTGGCCTTTTTCTTGTGCCGCCTGTCGCCACCGTTCTCCGCGAGGCTGCCCTGGCTTCTTCCGAGCGCCGGCTTTGGCCTGCGCCTTTTGGCAGAGTTATTGGCGGCCGTCTTGGCGTGGTCGCGTCGCGAGACGCACCCCGATGCCGCCGCACCGCCCTGGGCAGGGTTGGCCTCATCCTTGCGAGCGGTCTTGGAGCAGCCCCCACCGGATGCTTTCTCCGCCGGCGTTCTCGCCTGCAGTAAAAAAAAGTATCCCACGATTCCTCTGTTAAACGCGCACTGCAGAGATCTCCGGGTAAGCCATCTTCGGAAAACGATGAAATTATTGCGTGGTTTAAAGTTTTGACAGTTTCGCCAGTACAAGACACCTCTTGATAGAAGCGTTTTAATCCACATGGCAGTTGAAAAAAAAGACCAAGATTCTCAAATCCCCCCCTTACCACAGCTGTCCACCCAGCAGTATAAACGGGTACAACCACAGTGAGTTCATCAGGTCATGTATGGTAGGTTAAATTCGGATACTCCCAACTCTTTATAAGACATCTAGCCAGCGTGGAAGACTAAGTCAAAGAATTAGTCACATAACCTCCTAGTGGAGGTTCCGTAACAAGCAGCACGAGCCAGAAACTGTGGAACTGCACCTTTATAAAATGTACAAAAAGCAACGTTGAAGTCTTACATGCTCCGTAAAACACAGTAATGCTCAATAGAATCAAGCATTTAATGTATTATATAGCTATACATGGCCAGGGAGCAGTGGTTGGAACACATTGCTGACAAATGAACAACTGCTCCCACAAATCCTGGTCAGGGGTCTAATCAGCCCTCTGTCCCATTAAAGACAGATTAAATAAGAACCACTTTGTGGGAAAACAAGTGGTTGTCTTATGGATAAACTTGCCCCTGCCAAACAAATATGGAATTTCCAACGGTGGCTAAGGGCTGTAAACAATCAATGCTCAACATTTGTGCAAATGGGAAATCAACTTTCTGATGTGCTACAACTGGTGGAAATAACAATGAGCTCCCCCCCTCCCCCAACTCCCCGATTCACAAGTATAGTAAATAGCTTTACAAGGGTAACAATAATGAAAATTCGTTGTTAATCCACCGCTGGATGAAGGCCTCCCCATGCCATGTTCGACACGGAGGCTGTTTGACCATATTTTGCCACGCTGATCAGTGAGGGTTTGTGCAGGTGGGGAACATAGCATGGAACCCAGGTACAACAACGTATTTGGTGGTGCTACCCTCTGCTGCCCATACTGTCACACTGCCCCACAGAATGACACCATGGAGTGCATGGTGGTCGGAAATCCAAACACTACCCTGGTTAGTTTCCGAGGCCTAACAAATGCGGTGCACATTCCTGATTTGATCATATACCTTATTACTGATACTGAGCTTTAAATCAAAGTTCTTTTTTAAAAATCGGTTTCGTTATATAATTTGGTTTTATCACTTGGGGTGGCAACATCATGCAGCGAGAACATTTGTGCCCCACAACAACGAGGACCTGGGTTCGATTCCCGACTTGGGCGCCTGTATGTCGTTTGCATGTTCTCCCCCTGTTCTGCATGGGTTTTCTCCAGGTTCTCCGGTAACCTCACAAAGCTAAAAACAAAAGTGGGTGTCGGCCAAACATCAGTGTGGCTTTTTCCTGGGTAAATAAATAACTATCATTAAGCGGTGGCTGAGACACCGAGGTTGGACCATCATGGCAATGAGGCTATCAACAGACCACGGCTCAGAGCCTCACCGGCTCACCTGGCTACGCGGCCTCCCAACTGGCTTCTTCCCTCGCCGCCGAGACCCCACTTCCCTCTGTTGTCTGTTGGGAGGGCACAGTCGAGGTGGGGGGGGGGGGGATAACAAAGGGCGTGTGGCATAACACAGGAAATACAACACAGGCCAAACATACACAGGACGCACACCTTGATGGACATACACATTCTACACAGACACACACAGGACGTGTGTAAACAGGTTATACGCAGAATTCACACACAGGACATACAGAGAACAGATATAAACAGAACACAGACAAGACACACATATATGATATACACACACACACATGAAACAATATGCACAGGAGACAAACACAGCACACATGATGTATAAGTGGACTTTTTTTCATCTATATATCTCCATCTCACGTGACAAAGACCACCCTGTAAAGGTTTCCAGTGAGATACATTTCATAAAAAAAATTCTGGGTCAATTTAAGCTATAATGAATAAACATTGTTATTTTTAATATTTCTGCCTGTGTAATTGCAATTGCAGTGGATAGAACAGTGCACTATGAATCTGGTGACTTAAGTTGGATTCCCAGTCACGGCTAAGATCAGTGGAGTGGTACCTGAACTGTTAGTGGCCACAATATTCCAAACCTGCACTAACCAACGTGTTCAAGCCTAGGCAGAAATAACCCCCATTACTGACACGGCATTTCTAAGTCCTGTTTTAGAAGAAATAATTTGGAACATTTTTTTTTAAATAGCAAAAATAACAATATATTGACTTACATTAAGTGGCCAAAAATAATGAAACATCCTCTAGGGTAAGGTGGGTGGGGGGTAAATGTTCAATATCTTGCCAACACAACAGCCTGTTAACAGATGTGGTCTTCAGAAAGCCCAGATTCTGAGGCACAGCTTTCCAAGCGCAGCAATCAACAGACGCTAGCAAAGCTTGTTAGACAATTTACAAATGAATGGGGGGGGGGGGGGGTACTTTCGCTGGCACAGAAATCTAGGATACTTGTCGGCCCGGCTACAAAGCTCAGACTTAAAAACTATGGGCTTCGGGAATAACGACGTTGCACAAACTTTTCAAATCCCCACTTGACGACAACATCAATGAAGGGAAGTGACCTCAACAATGACCTTTTACAACCTAGACATCGCTCGGCAACAATGTCCTTGGAACAACTCAACTACATACATACGCCCATCCTCCCTCCCTCACTCCCTCCCACCTTCCCTCCCTCCCTGCCTCTCCACTTCTCCCTCCTCCCGCTCCAAGCAGCTGAACCTCATTCAGCAGGGCACCGCGCCTGGCAGATGGCAAGCGGCGTGGCATGGATGGCGCTACCTCTTTTCGAAAGCGGCCAGAAGGCGGGGATCCAGGATGTTCTCCTCGGGCTCCCAGCTGCTGTGTCTGCGACGGACGGAGACGCATTGAAGTCAACAGTTGCCACGCACCACGCACCCCCCACCCCCCGCATTTACCGCCACCACCATCATAACCGCCACCACCACCACGTGAGCACATGCTGCTGTCGCGACTTGTGCGATTACATCAAGACGTCAAGCGAATTAGCCCCCCTGGCGATGAATATCATGTACCGTAAAGAAAACACTGCTGCGGCAGCTGCAAGGACGGCATATGCCCTGGCATTGCTGGGTAAAGAATAATCGGCAAGTGGGCTGAAAATATAGTTTCTGGGTCCATGTCGGGGGAATTGATTTCTGCTTTAAAATGTGGTTCACGGCGACGACAAAATAGGCAGGTCAAAGGCAATGAAGGCAACCGAGAGATGAGACACAAAATTAACCCTTGAGTAGAGATGCCAAGAGAAAGCAAAATAATCTGAAGACGGTGAAAGAGATGGCGAGTCGAAATCAAAGCGTTCAGACGCCATTATTGCACAGAAGCAACGACCGAAGATAAATAAATGGGGAGGTATTTTTCCATCAGTAAAAAGTCACAGAGTTAAAGCAAGGGAAAAGCAATATATATTTGTACAAGGTACATCAAATTGCCAGTTCACTTAAAAATATATGCTAAATCCTATTTATTGTTGCACAGACATCCACTTTCATGATGCCTGCTGCTAAATCCAAGTGGTTGAGAAACTAGGAGAGTGTTTAATGGGTAGTGGCAGTGGTGGGGAGGAGGGATGTTTCTTAAGGGTTGGGGTGCCAGATGGCCAATTACGGTCTCTTTTTCCATTAGTGCGGAGAAACAACGGCACTGCATTTCAATTGAGATCACTTCTGCACAGCAGGTGCACATTTCTATTCACGCTGCTGATTAGGCTACAGTTAAACGTTCAAATTCAAAGTCAAGTGTCAGCAAAGAAAGGCAGCGCGGTGATGGCGTGGGGGCCTGAGTGAGGGGTTTAGAAGGCAGCTGGGGGCGAGCGATATAAGCGTTAGGGGATCAGTGACCGCTTGCACAAAACACTTTAAGTGACATATTCCCATAGGTTGTCATTTAAAGCAGGGGTGGTTCAGTGGTTTGTGCACCGCACTATGAACTCAAAAACCCGAGTTTGAGGCCTGACCATGGCTAATATCAGAGGCAAGTAATTTCCAAATCGGTTTTGGAAGCGCCCCCCCCCCCCCCAAACCCCACGCCTTCTTCACCAACGTGCACTGACCAGCAGGGTGAAGTATGACTGACAACACGAGAAAGTAATAATTAAGTTGGAGATTGACAAGGGACTGTAAACATTTTTTTTATTATTATTACTGTTCAAACACCGGCATTAAAATAACTTCGGAAGTGTTTTTGCAACTGGTCAGTGGACAGCAAGTATAGAATGTGTTTTTAGAGCATGTGGGTGCTATGTGCACACAGAAGCCAAACGTACAGTATTTAAGGCATGTGCAACCGCAATGAGTATCTTTATTTCTAAACATGACACAGCAGGCACTTGCATGAATTCATGTATTCCACAATCAAAAGAACGCGTGTCTCTCCATGGACAAATGAGTGTAGATTCAACAATCATCCACGGGCAGTCCTGCAAATTCCATAATTCACTGCCGACTTCCAAAAAGGCGGTACCTATTATCTCGACCCCGCAGGGCTGATGTTGGGCTCAATTGAATTTTAACTTGCACAACCTTCTGAGGAGTTAACCACAGAGCCACACCGGCTTCTGTGACTGACATGCGATAGATAATCCTTCGGCATACGCCAAGAGTACTGTCCCACAGATGTAGAGCAAGTCTGAGGTACTATCGTCCCTAACCCCAGGCAATAGCCCCAAATGCCAACCCCACCCCCTAAAACCTAACCATTCTCAATCGCCAATTCCTAGTCCCAAACCATGGCATTAAACCCTAACTCCTAAAAACTCTCACCATCAATCGCTAACCCAAAATTTACCCTCTCAGCACTAACCCCAAACCTAAACCATAACTCTGTAATACCAAACTCTAATCCCCAACCACAAACCCCGAACTCTAAGCTAACCCTAAATCCTAACCTCATATGAAAACTATGCGAGTGGCGTCCCTACATAATTCGTGAACTGAAAGCTTAAAAAAGGAAGCGATAATTGAAAGGACTGCTCACGGGCAAGCACAGCTAAAGGTCTGATTGTATGAAAAATTGGGTCTGTGTTTGGAATGAACTCACCGAGTCGACCAGCCCCTCCACTTGACCAGGTACTCAGGTTTACCCTGCGTGTCACGGGAAAAAAGGTTGATGTTGCACAGACACACACACAGGCACGAATGTGCGTGTGGGGCAAAACATCAGGGTGTGTGGTGTGCGTAGATCGGGGACGGCGTTGCGGTGAAACCAACGGTGAGCAGGGGGGGTGTGAGAGGGTACCTAGTTTGGGAATTACTTAAGGTAAAGTAAAGCCCAAGTTATAGAATATCACCGATACTATTGCCTAAATGTGTGGTTGATTGTTTATAGCTCTCCAATGTGTTTTGGGTTGCACGACGTGTTGTTCGGCACGATGTTCGACGTTTCGCTCTACGTAATAGGAGCCTCTTTTCGGTTCAGTTCTTCAAAAAGGGCCTGCAGACGCTCCCCCCGCAGGTGGAGCGAAACGTCGGATATCACTCTGAACAACACCTGGTAACGCAACCTGAAATCCCATCGGCATGAAGTCCGACGTTTCACTCCACGTGCTGGGAGCTTTTGCGGCAAACTTCTTCAGGAACTGAACCAAAAAGCAGCCCCTAGCACGTGGAGCGAACAACGTCGGTTGGCGTCATCGTGCCGAGCACGAGAGCACGTGGCTTGTGGCAGGCACTGTTTTTTTTGCGAGCGCCTATTAAGGGCAGTGAGAGCATGTTCGATGTTCACAAATCCGCCCTTGTCACATACTCGCCTAGATCTAGCGCCACCCCCAGTGGGACGGGTACAAACTCATTATTATATCAACCATCATGATCGTCGTTGTGGTCAAATACTCATCAACATCATCACTCCGACATCTGCCACGATCACAACACCGGTACATTAACAACGACAGTGAATACTGCGATGTTGTGTACCATACAGAATGTAAATAATGTACACTTCACACGCCCAGCACAACAACGAGACTATTTATAACACCACGCACATTAACATTACACAATATATACCGACACCATAACTAACAACACGCGGGTCGGTGCGTGTTGGTGGAGGCCGGGCGCATAGACGTGGAAGGTTGTAAGTACAGTACAACAATGGCTTGTTTTACCACCCACACACATAGAACACTCTCGTGCAACAAAAAAACCGTGGGACGATTGATACAATTGCACAAATACATAACTATTACATAACCACAAACAATTCACACCTAAACACTGCGCAGTGTACAGACTACATACAAACTATATGGTCTATCTGTAAACACAATACGCAATGCACACTTTACAAATAATATCCACACGACACCTCAACAGAAAAATATGTAAACAACTACAAGGTAAATACTGTACACAATGCAAACGCTGCATATAAACACACACTGGACACTACACAAACACGATATTCTATAAATAAACACTATACAATACACATAAAACAAAATACATATACACTTAAATACTATAAACAATACACGAATCACTACACATTAAACATACGTAACAGTAGATGCACTACAGTAACTATATATACACTAACTCAATACCGTATATAAACATACATGCTACAAACATTATACATGCTAAACACCACGCGAAACATCGTATAAACACGAGACACTATACATTATATATACGTGTGACAAACAAGACAACATACTGTACAGTCGACTACAAGGTAAACACACAGCATTAAACGTATCAAGTAAAAGATACACACTTTACACATTATTAACCCTACACGTAAACTAGTAAAACGATACACTATCAACACAAACAACACATAAACACAAACGCAACGCGCGCTGTAAACTTCCTCAAGCATCTCAAACCAACATCGTCACTCGAATACAACTTCAAACCTCGCGACTCCGTTGGGGGGTTTTTTGTTGTTGTTGTTAAACTTTGTTAGCATTCCTTCGTCAATCGTCTGTATAACGCTTATTATGAAACGCATTTAAATTTTAAAAAAATGATTATAAACGGGGCGTGCGTCTTATATTCCGGCACAACGCGAGACCAGCTTTGTATAACTTTATTGACACCGGATACAAGTTAGCGGGGGGGCGGGGGCGTGTTACAAAATGCGGAGAAGAGACAATTTTACAAAGTCGTTTCGCTTTAGCATTACAGTAGTTAGTCGGTGGCAGTCGTTAATTGTGTTACGCGCGGAGATTTTGAAACCTTGCGATGTCTTCGCTTGATGATGAACTCGGCGGCGAAGACTCCCGGGTTGTCGGTCGCAGCCTCCATTGTGTTTTCCCGCGCACTCAAAGCCGCGTCCCCCCCCACCACCACCCACCCGCCCACCCCTCACACCACCACCACCGCCGCCAACCAACAACAACCACAACCCACCACCACCAACAACAACAACCACCACCGTTTCCCTCTGCTACGATCAACTTTTGCCCCGATCTCCCGACTGGATTCGTGAGGGGAAACCCGGCTGGAAAGTGAGGCGGATTTCGCGCGAGAAGGAACGAGGCAGAACGCGCGCGCCTGGGACGGCGAAGGCGACGGTGGTGGGGGGGGGTGTGAGGGGAGGAGGGAGGGAGGGGAGGTGGGGGAGGGAGAGAAAAGCGCGCGGTTGTTTACGGTGGCGCGAGACGGGGGCCGCGCGAGCAACGGCGACGTCACGATCCCCCCCGCCCACCCTCCACTTGCTCACCCCACAGACTCCGCCCCGAAGCAGTCCACAGTCCCCGCCCAGTCTCACCCCGAACAGCCCCCCCCGCCCCTTCCCAGCCCCCGCCCCTTCCCAGCCCCCGCCCAGTTTCACCCCAACAGCCCCCCCCGCCCCTTCCCAGTCCCCGCCCCTTCTCAGCCCCCGCCCAGTTTCACCCCAACAGCCCCCACCCAGTCTCACCCCGACAGCCCCCACCCAGTCTCACCCCCACAGCCCCACCCAGCCTCACCCCGACAGCCCCCACCCAGTCTCACCCCCACAGCCCCACCCAGTCTCACCCCCACAGCCCCACCCAGTCTCACCCCCACAGCCCCACCCAGTCTCACCCCCACAGCCCCCGCCCAGTCTCACCACTACAGCCCCACCCAGTCTCACCCCCACAGCCCCCGCCCAGTCTCACCCCCACAGCCCCACCCAGTCTCACCCCCACAGCCCCCGCCCAGTCTCACCCCCACAGCCCCACCCACTCTCACCCCCACAGCCCCACCCAGTCTCACCCCCACAGCCCCGCCCCTACTCACCCCACAGCCCCGCCCCTACTCACCCCACAGCCCCGCCCTAGATATGTATTTCGCATAAACAAATTTCTCGAGATAATCCAATGAGTGACATGGAGCAAAGGGTGCTCGTCCAGAGAGGGGTCGTGACATTAATAACAAACACCGAATGGCACGCAAGATTATTTCTTCTTCAGTTTTAACACGTAGGATAATGTATTATGGATAATGGGTTTTTTTGGTATTCTGATTTGCACACAATTTAAACAAACACAAAATGTGTAAGCACGATTTAAAATCTACAACATGCAAGGTATGCGTTTAGACATGTGCCATTTTACGCATCCCATCAGCCGCACGAACCAATTTTTCTTCCACAGCCCATCCTAGAAAAAAACATTGGTTGCATTAAAAAAATAAATTGTCCATGTGGAGAGGACACCTAGTAAGCATGCCAACGTTGCACTAACGTTGGTTCAGCGGTTCCAAGCTCATGCCAACGTTGCGCCAACGTTGGTTCAGCGGTTCCAAGCTCATGACAACGTTGCACCAACGTTGGTTCAGCGGTTCCAAGCTCATGCCAACGTTGACATGCGGTTGCAACCGTTAAATGGTCCGTTTATCCGGGGTTGTCTTCGCGTCTACGGTATTTTATTTGTTTTCTGTATAACGACGCCGATTATATTATTATTTCCAACGATGGTGAAATTTCTTCATGATGCTGCCCGCTGCTGCGTTGGCAGTGGCGCAAGAGCAGAAAATAGAGAAACACACAGACCCAAATACGTCCCGCGTCCATTGCGAAACTGATATTTTAGCCTTGATTTGAAGTTTTCGTGACCGCAGGAATCCATACTCTTTGGTTCTTTCGGTGAAGTCACGGAGTTAGAAATAAAATAAAATAAAATCACGAAGTTTCGATCGCAACACAACAAGCGGTCGTTTCGATCGCAGCACGATCATTTTGCCTGATGACTACCGCTTGCGATCAAAACGTCGTGATTTGTTTTATTTTATTTCTAACTACGTGATATTTTGGTGCTGGTCAACAAGCATACACGCCGCCACAAACGTTGTGGTCTCACCGCTAAAATATCTACGTAAAATCACAACCGCTTAAATGTGCTATATGTAGAAATGTCATCAAGGGAAGTACTGTAAATCCAGAATTCATTGAGTTGACCTCAACAAAATGTATGATGTCGATTGCAAACCGAGAAGGTTGGTCAGCGTTTGTTTTACATTCCCGTACACGGTGGATAAAAGTTCCACATTTAGTTTTGGGGTCTTTTAAGTCCTTAGAATCAAAATTATCCGTCAAATACAGAGTCTCGTGACTGCTTCACTCGTACGTACGTATGTTGAACTTCTTTCGCACCGTACGTAGCCAACCGCGCCAATCAGAGGTGGAAGGACGCAAAGCAATAAAAAGCCGTTCTAAACAAATGAGCTTTCAATCTGTATTTATTTACAATTATATAAATGTGCTGTATTGAATCAGTATTCTTCATTTCAAGGCCCCGCTGGCCACTGGCGGGCTCCCTGGTGGCCTTTACTGCGGCCCCTGGCGTGCAACCTCCTGACAATACTGTACTGCTTTTAAATTGGGTCCATATTTTTTAAACATCCTGTACACAAATGTGAAAACACCTCCCCCATCATCACCGTGCTGTCAACCCCCCCCCCCCAATGGTTTAAAATGTGTGGCGGTTTCTCAGACTGATGACGTCTCACCGACGAAAGTGGGCCCCCTCTGAAAATGAGTGACGAACACTGCATTTCATCAACTAATGATGCATTTTCTGGCCGAGGCACCATTTTAATCTTAATATACAAAGAGCAACTAAGTGATATACTTCATTTGTTGCCATTGATGTTGGCCATTTGTTGATTTCAGTGTCCTTCTGGGATACTAGGCACAATTCTTAGTGAAAAAATAGCTTTGTAGCTCCTCTGATTTCTCCAGAATAATACATATTCTGAATTCAGGACTCCTCGCCTAAATTCGAAAATAAAAACCTGAGAGACCCACATGCAAAATGTGGTACTTTTATCCATCCGGTAGTGGTAATTCTGCTAAGCCACTTGACTGTAGGATAAAGTTATTCACGATGAATGAATCTTTTTTTTTGTTAGAAATACAGTAAAGTGCTGTACATCGTTAACAAATTTATATCCGTCGCGCACCACAGGAAGGGAACGTAAAAAAGATCAGTAATGGGTAAATGAGCAGAAGACAATGGAAACGAGACACAGAAACGAAAAGCAAAGGGTGAGGAGAGCTGAGAATGGAAAGATAGAAGCCGCATCAGGGCCTCGATGCTGCCGAGTGGAGCAGCGTCTGTGTTTGACCGCACACACATAGTGAGGGAAAAAAAGTATTTGATCCCCTGCTGATTTTGTACGTTTGCCCACTGACAAAGAAATGATCAGTCTATAATTTTAATGGTAGGTTTATTTGGACAGTGAGAGACAGAATAACAACAACAAAATCCAGAAAAACGCATGTCAAAAATGTTATAAATTGATTTGCATTTTAATGAGAGAAATAAGTATTAAACCCCCTCTCAACCAGAAATATTTCTGGCTCCCAGGTATCTTTTATACAGGTAACGAGCTGAGATTAGGAGCACACTCTTAAAGGGAGTACTCCTAATCTCAGCTTGTTGCCTGTATAAAAGACACCTGTCCACAGAAGCAATCAATCAATCAGATTCCAAACTCTCCACCATGGCCAAGACCAAAGCGCTCTCTAAGGATGTCAGGGACAAGATTGTAGACCTACACAATGCTGGAAAGGGCTACAAGACCATTGCCAAGCAGCTTGGTGAGAAGGTGACAACAGTTGCTGCGATTTTTCGCAAATGGAAGAAACACAAAAGAACTGTCAATCTCCCTCGGCCTGGGACTCCATGCAAGATCTCACCAAGTGGAGTTGCAATGATCATGAGAACGGTGAGGAATCAGCTCAGAACTACACGGGAGGATCTTGTCAATGATCTCAAGGCAGCTGGAACCATAGTTACCAAGAAAACAATTGGTAACACACTACGCAGTGAAGGACTGAAATCCTGCAGCGCCCGCAAGGTCCCCCTGCTCAAGAAAGCACATATACATGCCCGTCTGAAGGTTGCCAATGAACATCTGAATGATTCATAGGACAACTGGGTGAAAGTGTTGTGGTCAGATGAGACCAAAATGGAGCTCTTTGGCATCAACTCAACTCGCCGTGTTTGGAGGAGGAGAAATGCTGCCTATGACCCCAAGAACACCATCCCCACCGTCAAACATGGAGGTGAAAACATTATGCTTTGGGAGTGTTTTTCTGCTAAGGGGACAGGACAACTTCACCGCATCAAAGGGACGATGGACGGGGCCATGTACCGTCAAATCTTGGGTGGGAACCTCCTTCCCTCAGCCAGGGCATTGAAAATGGGTCGTGGATGGGTATTCCAGCATGACAATGACCCAAAACACACGGCCAAGGCAACAAAGGAGTGGCTCAAGAAGAAGCACATTAAGGTCCTGGAGTGGCCTAGCCAGTCTCCAGACCTTAATTCCATAGAAAATCTGTGGAGGAAGCTGAAGGTTCGAGTTTCCAAACGTCAGCCTCGAAATCTTAATGACTTGGAGAAGATCTGCAAAGAGGAGTGGGACAAAATCCCTCCTGAGATGTGTGCAAACCTGGTGGCCAACTACAAGAAACGTCTGACCTCTGTGATTGCCAATAAGGGTTTTGCCACCAAGTGCTAAGTCATGTTTTGCAGAGGGGTCAAATACTTATTTCCCTCATTAAAATGCAAATTAATTTATAACATTTTTGACATGCGTTTTTCTGGATTTTTGTTGTTATTCTGTCTCTCACTGTTCAAGTAAACCTACCATTAAAATTATAGACTGATCATTTCTTTGTCAGTGGGCAAACGTACAAAATCAGCAGGGGATCAAATACTTTTTTCCCTCACTGTACGCCACGTGAACTACAGGAGGCTCAAACTGTTTCAGATAACAGAAGGAAGCGTGTTTATGACCACAAGCGTACACATTTTTGCCTCTCTCTGTGTCAGCACTGCAGAAATATGTTAACTTCCCGCATCTCAAAACACTTCCCCTTAACTCCCTGCCTTTCTTCATTACCAAGAGAAACTTTGCCGAGTAATACGTTTATATATAATTTTAAGTGTGTCTGGTTTCAGATTTGCATGAGATATATGCATCATGAGCAGCACTAGAAAATCATTTGTGCGACTCCCACCTCACCACGCGACCCCATCGACGTCGATATTCTCGGATTTCCCTGTCAGCACGATGCCGGGTACGTTCATGGTCATACACAGACCGACGTGTGTATTCTTGGTTCTTTCGGTAAAGTCACGTAGATAGAAAAAAATAAGAGTAAATAATAACTAGGACGTTTCGATCACATCGCAAGCGATCGATTTTTCTCCTGACGATGATCGCTTGTGTTGCGATCGAAACGTCATAGTTTTTATTTTATTAACTTTTATTTTTTTCTATCTACGTTACTTTACCGAAAGAACCAAGAATATGAATTCCTGCAGTCACGAAAGTTTTAAGTCAAAACCAACGTGTCTCTTTCCTCATTTCCAATGTTGCCCTAATATTAAAAAATATATATACAATAGGTGACGTTTCCAGCAATGGCCACTATTCATAGCACGTCTGCTTAATAGCAAATGTGCTATGAATTATGGCCATTCTTTATGGCACGTGTGCTATTATGAAAAAGGGCCATTGCCCGAAACGTTACCTACGATATATATTTAAGGCCACGCGTGTTATTGACGAACGTGTTGAATTTTTGTTGTTGCTGCTAATTGTGCTCATGTCGCACTGCTAATGCTGCAGCATCATCACTGTGGAACAAAGACGGTCGTCACTGGATCGCGTGGCGCTTTCAGATGCGCTTTTGCGGCCGTCTGGAACGTTCGTCCTTCCGACGTTAGGAAATAATCGAGATTGAAAACGAATTTCTTGGGAACTGCTTTTTTGTGTGTGTGTTGGTGTGTTGTCCTTCCAACCCGATTGGCACGGTTGGCTACGTATGGTGCGAAAGAAGTTCAACAACGTACGAAAGTAAAATAAGTCATTCAGAATAATATTCGCCAGCTTTGTCGCGATATGATTGCACTTCGCCAAGGTGAACTCAACGGACTGTGATTTACTTCGCATTATAATATTGTTATCAGTTATGATTAAATGTCGTTATGGTTTGTGGCACAATTAACTTAATTATGTATTTCATAATATTTTTTTTTGAGAAATAGGCCGCAAAATTTATCCGGCCAAATGTTGTTGTTGTTGTGTAACCCTCCACCAGCCGACATAGCCAAATAAATCCAATTGTCACTCGTGCAAGCGTTTAACTATGCACCAGTTATTATCGTTTCAGCTCAACTCACCCGTAAAGTTAGTGAACAAAGTCTCACAACTAAACTTAGCAGCAATCACGTACGTCGCGGCGAATGGCTTGTAACCGCGTCAAACATCTTCAGAGCAAGATCCAGAAATTCGGAATAAGTACAATTGTACTTGGCATGTTTATTTGCATTTTATTTTGTGCTTTTCATTGCGACGAATATAAGCAGGAACCGCCGATCACATCAGGCTGTCACGTATCTTTCTCATCATTGCATCGTATCACGAAAGTATGTGATCACAATATTTTTCTAGACTGGAGGAATCCGATGATCTATAAAGCTCTTTTTCACATGTCCAGTAGGGGGGAGGGTCAGCAAGTTACAACAGCAAATAAAAAAAAACGATAGGAGTGCCACACTGAGCCGTCCCTAGGGTATGGCGAATCTGGGGGGACTGCCCCGAGCCCCGTGCTTTGGGGGGCGTGGTACGCTTCTACGTCACAATTTCAGATGTAATACTTCCAATTTAGTTTGAAGGCGTCGGAGGTAGGGGGGGCGCACGGTGGGGTTTGACCCGGGCCCCACACCCACCTCAGGACAGCCCTGGGAGTGCAACATAGAGAAAAGGTAAGTCACTACAAATACATCTAAATAAAGTACTGTATATAAGTACAAATTGCATACATATCTGAGCTATTCTACAGTATGTGGAATGTGTGCGTGTGTGTGTGTGTTTTTTTTTTCCCACAGGCAATGAGCAACAGCAGCAGGTGCAGCAGCAGCTTCCAGGCGCGGCGAGTTCATCGCAAAATCGACTCTGCTCCAATCTGGCCACCGTGGCTCTGTTTGCCATGAACATCACCATCGCCGTGATCTTGATGACCAGCGTCCTCTACAGTAAGTGTCCATCGGACAGCTAGGTGCAGGACTAGATTGCCTGCAGTGGGCAAATTGTGTTGGTGATGCTGCTGCAGCTGCTGCTGTTTCTGCGTTCGTTGCACAAGCACGCATCATCAACAGACAAACTGAATGTATTCGTAATAGAGGCTGTTTGAGGTTAGCTCGAGAGAATATAAAGTGTGTCGTTAAACCCGCCACCACCCGACACAGCTAATTAGTAATGTTTGTCACGTAAACGAAACGTGTCAATTCGTTACGAGCGCAGCGCACCGGTGTGTTGGAGAGTAAACCCAGAATATTTACAATTCGAGTTCACGACGTTTTTCCAGTAATTATAACTGGCATCATGAGGCGACAGGCAGATTTGTGGACAAATCCTCCTGTTTCGCTCTTAAATAAGTGTGATGTCGTCACTTGTGAGCCAATCAGGAGCGAAGGCCGGGAGTGGGGGTGAATGTTTGCACATAAATTACAATGGATATCCGCTACCAGTTGGGTTATTCATAGGGTAATCATAATGAACTATCTTTATGTAGTATTTGATACGCTTTAAGTAACTTAATTATGGATACTATTGGTCGTGAAAGCCTGTTGAATTTAGCTCAACATAAGCTCGCCATGGAAACTGCAATCACGAATTCAAATAATGCTACATGCTGTCGGTTACGATAATAAATAAAGACTTACAATCACTCTAAACTATACCACGTATTATTACAGATGTTTCTTTCTCTTCAAATTGCGAATTGAATAAATGATATATGTTTTACTTATTTATCTTAGCATCATCCGAAACTGCTTATTTATTTACACTGGAGGAATCTGATAAGCTATGAAGCTCTTTCTCACAGATGTCCAGTAGGGGCGGGTCAGCGAGTGACTTATGCTAAACCATCATTAAAAAAATATATTCTGTAAGCGAACAAAAAATATCGATGAAAATAAAATGAGCCACCGTATTAATGACGTACCATAGCTCAACATATTTCAACATATTGATCACGAGCTTTACTACCCGGTTTCGCCCGGGACTTGGATTCTTGTCTTGGATTATTACACGGCCTAGGCGGAGGGTGGGGGGAGGGGGGATGCGTGACGTCAGCAGGCACACTGTGTGACGCTGCCGCATGCGGGTGACATCACAGATGTGACGTCACTGCTCACTTGCCGTGCAAAATATATCCATTATTGCGACCACCCCCTCCCCCCAAAATACAGTCTGGAAGCTACCCACATGCCAAATTTCAACTTATTGGTTCTTTCGGTAAAGTCACGTAGAAGGGAAATAATAAAATAATAAAAATTTAACGTAATAAAATTATCACGACGTTTCGGCCGCAACACAGTGTTCCCGACAGTTCTGTTTCTTCACCTGAAGACGGCTGCTTGTGTTGTGGCCGAAACGTCGTGATAATTTTTATTTCATAATGTTTTATTTTTATTATTTTATTATTTCCCTTCTACGTGACTTTACCGAAAGAACCAAGAAGATGAATCCATGCAGTCACGAAAGCTTTAAAGCCAAATTTAAAGTTTCTTGCATGTCGGGAAGTATGCTAAACATTTCGAACAGACACACATATTCACAAATTTCCCTTAAATATAAATAAGATTCTAAAGGATCTTCTATTGCACTTGGTGTCGGCACTGTGGTGTCGCACTCACGCCTCGCAGCAAGAAGTTCCAGAGTTCGATTCCCGACTGGGGCACAATTTCTGCGTGGTTCTACCCCTGCGTTGGGTTCCCTCTGAGTCCTACGGTTTCACCCCCATGACTAAACACACACAACCAATAACATGTAATTGGCATTGACCAACAACATTCAAATGCTACGAAAAATTACCTTCAAATTGACTCGATTGGGATGACGCATAGCAGCAAAATCGCACACCCCCCCCCCCCCCCCCCCCCCCATTGTGAAAACCTGGCAACACCCTCCTGAAATTAAGGCTTGAGACTCAGCAATGCTTTCCTGTGTAAACAATGGCATCAATCATAGCTACACAGAATTGACATGTATATGTATTTTGGGGAGCGGTAGTGTAGCAGTTAGCGCGCTGTGCTACAAACCCGGCGGCCCGAGTTCGATTCCCCCTCACGGCGAACACCGGTGACGATTATCTGAACCGGTCCTGGGCCTCCCCTAAGTCGTTTCAGCCTCAAATGAGTACCTAGTGCGGTGTGTAAACATCACCAATTGGGAGACAAAGGCGGTAGGGCGTGGTGCTGGCCACCTAACCCCTCGTATGCCGTGCTAGCCTTCATAGGTGCTGGCTAACAGCATTTGCCCCACCAGTCTTTAAAATCTAAACGGGGAATCTTTGCCTTTGTATTTTGAACCTCTTTCGCACCGTACATAGCCAACCGTGCGAATGGGAGGTGCGGCGGAAAGACAACCAGTGTCAACACAAAAAGCAGTTCTAAAGAAATTAGTTTTAAATTCAGACGTGCTGTGAGCCACTCAGACCAAATCTCTTTTTTCCCCTACTTATTCAAAACCGATTGTTAAAATCGTGGCACAGTACGGATATTATAATACAGTAAGAATATATTTTTCTTTCAGATTTCCACGCAATTCAATACAGCGCCACCGTTTTCACGGAAGAAGACATGTTGATCGTGGATCATCTGGATCTTTTAAATGAAGATTTGGTAAAAATGGGTAAGTCCACATATTACCCAAGTGTGCATGATGTCATTCTCATGCATCGGAGAAAGAGATGTGGTTTGCAAGGCAGTTCCTGCACGTAAACAAAAACCTCACTCATACTTGACGTTTAGTTCTGCAGTTCATTTGGCTCAATTCCACCTCTGAGTATTAAAACTATCACTTTGATTGCCGTGTGAAAAACATGTCTCTCTCTCCGATAAGCAATAGTATGAATAAATATAATTTATTAGAAACAAATAACGTAATAAATCATTTCTATTTATAGATGCATTGTATTTATTACTAAATAAATAAATCTATAATACCCATAAGTTTGTTATTATAAATAAATATAAGCATAAGCAAATATTTTGATTTTAAATAGACCTTATAGGGAAAATGACCATTGTCATAGTACTAAAAGATGCTGAGTCGCTCCCCGTTTCCTGTGTCTGTGTACGCTCTTTATTTTTCAATTTCACCTCAACACAAAATTCTCGTATCCATTAGAATAATTTTCCTGCGCACAGCGGCACTCCCAACCCAACACTCACCCCTGACATTGAACTACCAACCCGACTCTCTCACCACTGACATTGAACTACCAGCCCAACTCTCACCACTGACACTGAACTACCAACCCGACTCTCTCACCACTGACATTGAACTACCAGCCCAACACTCACCACTGACATTGAACTACCAGCCCAACACTCACCACTGACACTGAACTCCCAACCCGACACTCACCACTGACATTGAACTACCAACCCCACTCTCACCACTGACACTGAACTCCCAACCCGACGCTCTCACCACTGACATTGAACTACCAGCCCAACACTCACCCCTGACACTGAACTACCAGCCCAACACTCACCACTGACACTGAACTCCCGGCCCGACTCTCACCACTGACACTGAACTCCCGGCCCGACTCTCACCACTGACACTGAACTACCCGCCCGACTCTCACCACTGACACTGAACTACCAGCCCGACTCTCACCACTGACACTGAACTCCCAACCCGACTCTCACCACTGACACTGAACTCCCGGCCCGACTCTCACCACTGACACTGAACTCCCAGCCCGACCCTCACCACTGACACTGAACTCCCAACCCGACTCTCACCACTGACACTGAACTACCAACCCCACTCTCACCACTGACACTGAACTCCCAGCCCGACTCTCACCACTGACACTGAACTCCCAACCCGACTCTCACCACTGACACTGAACTCCCAACCCGACTCTCACCCCTGACACTGAACTACCAACCCCACTCTCACCACTGACACTGAACTCCCAGCCCGACTCTCACCACTGACACTGAACTACCAGCCCAACACTCACCACTGACACTGAACTCCCGGCCCAACTCTCACCACTGACACTGCACTCCCAACCCGACTCTCACCACTGACACTGAACTCCCAACCCGACTCTCTCACCACTGACACTGAACTACCAACCCGACTCTCACCCCTGACACTGAACTACCAACCCCACTCTCACCACTGACACTGAACTCCCAGCCCGACTCTCACCACTGACACTGAACTCCCAACCCGACTCTCACCACTGACACTGAACTCCCAACCCGACTCTCACCCCTGACACTGAACTACCAACCCCACTCTCACCACTGACACTGAACTCCCAGCCCGACTCTCACCACTGACACTGAACTCCCAGCCCGACTCTCACCACTGACACTGAACTCCCAGCCCGACTCTCACCACTGACACTGAACTCCCGGCCCAACTCTCACCACTGACACTGAACTCCCAACCCGACGCTCACCCCTGACACTGAACTCCCGGCCCAACACTCACCCCTGACACTGAACTCCCAGCCCAACACTCACCACTGACACTGAACTCCCAGCCCAACACTCACCACTGACACTGAACTCCCAACCCGACTCTCACCCCTGACACTGAACTACCAACCCCACTCTCAAAACTGACACTGAACTCCCAACCCGACTCTCACCACTGACACTGAACTCCCAACCCGACTCTCACCCCTGACACTGAACTACCAACCCCACTCTCACCACTGACACTGAACTCCCAGCCCGACTCTCACCACTGACACTGAACTCCCAGCCCGACTCTCACCACTGACACTGAACTCCCAGCCCGACTCTCACCACTGACACTGAACTCCCGGCCCAACTCTCACCACTGACACTGAACTCCCAACCCGACGCTCACCCCTGACACTGAACTCCCGGCCCAACACTCACCCCTGACACTGAACTCCCAGCCCAACACTCACCACTGACACTGAACTCCCAGCCCAACACTCACCACTGACACTGAACTCCCAACCCAACACTCACCACTGACACTGAACTCCCAACCCGACGCTCACCCCTGACACTGAACTCCCAACCCAACACTCACCACTGACACTGAACTCCCAACCCGACTCTCTCACCACTGACATTGAACTACCAGCCCAACACTCACCCCTGACACTGAACTACCAGCCCAACACTCACCACTGATACTGAACTCCCGGCCCGACTCTCACCACTGACACTGAACTCCCGGCCCGACTCTCACCACTGACACTGAACTACCAGCCCGACTCTCACCACTGACACTGAACTACCAGCCCGACTCTCACCACTGACACTGAACTCCCAACCCGACTCTCACCACTGACACTGAACTCCCGGCCCGACTCTCACCACTGATACTGAACTCCCAGCCCGACTCTCACCACTGACACTGAACTCCCAACCCGACTCTCACCACTGACACTGAACTCCCAACCCGACTCTCACCCCTGACACTGAACTACCAACCCCACTCTCACCACTGACACTGAACTCCCAGCCCGACTCTCACCACTGACACTGAACTCCCAACCCGACTCTCACCACTGACACTGAACTCCCAACCCGACTCTCACCCCTGACACTGAACTACCAACCCCACTCTCACCACTGACACTGAACTCCCAGCCCGACTCTCACCACTGACACTGAACTCCCAGCCCGACTCTCACCACTGACACTGAACTCCCGGCCCAACTCTCACCACTGACACTGCACTCCCAACCCGACTCTCACCACTGACACTGAACTCCCAACCCGACTCTCTCACCACTGACACTGAACTACCAGCCCGACTCTCACCCCTGACACTGAACTACCAGCCCGACTCTCACCACTGACACTGAACTACCAGCCCAACTCTCACCACTGACACTGAACTCCCAACACTCACCACTGACACTGAACTCCCGGCCCAACCCTCACCACTGACACTGAACTCCCGGCCCAACCCTCACCACTGACACTGAACTACCAGCCCGACACTCACCACTGACACTGAACTCCCGGCCCAACCCTCACCACTGACACTGAACTACCAGCCCGACACTCACCACTGACACTGAACTCCCAACCCGACTCTCACCCCTGACACTGAACTACCAACCCCACTCTCACCACTGACACTGAACTCCCGGCCCGGCTCTCACCACTGACACTGAACTCCCAGCCCGACTCTCACCACTGACACTGAACTCCCGGCCCAACTCTCACCACTGACACTGCACTCCCAACCCGACTCTCACCACTGACACTGAACTCCCGGCCCGACTCTCACCACTGACACTGAACTCCCAGCCCGACTCTCACCACTGACACTGAACTCCCGGCCCAACTCTCACCACTGACACTGAACTCCCAACCCGACGCTCACCCCTGACACTGAACTCCCGGCCCAACACTCACCCCTGACACTGAACTCCCAGCCCAACACTCACCACTGACACTGAACTCCCAGCCCAACACTCACCACTGACACTGAACTCCCAACCCAACACTCACCACTGACACTGAACTCCCGGCCCAACACTCACCACTGACACTGAACTCCCGGCCCAACACTCACCACTGACACTGAACTCCCAACCCGACTCTCACCACTGACACTGAACTCCCAACCCGACTCTCACCACTGACACTGAACTCCCAACACTCACCACTGACACTGAACTCCCGGCCCAACACTCACCACTGACACTGAACTCCCGGCCAGACTCTCACCACTGACACTGAACTCCCAACCCGACTCTCACCACTGACACTGAACTCCTGGCCCGACTCTCACCACTGGCACTGAACTCCCAACCCGACTCTCACCCCTGACACTGAACTCCCAACCCGACTCTCACCACTGACACTGAACTCCCAACTCGACTCTCACCACTGACACTGAACTCCCAACCCGACTCTCACCACTGACACTGAACTCCCAACCCGACTCTCACCACTGACACTGAACTCCTGGCCCGACTCTCACCACTGACACTGAACTCCCAACCCGACTCTCACCCCTGACACTAAACTCCCAGCCCGACTCTCACCACTGACACTGAACTCCCAACCCGACCCTCACCACTGACACTGAACTCCCAACCCGACTCTCACCCCTGACACTGAATTCCCGGCCCAACACTCACCACTGACACTGAACTCCCGGCCCGACTCTCACCACTGACACTGAACTCCCGGCCCAACACTCACCACTGACACTGAACTCCCAACCCGACTCTCACCACTGACACTGAACTCCCAACCCGACGCTCACCACTGACACTGAACTCCCAACCCGACTCTCACCCCTGACACTGAACTCCCGGCCCAACACTCACCACTGACACTGAACTCCCGGCCCGACTCTCACCACTGACACTGAACTCCTGGCCCGACTCTCACCACTGACACTGAACTCCCAACCCGACTCTCACCCCTGACACTGAACTCCCGGCCCGACTGTCACCACTGACACTGAACTCCCGGCCCAACACTCACCCCTGACACTGAACTCCCAACCCGACTCTCACCCCTGACACTGAACTCCTGGCCCGACTCTCACCACTGACACTGAACTCCCAACCCGACTCTCACCACTGACACTGAACTCCCAGCCCGACCCTCACCACTGACACTGAACTCCCAACCCGATTCTCACCACTGACACTGAACTCCCAACCCGTCTCTCACCGCTGACACTGAACTCCCGGCCCAACACTCACCACTGACACTGAACTCCCGGCCCGACTCTCACCACTGACACTGAACTCCCAACCCGACTCTCACCACTGACACTGAACTCCCAACCCGACTTTCACCACTGACACTGAACTACCAGCCCGACTCTCAACCCTGACACTGAACTCCCAACATCGGACGTCGTGCCGAGCGGCGAGCGGCGAGCACAATAAGCAAGCCCAGAACACAGGTCGATGAGCGGGGGTCGTTGAGAACCACGTGTTTCAGGAAGATGTTTCTCTGCCGAAGTTCGTTATCCTTGCCCTCCGCACCTCCGATTAGCGGCGTTGGTTACGTACGGTGCGAAATAAGTTCAACATGCAGTGCATGCGGTACGTACATCCCGCCACTGGTTGAGATGCGCCTGTGTTTTACATCGCTCTGTCGAAATAACGATATCTTTCTCTCTCTCTTTTATTACAAATCCTAGGTAATAGCCTGGACAAAAAGATCGATTCGACAATATCTGTCGTGAAGCAGGAGATGAAAGAAGATGTGCTCCAATTGTCGAAAAGGATCGGTGAGAAAGCGTAATTCTTATACGTCACCAATAAAAAGAGATATTTACGTAATAAATGCTTGCACTTAACAAGTCATTACTAATATACTGACCATGCACCTCTTTCAATGAACATAGCCATTATTAGTAGGATTCGGAATAAATGTTTGGGCTAGGCCACCGAATGAGCTGACCAAATCACGTGTCCACCACCCGACACAACCAAAAAAAATGACTAAAAAAATTGGTCACGAGGTGCAAAAGCCTTTGATGATCGGCCAGTTATATTCTTGGTTCTTTCGGTAAAGTCACGTAGAAGGGAAACAATAAAATAATACGTGACTTTACCGAAAGAACCAAGAATATGAATCCCTGCAGTCACGAAAGCTTTAAATCAAAATTTGATCGGCCAGTTATTGTTTCAGCTCACTCATCCGGTGGGGTTTCACAGCAAATCTTCACAACCAAATGCATCAGCAATGAGATATGAGTCATTGATACCGTACGGCAGAAGGTTCTCCTCCTGAGGCTTTGCGACAGCTCTGCCATGCCGCCCGACGATCAAACTCGTCACGGACATGCTGAGCGGCTGATGATTCGCCGTCCACGTTGGTGGAGTTGCCAGCAGGCCACGAACATTGCTCCAGTGCTGTTCATTCTGTACACCGGTGGTGTCTGAGTGCCACCTAACTGGCAAGCTTCGTGCCTTTGTGAGAGAAAACAAATCCCCCCATAACAGACTGTTGCGGCGAATGCTATTCGGGAGGGCCTTTGAAAGCCAACACGGCACACGAGGGAGTGGTTTGGCAGGCAGCACGCCCGCCTTTATCTCAACAGTGCCGATGTTTACACACCACATCAGGTACTCGTTTAAGGCTGAGTGGACCTAGAGGATGACCAGGATGATAGACATGACCGGGAATCCAAATTGGGTCTCTGGGTTTGCAGCGTGTTCAGAGTGCAGTGCGTAACCACTGCATCACTTTTACACAGTCACGCACACACGCACACACAATACTAAACCCTTATATGTTGTTTTTTTCTAATAAGTAACAAGATATTTTATTTAACTGCATCGCTGCCACTCCTCAGCAAACATGGAACGTCGGGACCAATGTTGAGCCAACCCAGGGTCCAAAGGTTCTAGCCACATGCCGTTGGGCATGCCCTAAGAAATGCAACAAGTAACATCTTCCTCCACCTAACACCAGAACCATGCTTCTTCCCTGGGCAGAATATGTCCTGAACATTTTCTATTGGCCGGTGTATGAGAAGAAGACTTTTGAGAATGCACGCGCTCATTGCAAAACGTATGGCGGGGACATAGCAATGCCAACGTCCAGCATCCTGAACAAACAATTGCACAACTACTTTTGGAAGGACCCGATGTTTATTGGGATTAATTACATTCAAAAGGAAAATACATTCCGGTATGTAAATGGAACTCCACTGGGTGACTACACACACTGGAATCGTGGTGAACCTAACGCAGTCAGAAATGAGGAAGACTGTGTTGAAATGCTACGTCATGGATATTGGAATGATATACCATGTTCTGAGAAGTTACAATTCCTCTGTCAGAAGTTAAAAAAATAGCTGCACTTGGATTACAATTTAGGATGGTTGTTTACCCGATGGGTTACTATACTAGTGGAGCTGAGAAACCCGCGGTGTCGGGCCGGGGGGAGTATGTATTGTATAATGTTTACTGTCGTGTATTTTTATTTGTTGAAGCCGTTTTACAAGAATGATACAGCAGTGGAATTTTTTAAAGCATATCTGAAGATTTGCACCGGTGGTGTCTGAGTGCCACCTAACTGGCAAGCTTCATACCTTTGTGAGAGAAAACAAATCCCCCCCCCCCCATAACAGACTATTGAGGCGAATGCTATTCGGGAAGACCTTTGGAAGCCAACACGGCACACGAGGGAGTGGTTTGGCAAGCAACACGCCCGCCTTTATCTCCCCAGTGCTGATGTTTACACACCACATCAGGTACTCGTCTAAGGCTGAGTGGACCTAGAGGGTGACCAGGATGATAGACATGGCCGGGAATCGAACTTGGGGCTCTGGGTTTGCAGCGTGTTCAGAGTGCAGTGCCTAACCACTACATCACTTTTACACGGTCAAGCACACACGCACACACAATACCAAACCCTTATATTTTTTTTCTAATAAGTAACAAGATATTTTATTGAACTTCATCCCTGCCACTCCTCAGCAAACATGGAACGTCGGGGCCAATTTTGAGCCAAACCAGGGTCCAAAGGTTCTAGCCACATGCCGTTGGGCATGCCCTAAGAAATGCAACAAGTAACATCTTCCTCCACCTAACACCAGAACCATGCTTCTTCCCTGGACAGAATATGTTCTGCAAATTGTCTATTGGCCGGTGTATGAGAAGAAGATTTTTGACAATGCAAGCGCTCATTGTAAAAAGTATGGCGGGGACTTAGCCATGCCAACGTCCAGCATCCTGAACAGACGATTGCACAACTACATTTGGAATGAAACGATGTTTATTGGGATTAATAACATTACAAATGAAAAAACATTCCGGTATGTAAATGGGACTCCACTGGGTGACTACACACACTGGAAATCGGGTGAACCTAACGCATACAATGGTAAGGAAGAATGTGTTGAAATGCTAACTGACGGATTTTGGAATGATATATCATGTACAAAGCCATTATATTTCCTCTGTCAGAAGTTAAAAAAATAGCTGCACTTGGATTACAATTTAGGATGGTTGTTTACCCGATGGGTTACTATATTGGTGGAGCTCAGAAACTTGCGGTGTAGGGGTGGGGAGGACGTGTTGTATCATTTTTACTGTCGTGTTTTTTTATTTGTTGAAGTCGTTTTACAAGAATGATACAGCAGTGGAGTTTTTTTAAAGCATATCTGAAGATTTGCAGGCTTTTTTTATTGAAGTTACGTAAATGTAACTCTTTTTTTTCCTTTAACCAGGTAAGGCCCACTTAGCTATGTAGCATTTTTTTCCAGAATCGACCTGACCACGAATGATAAGCTCAACGAAAGTGGCTTATGACGTTGAAATGTATAGCAGCAACCAAATAATCTTAACGCATTTGATCTAAAATATACACGTCAGGGGGTGTGCCCTGTGGGATAGGCTTTCCTCCTTGAACAGGAGCTAAACAAGATTCGCGACAGTTCAATTTCTAATCCAGGCATGGGATGGGGTCTGGGGGAGACTGGAGTGGGGGGGAGGAGGCAAAAGTTGGAAGGGAGCCATTACGAAGGCAAAACGAAAGGAAATAGAGGTATTTAAAGTTATCCTTATCCGCCCATCTTCCCGCTAGGATCGATCGACCATTTTACAGGGTGCGCTAAGGATAGAGTAAACTCTAGAACCTGTCCCCTACCTTCACACCACTCCGCTGTTTTTTGTGTTTTAGATTTACCCTGTGGTGTTCTCCAGTGTCCAATGCTCGATGGGGTAAATTGAGGTCTGATCACCGATCAGATCTCAAGCCGCCATCAGCCCATATATATGGTATATGGTTTGTAAAATAGGCGTGGCATTGCCCTCATGGAAGTGTTTTTGCCCTCATGGAAGTATGGTGCTGTGGAACGTGAATCCAGGTATATTATAACGAATCAGTTAGGGTAGTCAATCGGTGTATACTCGAGTAAAGTATGTCTGCTTATGCTCCAGAGGAGATGACATGGGATTGAGTGTTCACACGAAACAATGGCAATCTGATGGAGTAATCCCATTGTTGCGGTACGGTATTGTGCCACGCGCAACGTGAGTATCTGCCTACCTGTCGTGATCGGCTTACGATTTCGCACGATCGGTGATTTCCTCACAAATTTTCAGGGGCGGGCGGTGGGGCGCTCAGTGGCACTTTCGCCGACAAGACATCATCAGTGCGAGGAACCGCTACACATTTGAAACTACTGGGGGTTTTGTTTAACGCGTAGGTTTTCACAACCAATATCGTCCATGATACAGGGGGTTTTTTTTGGGGGGGGGGGGTTATTTCGCGTAAATATACGTGTCGTTATAACCGCCACCACCCGACAGCCAATTTGTAAGGGTTGTCACGTAAACAGAACATGCCAATTCGTTACTAGTACAGTAAAACCTTCCATTGCGAGCATAATTCGCATACTTCGTTCCGAGCGTCACCTGATCAGTTGTGATCAGCTGACGCTCGGCAGACAAAGCGTATATGTACTACTCGTATTGCAAGACCTCGCTCGTTTATCAAATTAATATTTATTGAAAATGTTTGCTCGTCTTGCAAAACATTCGCAATCCAAGGTTTTACTGTACAGCACTAGTGTATAGTGTAGTGTATAGTGTAGTGTATAGTGTAGTGTACTAGTACAGCACACCGGTGTGCTGGAGAGCCAAGCCACAACATTTACAATCTGAGTACGACGTTTCGCCAGTAATTATAACTAGCATCATCAGGCAACAGCCAGATTTGTGGGGTTTGACAGCATGGTGATGATTGAGGGTGGGGGGGGGTGTTTTCAATGTTTGTGTATTCTCGGGGGGGGGGGGGTGTGGGATCGAATGCCAGGGGCCGCACTAAAGGCCACCCAGGAAGTCCGCCAAGTGGCCCACGGGGGACCCTGCAATAAAGAAGAGCACTCCTCTAACTCGGGATACCAGACGGGGCGTAACGGTCCAGTCATCAATAAGTACCACAGCCACTTGGGGGCTTTCGTAACAAGTCCTTATAACATTTGAGTCGTGCGTGGACATTTAATGCTGTTGATATTGGATTGTTTTAAGTTGTTTTTGTTTTGTGCGTACAGAGCGTTGTCTGATACCAATACTGTACCTTCGTAACATCACCTGTATTATAAAGTTGTATCGAACGCCGGTTGCATATTAATGACCGGTATTCTGGCCTTGGAATAAAGAAAATGCTTGCTTGCGCAAAAGTCCTGTGTCCCGTTGTGCGTGGTTTTTCCACTGTGTTCAAACCATTCCGTTGCATCCAATTTCATTGGGTTACTGTCAATTAATTATGCCCTAGATTCCTAGAACAACGAAACACCCGAATCCATTGACGGATACAAATTGGAACGACAAGAGTCATTTCCCGAAACGTCGCCTATTAGATACGTATTTGTTTTCGTTCAAGGCCACACGGCGTTGATATCAACGAACGTGACGCGTTTTCAAGCGTTAAGCATGATAAAGAGATGCAGGATCCTCAATGGAAACCCTGGAATCATGTCGCTGGACAATGTTCAAGGTAGTTGACACGATGCTGCTGCATATGGAAAGTGCGACAGTGGCTAGATGTTAACTACCTCGCCTGGTATACAGGAGGTCGTGGGTTAGATCCCGACCTTGACGCCTGCTGTATATTTGGAGTTTGCATGTCTCTCTCATCATCATCATGGTGGCTAGATGTTAACTACCTCGCCAGGTATACAGGAGGTCGTGGGTTAGATCCCGACCCTGACGCCTGCTTTATATTTGGAGTTTGCGTCTCTCTCATCATCATCATCATCACAATGGCTAGATGTTGACTACCTCGCCTGGTATACAGGAGGTCGTGGCTTAGATCCCGACCCTGACGCCTGCTTTATATTTGGAGTTCGCATCTCGCTCTGTCTCTCCCCGTGGTGATTTTTTTCTCCCGGTCCTCCGGTTCTTCCCTCCACATTTAGAAACATGCGTTTCTTGAGTATTTCGGAATCAGAATATTTCATTTATACTGGAGGAATCCTACGAGCTATACATATATTTTTCACAGATGTCCAACAGGGGCGGGTAAGAACGTTACAATTGGCTGCGACTATAAATGTTCACGCGATAAGCCACTTCGTTGAGCTATCATTTGTGGCCAGGTCGCGCCTGAAAAAAAGAGTTCTAAAGCTCAGTGGGCCTTGCCTGGTAAAATAAAAACACATTCCTGCGAAGGGGGCTGGTAGGAACGTTGGGTTGCTCGGTCAATGGCCAGGGTCAACGGCGGCGTGGTGTATTCAGCACAATATGCCCGACTGTGAGGGCGGGCACAAGCCGGCGTGAGTAGGTTAAACGTTGAGTTTTACAAGGGCACCACGGGGTGACCAGCCCCTCCCCACCCAGCCCCACCCCACCCAGCTCCACCCCTCCCATTTTTGGACGCACGACGGACGGACACAATAATCCCCTGTGGGCTGGTGGTGTAACCAGGAGGTTCCTACCAGTAAAAAAATATATCGTTTAGACGACAGCTTTTGACTTGATTGGCACAGTTCAGTGCAGTCAGCGTTTTATCATCCTCCTTCAAGTGGCACTGATTCAACAACGACTATATTCTTGGTTCTTTCGGTAAAGTCGCGTAGAAGGGAAACAATACAATAATAAAAAAAATATATATAAAACAATTAAATTCTCACGACGTTTCGACTGTAACACAAGCAATCATCATCAGGTGTGAAAACCACAACAAGAAAATTTGAAAAAGTTATTTTTAACGTTAGCACCACGGAGAGCGATTTGACAGTTTGTTCAGATGGACGAGTCCATCTATGTTCGGAAAAGAAGAGGGGGGGAGAGACGAAAAATAATGGACGAACAAATTGTCAAATCTCTCTCCGTGGTGCTAACGTTAAAAACAACCGCCACTTTATTCAAATTTTCTTGTTGTGGTTTTCACACCTGATGATGATTGCTTGTGTTGCAGTCGAAACGTCGTAAGATAATTTTATTGTTTTATATTTTATTGTTTCCCTTCTACGTGACTTTACCGAAAGAACCAAGAATATGAATCCCTGCAGTCACGAAAGCTTTAAATCTAAACGACTACGACTATTTCACACGCTAACTCTTCCTCGCTTAGTCTCCGAAATCTAGCGACAAACTCACAGCGCCGGCAGATGGTCCGCAAAATAAATTGAAAACTAATTTTCATTCTCAACTGAAAAAAACTCATTTCTTTACAACTGCTCCTTGTGTGTTGAAGTTTGTTGTCGTTCCCCACCCCACCCACCTCCGATTTTCTCACGGTTGGCGGCCACTAACGTACGGCGCCAAAAAAGTTCAACATAAATAATGTACAATAAGCGCCTATACCACAGGGGGGCAGTACAATACCAGACTTCTTCTTCCTTGCCACTCACGCATAAACCACCCCCCCCCCACTTCTCCCCACATCACTTAGCACTGTTCCCACCCTGGTGTTTGTTACCTCGTGAATTGCTGATAATAGTTGTGGTTGCCTCGGTGCGTAACTCGTTGTGGGGGGGGGGGGTAGGTGGCCGGCGTCCTACATATCCATGAAGTGTGCCGGCTTTAACTCTGAAGCGAATGCATTGAGGTCTCCTCGCAAGACTCGACGAAGCGGTCCACTTATTCGCGTCACGACAGAGGCAGACGGGGGGGGGGGGGAAGGCGTTAATTGGCATTATTTAGTTTCATTTCACCTCAGAAATTGCATCGGTTTGTGTTTCGGACGGTTTTTTTTATTACTTTGCTGTTGAGAGAAACGCGCGCGCGTGTGGGTGGCGGTGGCGGCGGCGGCGGCCGAGCGAACGAGGAAGAGAGGCGAGCGGCCATGGGACCCGAAGCGCGAACGACCGTGGGCATTTGGGGCCAGACGAAGGCCCTCCTCTACAGGAACGGCCTCATCAAAGTGCGCAACAAGCAGCAGACCCTGCAGGCGAGTCCGAGCCTGGCCCATCGCGTTGCCTCCCCTCTGTCTCTCTCTCTCTTCTCTCTTCTTCTCCATGATCGCCGCTACCGCGCCGTGCATTCCGCGTACAGTGCGCGGCGCCAGCGCTCGCGTTTGCCGAGAGGAGGACGGCACAGCGAGGGGGGCCGAGCGACCCGGGGGCTCCTTGCGCGACGCGAATCGAGAAACCAACAGCGCTTGTTTGGACGTAAATTAGAGAGAGAGAGAGGAGAAAACAACAACAATAATAACACACGGAACGCACGGCGCTGGTTTTGCCTGTCACACACACATCACCCACCACCCCCCCGCCGCTGCTGATGTGGCCTCGTGTAAGGGGTTTGTCGTGACCATACTTCACCCCGCCGGTTTGGCGGTAGGAAGGGGGGGGGGGGCAGGCATGGACGTTGTTGTTGTTGTTCTAGCATAGAAAGAGTTACTGTGATTATTGTACGATGGATTTTTGCTTGCACTAACTCAGCCCTCTGTTGGCCGGCCGCGGCCTGTCACACCGACTGCTGCGCTCCTCCATAGGGACCCGTCTGGCGAGGCGCGCAGATTTGTTCACAGGCGATTGAGTCTTTTTTTGTAAGAATGTATATTAACAAACACCTCATGAACGACCGTCATCAAAGCTTTTGGTGCAAACACCCCCCCCCCCCCCCATAATTGTTGGGTGCCACGGTGCCCGAGATGTTGACTACCTCGCGCGGTATACAGGAGGAGGTCGTCGGTTTTGACCCTGACCCTGACCCCCCGCTGTATATCGGCGTCGTGTTTGTCAAAACATTCGTACTGAACAGAAGAAGAAAAAAAACAACACATTAACCGTGCTGTTATTTCATTTGTGGCCAGGCCACTTCAGACAAATGAGTGAATACCTCAGTGGGCTTTGCCTGGTAGGACGGCGATGGTTTAGTTTTACTGTATTTGAATGTGTTTGGGTGATTTTTTTTTAAACCTTTCTTGTACGTGGCCCCTACCATCGTGTTGTAACGTTCTTCCCCGCCCCTACTGGACATCCGCGTAAAAGAGCTTTATAGCTCATCGGATTCGTCCAGTACAAATAAATACCCTCATTTTTTTTTCTTTTCGGGGAAAAGCCCCGCGCCATAACCCGACGTCTCCGCTCCCCTCCCCCCGTATGCGTTTTGAGTCCGCGGTGCAGGAGCTGCTGATCCCCCTCTGCTTCGTGTTGCTGCTCGTGCTCATCAGCGAGATGAACAGGCAGGTGGAGCTCTCCGAGTCGCCCCCGCCACCCGCCTTCCCCTTGCCCCTCGAGTTCGACCACGACGTCGGCTACGTGGCGGACTCGGACCACGCGCGCCGGGTCATGTACCTGGTGGCCGCTCAGCTCGGTACGGCGTGTCCTCCAAATAACCACGTGCCAGGGACTCCGGCCCTCCCCCTCACGCTATTAACACCGGCGAGCCGAGATTTTTCTCTTATCCCTGCGCTCCTCTTTCTGTGAGCCAATGCAATTCGGGCGCACACATCTCCGCGCTTCTTGATGCGCAAGCTCTGAGCTGCCGATTCCACACCCGCGTTAATGTTCACGTTTCTGAACCGTTTGTCGCAGCGCGTAGCATGCTTTCGTTCCAACAGCAGCAACAACAATACTCTTCTGGAGATGAACTCATGTTGGAGGGGTGTTTGCATAATCCATTCTGCGCGTGATTTCTTCCCAATCCCTGAAGCCAAGCCGGTGCAAGAGTTCCCCACCGAGAGCGCGTTGAGGGAAGATGTCGCCACCTTGCACTCGTGCGGCGTGGTGTTCAACGGCAGCATGGAGTACCGCCTGCTCTTCCCGTACAACACCGTGCCGAGCACCGACGTGTCGTACGACCAGCTGGAGAGTGAGCCTCGCGCGACGCAACAATAACTCGGAAAACGAGGCTTTGAGTGTACGAGTGTAAAAGGATGTGTCGATGGAAAAGGTGGCACGAAACTTGGAGTCACAAACCAGCGCTAAAGGGGCCTGCCCTCGCCATCATGGTCCTGGCTGCCGCTGAGTGCCCTCCCCTGGCAGAGCCGCTATGCGACCCCCGTGGTCTCATCCGTGCCCTAGATTGAAAACTCATTTTAGATTGAAAAATCATTTCTTTAAAACTGATTTTTGTGTTTAGTTTGTTGCCCTTCCCCCGTACCTCTGATTAGCACGGTTGGCTACGTACGGTGCCAAAAGAAGTTCAACATACATACGAACGTACTGCTTCTTGAGTACCTGGCACGACAGCAGAATTCCTGCATGTGCATGGTTTTTCTTGTTTTTGCTCTGCGCGTGACATCCTGCGTAATGAGCTAATGGTCTTGATGGTAGCCCTTAATCCACCTCCAATTATTATGCTGATTGAACGGCTAGTGAGTGGGGGGGTTCTGCAGGGTGGAGTAAGGAGACCTGTGGTTGTGATTGATGTGATTTGTTGCCGTGGCAGCTGCAGATGTTGGTAGTGACTCGCGTGGCTTTGCGGTCACGATTCACGCGATTTGTGGTTGCAGTCATTTGGCGGCAGTGACTCGTGCGTGATTTGTAGTTGTCTGTATGTTGAACTTCTTGTGCACCTTACGTAGCCAACCTTGCTAATCGGGAGTTGTGGTTCATTGTGGGTTGTGGTCGCTGTGGCGGTTTCGGTAGTGCACTGCCGGTCCATGGACGAGCTGCACTCGACCAGGTGTCCCGTAAACGACTACCTGGAGTCTGGATTCGTGTCGCTGCAGTTGGCCATCGACTCTGCGCTCATACAGGTGAGCCCCCATCACCCACCCCAGCCTCCCACTGTTACACAAAATATAACCAGCGGTGTGAATCCTATCCGGATCATGTATTTGCTGTCTTGAGTTCGTATGTACCAGTTAATCGATTCAGCGATTCTAAAGCGATTCCTGCACTCAGAATGGATGCGTCACAAGGCAAGTTAGATGTGAGAACCCCTTTCTTTACATCGGGCCGAATAAGACTTTCAGATATATTTTGTGAACAGAGGAGTGGAGGGGGGTTGCGAGTCTCTCCACATGATAACCACTGTTCACTTCCCTACAAAGTCGTATTTTTTTTTTATCAACCCTGGAGGGATTATGGGTTGAGTCAACACCCAATCAAGATTTGAACTCTCGCAACCTTTCAGTTTCGGTCAGCTCCCTCTACCTCTGAGCCACCTGGCCGGAACGCCTAGTATACAGGAGGTCATGGGTTCAATCCCGACGCTAATGCCTGTTGTATATTTGGAATTTGCATGTTCTCCCCATGCGCGTGGGTTTTTTTCTGAGGTCCTCCAGTTTTTCCCTCCACATTTAGATTCGAGAGTATTTTGCAGCTACGATAAATTTCCACGCGATAAGCCACTTATTTGAGTTGTCATTTGTTGCCAGGTCGCTTCTGAAAAAGAGCTGTGTAGCTCAATGGGCCTTACCTGGTAAAAATAAAAGAAATTGTTTAGTTGAATTGTCCCTTTACCGTGTTCCCTCTCCCCGCTCGTGTAGTTGCAAACGAACGCCTCCGCTCGCGCCCTGACCAGCGCCATGGTGCAACGCATGGGCCGCGGCCGTCACACGGTAGTGCGCACCTGGCCGCAGTTGCTGGCCTCCATCTACCTGGCCGGCGCCTTCGCCCCCTTCCTCTCCTTCCTGCTGCTCAACCTGGTGCTGGAGAAGGAGCAGGGTTCCCGCGACCTGATGCGCACCATGGGCCTCCGCACGCCGGCGCTCTGGTATGTCCGCCGTGTGTGCGTTGGTACACCCGCCATTGGTAAAGCCGGCGTTGGTACACCCGCTCTGGTACGCCCGCCGCGGCGGGTGCGTTGTTGTTCATTGTACTGCGCAGCGAGCGCCGGTTTTTAACGCAGGAGTTGCGTTCCTGAAAATGTCCTCGTAAAGCGAATTCCCGTTCCGCGAAAGACAATTTATTTGAACTCGAAATGTGAACGCACGTTAGACAGGGATTTACCGTATTAGCCATAACGGAGGTTTTTTTTGGGTTAGATAGAATAAATATATAGATGTGTCGTTGAACCTGCCACCACCCAACCCTGTTTCGTTCCTTAAATAGAGAGGGGTGGATGTGATGATGTCGTCACTTGTGAGCCCTTCTTGAGCGAAGTGGGGGGGGGGGGGGGTTAATGAATGCATATTAATGACAAGTGGTATAAATTGCCAGGTGGGTTAATTATATGGTAATGAAGGTACATTATGCATGTACATTATGTATGCCCGTTGTTCTTGTACCTCCTGTCGATTGTGTGCACTAAAATAGCAGTACCTGTTATTGTCTGTTCACAGGTAATCCCCATTGAAGTATGGTGACCTGTATAGGCATGCATTTAAACAATTTATTATTTGATTATTCGCTTCCAGCAGCACTAAGTCTATAGATATCCGAACAGTTAAAATTATTTGTATTTCTCTCAATTTCGATAGATTCTCAATTTAGATAGATTCTCTATTTAGTCTTGGCTGGTAGTGCTGTACTAGTAACGAATTGGCATGTTCTGTCTACGTGGCAAACCTTACTAATTAGCTGTGTCGGGTGGTGGCAGGTTTAACGGCGCATTTATATGTATACCTGATCTAATCCAACAAACGTGTGTTATGGATGATATCGGTCATGAAAGTCTACGTGTTAAATTTACTGTATTAAAAAAAATAGCTGGCTGGTAGGATGAAATATGGGCACTGGCATGTCTTCCTAGACATCTGGCCAGCGTGGAAGAGTGCAGGCCAATCACCCCCGATTGAGTGGCTCTCTAGAGCTCGCTGTAGCAGAGGCCCTTCTATTAGCAGTGGTGTAAGCCAGTCAATTTCAGGGCTGCACCTTTACCTACGTGTTATATGTGTGTTTCGTTCTATCAGGGTCCGCCCCTGTTACCACAGGCAATCGAGAATTGGCCGCAAGTCCCTGCTGACATTTGAGCGGCGGTCAGAGGCCTCATTATAAATAAGTAAATTTACGAACGACGAACAAAGCCGGAGGATGTCCAGGAGAGATGCGATCACTGTGTCAGTGGCAGCACCTGCCAGCTCGCATGCACCGGTCGTTATTGACGAGTGGAGGAGCGGGGGTAACAGGAGACGTGGGCAATAGAGTTCGGAACGTTGTGCGGTTACGTATATGTGAATTTTTGTGTGTGCCGGCCTAAATAGGTGCTCGCTAACATCCTGTATAGGTTATACGAGAGGTCGCTGTCTTTGTGTGTAAGCGTGTGTGTGTAATGTATGTAGGGACCGGTAGTGTAGTGGTTAGCGCACTGCGCTACAAACCCGTCAACCCAATTTCGATTCCTGCTCACGGACCACACCAGTGACGATTATCTGAATCGGTCTTGGGCCTCTTGTAGGTCGACTCAGCCTCAAATGAGTACCTGGTGATATGTATAAACATCGCCACTGGGGAGACAAAGGCGGCTGGGCGTGGTGCTGGCCACCCACCCCTCGTGTGCTGTGCCAGCATTAATCGGTGCTCGCGAATAGCACTTGCGCCAACAGTCTGTTATCTATGATTTTGTCGGTGTGTGTACATGTTATTGTTAATGTAAAGTATATGCTATGGGGAGTAGTGGTATAGTGGTTAGTACATTATGCCATGAACTCGGCCGCCTGAGTTCAATTCCTGGGTAACGTCAGTGGCAATTATCTGAACTGGTCCAGGGCCTCTCTAGGGTGACTCATCAATAACTAAGTACCCAGTGCCTTATGTGGATTTCAGCACTGGAGTGACAAAAGCATCCAGAATTGGTGCTGGCCACACCACCTATTCAGTGAAGCATTCTGGCCTTAATACGTTCTCACTAACAGCACTTGCCCCATCAGATTTTAAGGACTGAATTACAATAGGTGACTTTTGGATGATGGCCCTTTTTCATAGCACATCAAATGATGTGCTCACTGACGTGCATGATGAAGGGCCATTGGCCAAAACATGGCCTTATATATATTTATTTTAATGCCACGGCGTTACTGATGCATGCGTGTTGAACAAATCTCTTGTTTGGGATCTTGCCGAGCCGCCCCTTCTTGTCGGCGCAGGCTGTCGTGGGCGATGGTGTACGGTGCCATGATTTGCCTCGTGTCGCTGGTGCTCGCCGTGGTGACACGCGTCACGCACATCTTCGACACGAGCAACACGGTCCTCATGTTCCTCCTGTTCCTGCTCTACGGCCTCTCGCTGGTGAGTCCCAGCGTGGTGCCGCGTTTTGACCACCCCAACTGCCCCCCCCCCCCCCCGTAGAATTCTGATCATGGGGTCTGAATACTGCGTGTTATAGCGATATGACTACCTCCTAGCAGGGGCGAAGCCAGGATTTTGACTTTGGGGGGGCTGACTTCAATATTCTGAGATATCCAGTGTACGTTTTCCATTGGCGCCACAAATGTATAAAATACATTTTTATTGGATTTGAACGCGGAGTTTATTAATAGGTCGGAGCCGCTGATATGGCTAATAAGTTCGATAAGTTCGAAAGGCTGCCACTCAAGCAGCCTGCAGGGCACCACAAGGTGGCAGCCAGCATTTTGCAGCAGCCGGATATCCGGTTATCCCGATTACCGACTTTCCCAAAATTTCAGGGGGGGCTGAGCCCCCCCCAGCCCTCCTGTGGCTCCGCCCATGCCCCTAGAACAATATCCCCACCACCTCTCCCCCCGGATCACTACAGGGTTACGGTTACGACTGACTCGCAACATAACTACAGGTTTAGGAAAGCAATGGGGTTATAGTTCTCTGGGGGTTAACATTTTAATATTTCTCTCCAGCCCTCAACATTGGGTCCCTGTTGTGATTATTGTCATTGTTGTCATTATTATTATTGTCAATGTTGTCATTGTTGTAGTGATTGTTACCATCATTTTTGTCATCATTTTTGTCATCGCCATCGTAGCCGTCGTTCATGTCCTGTGTCGCGTGCCTTGTTGTTGTTGTTGTTGCTGCTGTCGTCATTGCTGCTGCTGCTGTGCAGGTGGCGATGGCGCTGGTGCTCATGGCGTTCTTCCGCAAGGCAAAGACGGCGAGCTCCGTGGGCTCTCTGCTTGCGCTGCTCTTCTGCCTGCTCAACATTCCCGTCCTGCTGCTGTGGAACTCGCACACCGTACTGCACTGGCTCCTCAGCCTCTTCTCTCCCGCGGCCTTTGCCCTCGCCGTTGCACAGGTCCGGGGGTCACGGGGTCATGTGGGGGCAAGTATCAGGAGGGGCGTTGCTAATAAGGGGCGCCACGGTGGCAAGATGTTAACTACCTTGCCTGGTATACAAGAGGCCGTGGGTTTGATCCTGATGCCTGTTGTTATATTTGGAGTTTGCGTGTTTGTCTCTCTCCCCGTGGTCACGTTGATTTTTCTCCAGGTCCTCTGGTTTTTCCTTCCACATTTTGAAACATGCGTTTAGAGTATTTGCCTGCTGCTATACATTTCCACTCGATAAGCCACTTCATTGAGCGATAATTTGTGGCCAGGTCGCTTATGAAAAAGAGCTATATAGCTCAGTGGACCTTGAAATCTAGATTTTTTTTTTATTTAACCAAACTCGCTTTCAAAAACGTGCAATTGCACCACACGTAAGGCAAACGGCACAGCATTGCACAGTACAGCGCAACATTTTTCAATTTAAAGCTTTCGTGACTGCAGGGATTCATCTTCTTGGTTCTTTCGGTAAAGTCACGTAGAAGGTAAATAATAAAATAATTAAAATGAAACATAATAAAATGAAATACAGACCAACAGTTATACAGTTGCAACTGACGTTGCATCTTGAGACAAAGAATCCACTCGGATTTCTCCCAGTGCAGTGCGACCCTTCATGTTAGAGAACGGCCCGCAGAAGGGATACTGCAGAGCTACCAATCCTGTCAAGTGACTGCCGGTCCACACAGTAGGGGGCAGTGATTTTCTACCCACGCTCTGCATATGAGAGTACCACTCTTAGTTTTATGACTGACCATTTGTAGCTTTAACACTAAACAAACTCGGCTTCACGCTGATCATTGTTGCCGAACTTAGCACGGATTATTGTTGCGATTCGGTTGAACTGGAGACGCCAGGCGGTTTGATCCATGGCACGGGGCTCCCCTGTCACCAGGTGGTGGCGCTAGAGGCCGGAGGGAGTGGCGCCCACTTCTCCAACCTGCTGGAGGGCCCCAACCCGCTCGCTGTACCCCTCACGATGCTGCTGCTCGACATCGCCATCTACCTGGGCCTCGCCGCTGCGCTGCATCGCCTGCTGCCAGGTGAGCGAAGCCTGGAGGGGCCCACTGAGACCCTGCACGGGGATTTGAACTCGTGACCTTGGGGTTACGAGTCGGGCGATTCGTGTTCTTACGCGATTACTTGGATCGTCAAAATTGGGGGGGGGGGGGTCATGATTTGATTCAGGAATTGGTTTTATTTTTTTACGTCGCTGCAGTTGCGTGCAGAATGCGTGGAATCTTCACCAGAGTGAGTCTACATTGATGTCAATCTGTGGAATCTACAGCAGCAGTGAATCCATAATCTGTATCGGTATTAAAAGCTACAATTTGACAAATATATATGAACTATAAATATGAATATCAGTCAGATTACCGATGAGCTGGTAAACTCTTCCGTCAACTTGCCACGCAATAACCTAAATCCCCACATCAGCCATCAGAATCTCCACGATAAAGTCGGGCGATTCGCGTAAGTATAAATGCGTCGTTAAACCTGCCTGCCGCCCAACACAAAACGTGCCCACTACGTTTCCCTTCATCAGGCGATTTGCCAGAATTGTGAAGAAGTCTTCCTGATGTATGTATGTTGAATCAGAATCTCTCATCACCCCTCACCCTCGCCCCCCCCCCCACCCCGCCCCGATAGAGGCGCCCGCATCGTGCCGCCCGTCCTTCTTCCGGCTGCCGCGCTGGTGTCGTAGCCCGGCAAACGGCGGGGGGGGGCACCCGCCTCTGGACGCCGTGGACGACGTGGCGTTGGGGGGCCCGGGGCACGGCGGCGGTGAAGGCCTCGAGGGAGACGGGATCTGCGAGGCGGTGCCCAGCGAGATACTGGGGAGCGAAGCCATTAGGTGACCACGGGGAAGGGGGGGGGGGGGGGGTGCGGGGCTGGTCCCGTGGCGCAGCGGGGGCACGCAAGTTTGTAAAAGGACAATTTCACGCCTTCCTTTGGATTTTTCCGAAGCACTGACGTGCAGTGATTCGTTAACAGGTGTACAGGAGGTCCCTCCTCATTGAACGCACGAGTCGATGCGTTCCTGAAGAGTGCCGCGTCCAGCGGAAAACACGGCGAACGGAAGCGGTTTCGCCGTAAATAATGTAACGATAGAGTTGAACGGGATACGATGCGTTTACGCGCATGCAGTGAGATGACGGGACAGAAAACTGAGGCGACTGTATCATTCCACGAACTATATCGCACCACTAATTTGCGCAGCTCAAGAAAGTAGATCGGAATCGGCCACTCGGACACCACGTTGCAACGAGCGCATCCCGCGTGATAACGTCGCGCGATCCACGTTGTGACGGTGCGTGTTTTGCATTGTGCGAAAAGTGTTCCCCAAATGAAGGAACCGCGGGTTATAGCGAAAACGCGTTACCGTGTGAACACCTCCACGCGTTCAGCAAGGACTTTTCTCATTGCGATGATGACTAAAGGCACTCGCGCGAAACCGCTTCCGTTAATGAACAATATGAACTGGACTCCCATGGTAAACTGGACTCCAATTGTAAACTGGACACCCATGGGGGGTGGGGATTGCGAATGTAACATCACAAAAGGTATCATCGTTTCCTGTGACGTTTTTTCGGATTGTCCAAAATTTAATTTTTTTGTCCAGGCCCAATTTTTGTACTTTTCAGATGAATGATAAAATCAATTATTTCATAGAATTTCCTCAAAATAAATGTAAGTTTCGGTGCACTTGAATAAAGGTTGCCTTTTTCTGTGCCATTTTTAGAATTCGTAATGTCAGGAAGACGTACCGGCTGAAAGGAACGGATGTCATGGCTTTGAGAGGTGCGTTTTTCCCTCCTCGGTTTGCGCTGGGCGACCGCTGCGCTGTTGGATCGTTCGTGGGCGCACAATCATTGTGGGCGATGTTTAGCGGTGGTACGGATGAGTTTGTGTAAATCTTAGGTTTGTAAGATTCATTCGAGGTGGACCGCTCTTGTCTCTGCGGCATTTGACGAAAGACCCACCTTTGTCAACGACGCAATTTATAATTTTTAAATCTGATCCGTACAAACCATGATAGATGCTGATACCTGATGCACAAATGGAAAATGTATAACTCCCCCAGGCTGTACAACGTATAACGACACAATGCCCCATCCACAAATATGAAGGAGACATCGCGGCGATAAACTCCGCTGCTCCTGATGCGGTTGTCTGGCTTGACCACCTAAATGTTTAATTGTAGTTGTGAATTTGCATCTACATCGGCCATACGATAGAAGAAGGAGATTTGACGGTGAATCCATTCGGAAATTTCGCAGAGCGGCACCGGCGCGTGTGTTCCAAGAATGGCTACGCAAAGATACATCCTCAGTGATTTTTTCCAAGAATGGATTGCCGGTGGATTGCCAGTGCAGTGTGACAACGGGTCTGCCGCAGCAGCGTGGGTCGATCGGGAGACCCGGAGGGGTAATGTTGGTGTTGGGACATCGGTTCCTCCCGCAGGCCTCTCCCTGAACATTTACGAGGGCCAGATCACGGCCCTGCTGGGCCACAATGGAGCCGGCAAAACAACGCTCATCAACATCCTCACCGGGCTCATCACCCCCTCCGCCGGTGCCACGCACACGCGCGCACACACACAACACCAGATACGAAGAGCCCCCGAATAGCCCTTAACAGACTGTTAGCGAACCAGCACCTCTGATGAGCACGGTTGGCTACGTACGGTGCAGATAAGTTCAACATACATACACCTTTAAGGGCGACACGGCACACGAAGGGGTGGGTGGCCAGCACCACGCCCGGCCGCCTTTGTCTACTGAATGCAGATGGTTACACACCGCACAGGGTACTCATTTGAGGCTGAGTCGACATAGAGGAAGCCCAGGACAACTTCGAATGTTATCTGTCGTGAGCGGGAATCCAACTCGAGTCGCTGGGCTCCTAGCGCGGTGTGCTAATTTAACTCGGGTCACCGGGTTCGTCGCGCAGTGTGCGAACCACTACGCGACCATTCTCCACTTACACACAGACGCACGCACATGCACACACGGGCGCACTGTGTTCAGTAGCACAACAGTTTCTCTTTACACTTGGCAACTCAAGTTGAAAGTGTTGATGCATTAGCTCTGTCCATTCGTCTATCCATCTGTAGCCTGTAAAAGGTTATCCAGTAGAAAACAAACGGTAGTGTACTAAAAGGTGTTTGGTTGATCTTCGAGACTTGCCTCCGTGAAAACCGCCAGCATTGATCAATCATTTATTGAGAACTTTTTTGAGCCGGCTAGTCAGGATTGGGAAAAACCAGCCCACTTTACACCCAGGCAAATGGAGAGCACAGACTGTTACTAACCTTTAATTAAAATCAACATATTTAAGAATCATAATTAAGAAACAAACAACATGTACTATAAAAAAAATGCTAAATACATTGACCTCACGGGCCGAAGCGATGGTGTCGCACGCCATGATTGTATAATTTTTACGAGCACTATCATGCTTCCCCGTTATCATAATACCAGTAAAACCTTGGATTGCGAGCATAATTCGTTCTGGAAACGTGTTTGTAATCCAAAGCAGTCGTATATCAAAGTACTCGTATATCAGTTGTGATCACGTGACGCTCGGCAGACAAAGCGTATATACGTTCTACTCGTATTGCAAGACCCTCGCTCGTTTATCAAATTAATATTTATTAAAACATTTTGCTCGTCTTGCAAAACTCGCAGACCAAGTTACTCGCAATCCAAGGTTTTACTGTAAATCAAATATTTGTCTTTTGACGGAGATCCCTTTATGCCGGGCCGGGAGGGGGGTGGACGGGGGGGGGGGGGTGGCGGGGGGGGTCTCAGAAGCACTTTCTGAGCTATAAACACAACCCCCACATCTCGCAGACAGAGACTCGGGCTGCTGTCACGGCGGTGGCGGTGACCGCGACGTCGTGACGGCGATGGTGCCGTCGTCTACACCCCCACCCTCCCGCAGGCTCGGTGACAATCTTCGGGCTGCGGGTGGACGATCGGGACGAGCTGTCCGCGTTGCGCACCAGCTGCGGGTTCTGCCCGCAGGGCGACATCCTCTTCTCGGGGCTGACGGCGCGGGAGCAGCTGCGCGTGTTCGCGCTCCTCAAGCCGTCCGTGGCGGCCGCGGAGACAGAGGCGGAGGCTCGTGATGACCGCGCGCGCGTTCGCTCGCTCGCTCATTCACCTTCCCACCTAGTCGCCGACTCATTTACCCACTCGGCCACATCACCCACCCACTCATCCACCCACGCACTCAACTCACTCACTGACTCACGTACTCGGCCACCCAGCCGATCCCTCGCTCGCTCGCGCTCATTCACCCCGTCCCTCCGATTAGCACGGTTGGCCAAGTACGGCGCGAAAGAGGTTCAACTTACATACCTACACCCGCTTGCACACCCATCCACCTAGTCACCGACTGATTCGCTCACTCAGCCACACACCCACCCACTCATCAACCCACTCAGCTCACTTGCTCACCGAATCACATACTCAGCCACCCAGCCAATCACTCGCTCGCTCACCAACCCACCCACTCGCCTACCCGTTACAATTTGTATCATTATCGTTGTCTTACTATCCTTTCTACCAATCATCATCACCACCACTGCTATCCTCATTGTGATTTCCATCACTATTGTAATCACCAGCACTATCATAATGACATCATCTCTCCTCTCCATCACTCTGCGTGAGTCGATGTGGTAATGGGAGGAATGCTGGCACAGTGGGTAGCACATTCCGAACACAGCGACCGGAGTTCGATTTCCCGACCACGACAAATATCCGTGTCGAGCCATGTGTGAACCGGTCTCTGGGCCAGATGCTGGCCTCGCCACTCCCTCTTGCCCCATGCTGGCTTTAATAGGTGCTTGCTAAACGGCACTTGCCCCAACAGTCCGTAAAAGTATAATTGTGCGTGCGCGCGTGTCTTAATTGTGCGTGCATGTGTTTGATTTGGTTGTCTTCGCCCCACGCAGGTGTCTCGCGTTCTCTCGGCCACCGGCCTGGAGAAAGCGGCTGACAAACAGGTGCAGGATCTGAGCGGGGGCCAAAAGAGAAAGCTCTCCCTGGCGGCCGCCCTTCTGGGCAAGCCCAGGGTGCGTGACCCATGCATCATGTGCGTCCCACACATCATGCGTGTCCCCGTATTGCTCTGCGTGTTCCCGTGAGCGCTCTGTGCGCTTACGGGAGGATCTTTGGAGGCTCGTGAAGGACGCTACCGGGAAGTTGGGAGGCAGTCGCCCAATCAGCAGCAGAGGACGGAGGAGCGACGCTCGCAACAACGAGCAGAGCATCTGAAGGCTAATATACAGCATGTTGGCACAGCGGAGAGCACAGGTCATCTTAGTCAACACCTGGGTCTGACCCGTGACCTGCCAGCGAGCATTCAACACTTAATTGGGCCTCAAGCGCTATGGTGACATCAACGTCACTTGGTGACGAATAGCGAACTGCTGTGGTCATGTGCGTGTGTGCACGCGGCGCGTGCGTGTTCACCTTTGCGTGCGCGTTGACCTGTGGCGTGCGTGTTCACCTGTGCTAGCGCCGTTCACCTGCGCTTGCTCTCATGCTTCAGTTGTTGATCCTGGACGAGCCGACGTCCGGCATGGACCCCGTGTCGCGTCGCCGCGTGTGGAGTCTGCTGCTGGGAGGGAAGCGAGAGTGCGTCACGCTGCTCAGCACGCACTCCATGGAAGAGGCCGACGCACTCGCCGGTGCGTGCGTGCGTGCGCGCGTGTGTGTGCGTGCATGAGACTGTTTGTGTGTTTGTGTATGTGCGGTGGCGGAGCAGTTGTGTAGCGGTTAGCGCACAACGCCACTGGGGAGACAGGCCGTCGGGCGTGGTGCTGGCCATCCCCACCCCCTTGTGTACTGTTCCAGCCTTTTTAGGTGCCACTTGCTAAAAGCGCCTGCCCCAACGGTCTGTTTAGGCTATACGGGGGATCTTTTTCTTTGGTGGCACAGTGGCTGGAGCGCTCGGCGCTACGAACTCGGCGACGCAAGTTCAATTCCGGCACGCGGCCAACATTGATGACAAAAATCTGAATCGCTCATGGGCCTGCCGTTGGTTGACTCAGCTTCAAACATGTACCCGGTGCAATGTGTAAACATCGCCACTGGGGAGACAAAGGCGGCCAGGGAGGGGAGGGTATAGTCGTGATGGTTCTTGTGCCGTGCCGACCTTCTTAGGTGTTACTCGCTAACAGCACGTGCTCCCACAGTCTGCTAAAGCTTTACGGTGGATCTTTGTGCGTGTGTGCAATGGTGGTGGCCGGACTTGCTGCCAAGTCGGGCTCTGTAAAAGTGAAATTCATCGCAAAAGCGCCGATAACACTTTAAAATAATCTGAGACGTTCCCCATTCCGACTTTAGTTTCCTTTTTTTTTATTTTGAAAGTCTATGAACAGCTTTGTGTTTGTCTGTGCGTGCGTGCTCTTCCTCAACGCTCTCCGCGCGCGTGCACGCCCCTCCCCGTGTTCCGTGTCGCGCCGCAGACTGGAAAGCCGTTCTGTCTCAAGGCCGTCTCAAGTGCGCGGGCTCCTCGCTCTTCCTCAAAACCAAGTTCGGAGTCGGTTACCGTCTCACGTACGCACTGCGGGCGCATCCCACAGTCTCGGGAGATGACACCCATTGGTGCCGGTTGCCTCGCTCCCAAGCTGGTGCCAAGCTCCTCCGATCACAGCCAGATTACGAGTCACCCGGGGCCAGGCTCTGCCGCGGTTTTAGCAATGGTTTTAGAATACATTTCCCGCTCAAACGAGCACTTGAGGCCGTGCTCATCTCCTGCTTCACAGCCCCCGATTCAGGTGGTTCGTGGGTACTCCACGTTCCTGTGGCGCGAGTCTGTCCATCCATTGGACAGCCACTGCAGTAATTGATTACCGATAATTATCGATTCGGTCACTCAACCGATCAGACGAAACGAAAGCAAAGTTGGAAACAAGCAAACCTCTTGAATTTTGATTTAAAGCTTTCGTGACTGCAGGGATTCATTTTCTTGGTTCTTTCGGTAAAGTCACGTAGAAGGGAAACAATAAAATTATAAAAATATAAAACAATAAAATTCTCACGACGTTTCGACTGCAACACAAGCAATCATATAGTACTGGAGTTCTGACAGTACACCTGATGATGATTGCTTGTGTTGCAGTCGAAACGTCGTGAGAATTTTATTGTTTTATATTTTTATTATTTTATTGTTTCCCTTCTACGTGACTTTACCGAAAGAAGCAAGAATATAAACAAACCTCTGTTCCCTTTTGTGCCGCTGGATTGGCTGGGGGCTCGGTGACATCATCGCCATCGTCAGCCAGCTGCTGAATAAATGGGGCGCTGAGCTTCCCGCCCCTTAAAGTTATGGTGGAATTTCCGCCGCTGGGTCAGGACTGCTATCGGAGATTTATCTGGGGTAATTGGGAGGATGGGGTGGCCCACACAAAACACACACACACCCGACGTAGTTAATTGGGGCCCCTGGCAGCGTGTTTATTGTTCACCTACGTAGAGCGCATCTGTGTGTGTGAAGATTGGTTCGTAGAGTAATCGATTCGCTTGCCAACCACTTTAGCGGTCACCTGGGCACCGAGTCGCTGACCCTCGATGAGTGAGAAGCAGAATGCGTAATTGTAATTTTTTTTATTTTTTCGTAAGCACGGGTAACACATGCGGCCTGGCGTGGCACTTGCTGAACCATTCCCCTCAATTGGCATGCCGGCCTTAAAACGTGCTCGCTAACGGCATCGCTTATTGGCGAATGGCGGTTGTTATTATTGTGTACGCACGTATGAGTATGTGCTCTTGTGTTAGTATGCATATTTAAAGGAGCCCCGGTAATTGGGGGAGTGGTAGCGCAACGGTTGGCGCACTGCAGCACAAACCCGATGATCCGAGTTCGATTCCCGCTCACGGCTAATATCAGCGACAAATAGCTGAACCGGTCCTGGGCCTCCTCGAGGTCGCATTGGGGAGCGATAAAGATGCTGACCACCCAGTTGCCTGTGGTGCCATCCTGCCATCCTTCACAGGCGCTGCTACTCGCGAACACCACTTTCCCCAACATCCTATTAAAGGCTATCCGTTGGGGGCGGGGTGGGTGTTGCGGGGGGGGGGCTTATTTACTTTTGTTGTTGTTGCTGCTGCTGTTGCATGTAGGATGTGCGTGGGCGAGGAGTGCAACCCCGAGGAGGTCACAGCGCTGGTGTCGTCCCACGTGCCGTCCGCACGCCTCGCACGGAGATTCGGCGCTGAACTCGCCTACACGCTGCCCTTCAACGACGTGCGCAGCTTCACTGGTACTCCTCACCCCCCCTCCACCGACTATTTGCAGGAGGGTCCTGCTAATTGTAGGGGGGGGGGCGTCGATCTCTGTGTTTTTTCTATATCTAAATAAGTTATAATCGCTCCATCTCTGTCCGTAGACGCACTTTGGGATGCGTTCCATTCCTTGGCTGACTCGAGATGTTAGCTACCTCGCCTGGTACAGTGAGGGAAAAAAAGTATTTGATCCCCTGCTGATATTGTACGTTTACCCACTGACAAAGAAATGATCAGTCTATAATTTTAATGGTAGGTTTATTTGAACAGTGAGAGACAGACACAACAAAAACATCCAGAAAAACGCATGTCAAAAATGTTATAAATTGATTTGCATTTTAATGAGGGAAATAAGTATTTGACCCTTCTGCAAAACATGACTTAGTACTTGGTGGCAAAACCCTTGTTGGCAATCACAGAGGTCAGACGTTTCTTGTAGTTGGCCACCAGGTTTGCACACATCTCAGGAGGGATTTTGTCCCACTCCTCTTTGCAGATCTTCTCCAAGTCATTAAGGTTTCGAGGCTGACGTTTGGAAACTCGAACCTTCAGCTCCCTCCACAGATTTTCTGTGGGATTAAGGTCTGGAGACTGGCTAGGCCACTCCAGGACCTTAATGTGCTTCTTCTTGAGCCACTCCTTTGTTGCCTTGGCCGTGTGTTTTGGGTCATTGTCATGCTGGAATACCCATCCACGACCCATTTTCAATGCCCTGGCTAAGGGAAGGAGGTTCTCACCCAAGATTTGACGGTACATGGCCCCGTCCATCGTCCCTTTGTTGCGGTGAAGTTGTCCTGTCCCCTTAGCAGAAAAACACCCCTAAAGCATAATGTTTCCACCTCCATGTTTGACGGTGGGGATGGTGTTCTTGGGGTCATAGGCAGCATTCCTACTCCTCCAAACACGGCGAGTTGAGTTGATGCCAAAGAGCTCCATTTTGGTCTCATCTGACCACAACACTTTAACCCAGTTGTCCTCTGAATCATTCAGATGTTCATTGGCAAACTTCAGACGGGCATGTATATGTGCTTTCTTGAGCAGGGGGACCTTGCGGGCGCTGCAGGATTTCAGTCCTTCATGGCGTAGTGTGTTACCAATTGTTTTCTTGGTGACTATGGTCCCAGCTGCCTTGAGATCATTGACAAGATCCTCCCGTGTAGTTCTGGGCTGATTCCTCACCGTTCTCATGATCATTGCAACTCCACGAGGTGAGATCTTGGATGGAGCCCCAGGCCGGGGGAGATTGACAGTTCTTTTGTGTTTCTTCCATTTGCGAATAATCGCACCAACTGTCGTCACCTTCTCGCCAAGCTGCTTGGCAATGGTCTTGTAGCCCATTCCAGCCTTGTGTAGGTCTACAATCTTGTCCCTGACATCCTTGGAGAGCTCTTTGGTCTTGGCCATGGTGGAGAGTTTGGAATCTGATTGATTGATTGTTTCTGTGGACAGGTGTCTTTTATACAGGTAACGAGCTGAGATTAGGAGCACACTCTTAAAGGGAGTGCTCCTAATCTCACACTCTTAAAGGAAGTGCTCCTAATCTCAGCTTGTTACCTGTATAAAAGACACCTGGGAGCCAGAAATCTTTGTGGTTGAGAGGGGGTCAAATACTTATTTCCCTCATTAAAATGCAAATCAATTTATAACATTTTCGACATGCGTTTTTCTGGACTTTTTTGTTATTATTCTGTCTCTCACTGTTCAAATAAACCTACCATTAAAATTATAGACTGATAATTTCTTTATCAGTGGGCAAACGTACAAAATCAGCAGGGGATCAAACACCTTTTTCCCTCACTGTATGTGGGAAGTCGTGGGTTTTGATCCAAACTCTTATGCCTATATATTGGGTGAAATTGTGAACAATAGCCATATCAGACATTAGTACATCTAATCGGCATAATCATTCGTTCACTGCAGCTCAAAGACTCAGTCCTACAAGGCATGTGGTGCTTGGCTTTGTTTCATGTATCAATTGAGAGTAGGGTTTAAGGGTTGCTGGCCCTCGACCCCAGGCACGCTTGAGCTATACATGACCTCATCTGAAAGCGTCCGAAGACTCAGAAATGATCGTGCTCAGGCATGAGCTACTCGGTCAAGGGTGGGGTGACGAGCGTTTTTGTTATACGCCCGCTACCCCAGGTAGCGTGGATTTTCTACGGGTCCTCTGTTTTTTTTTCCCTCAAACGTTTAGAAACATGCGTTTAGACTATTTTGGCTGCTATAAATTTCCACATAATGATAAGCCACTTCGTTGAGCTATCATTTGTGACCAGGTCGCTTCTGAAAAAGAGCTATACAGCTCAGTGTGGGCCCTTACCTGGTAACGTTTTTGTTTTTTACACGGTGACGATTGTCCCGGCGTGAGTGTCGAACGTCCTAACAGGCAAGAGGGAGTCCGTCCCTTGGAGAACATCAAACCGTGCCTTAAAAGGCCAAAAAAATGTGTAGAGAAGGTGACGTTTGTGACAGTGGCCCTCAATGGCCACGTAAATTATTCGTTGATTTATGTACTGTGAAGCAGATGGGCCATTCCTAGACACTTCGCCCGATTTATATTTGTTTTCCGGTGTAAGGCAGTGTTATTGACGGAATGTTAGTTTGTTGTCAATTGTGCTTGTGCACCATCGCTGCCATCGCAGCAGCAACAACATCACAGAATTATTTGTCATGTACCACTTCATTTAGACAACTTTGTACTCGCTCATATGGTGTATGTGCATGTTTATAAGTGGGGAACGGTCGTGTCGCAGTTTGCACGCTGCGCTACGAACCCGACTTCAAGAGTACGATTCCCGCTCACGGCCAACACCATTGATGATTATTTAAACTGATCCTGTGCCTCCCCTAAGTCGACTCAAATAAATACCTGGTGCATGGTGCTCAGTGTGTAAATATCAGCCCTGGTGAGACAAAGGCGGACAGGCATGGTGCTGGCCATCCACCCCCTCGTGTGCTCGGCCAGCCTTCATAGGTGCTACTCGTGAACAGCACATGCCCCCAACGGTCTTTTAAAAGCTATACTACGGATCTTTGCACGTGTATACGAATGTGTTAATTTGTAGATGTGTGTGTGTGTGCACGTGAAGGTCTATTCTCCGTGCTGGACACGCGTACCGATCTGTGCGTGCACAGCTACGGCGTCTCCATGACGACCCTGGAGGAGGTGTTCCTCCGACTGTGGGAGGAGTCCGAGATGGAGCAGCCAGTCCTGACAGGTGCCTGCAAGGACGGGAGGGTGTGGGGGAGATGCCGTGTGGGCCCCTATGGCCTACGCAGGCTGTTGGGGAAAGTGCTGTTAGCGAGCGCCTATTCAGGCGGCTGGCACGGCGCACAAGCGCGTGGTGTGGACGGCACCACGTGCAGCCACTAAACAGCACATGCCCCAACAGTATGTTAATAGCTACATGGGCCTATACACAGAGGCACACAATCCAAAGGTAAATACCCGGTCTCACTTGCACTGTCTCACCTACCTTCGCAAGTGAGACAGTGCAATGGGTTTTGGGGTATTTGCCTTTGGAGACGCAACAAGAGGTCTCAGTGGGGCGTGCAGGTGGTGCATCTGCCAGTTTATCTCAGTTAACCCGTAGGACCTGGGTCTGTCCCGTGACCTCCAGCCAGCGAGCCTTTGGCACTTTACGTGGCGCAAGCGCTGCGGTGAGATCGCCATCACTTGGTGGGGAATGGCGGCTGTTGTTTTGTGTTTTTCAGTTTCTTTTATATATTTTTTATTTCACCTCGATAAGAACTGGTGCTGGCCCACCCACCCCAGCTTGTGCCATGCCGGGCTTCATAGGTGCTCGCTAACAGCACTTGCCACAACATTCTGTTCAGGGTATTGGGGGGGGGGGGGTGGGATCTTTGTCTTTGTGCAAGAAGTTTTGTTCACTCCGCGCATCCCTCTCAGATTACAGCGTGTTTGCTGACGCGGAGACCGCCGGCAACGGCCAGGGGGCAAGGGGGGACGTCGCCGACGGAGACGGCAACGCGTCGGCCTCGGAAGACGATTCAACGTCCGACCTGGGCAGCCTGCACCTCCTGACCTATGATCCCGGCAATGGCGAGGCACCGCGACCCGGCCCTCTGACCGGCTGGGCGCTGTGGTGTCAGCAGCTGCGTGTCGTGGCGTGGCTGCGCATCATCAGCTACCTGCGCGAGTACTCCTCGCTCGTCTACCTGTGAGCGCCGTCCGCTACCCTCGGGGGAGCCGAGAGAAGGGAACGCGGGGCCCTGGTAGAGGGATGCGGAGCTAAGTGTGACGTGTGGCGATAGGGTCAGGGGTCGTCAACCTGCGGCTCCGGAGCCGCACGCGGCTCTCTGAGGGCTGCTTCGTGATGTTAATAATGTGCATTGTGGCTTTTAAAAATATTGAGTTTTTACAGAATTCAAACAAAACATTGCTCTTATTTTGGTTGCCGACCGCTGAGATGGGGTCACAGTTAGGAGCATGGTCAGGGATGGTGCCAGTGTCTGGCTGGCCTGTTTGGTAGCGTCGGGGGTTGGGGCTGTAAGCTGTGTGGATAGTTTGTGAGTGCCATGGTTAAAGTTACACATGGCTGGCTGGTTAAGAATGGGGTAAGGGTATTGCTGGGAGTGGGTTGGCTAATTTGCTAGTATTTGGGCTACCGTTAGGAGTAGGTAGGATTAGGAGCTTGTCGGATAGTTACGGTTGGGGTCTGGGTAGGTTGGCCATATTATAGTTTACTTACGGTTGGGACTAGGATCAGGGTCATCGGTTGACCATCGGTCCGCTGTCTTTTCGCGCAGCGTGGTTACGCCCGCCATCTTCATCGGCTTTGCGATCTGGTTGGCCTGGTTGGGCGACCGCATGGATGCCCACCAGCCGGCGGCGTTGAAGCTGTGGCCTGGCCTGTACCTCCTGGGCACGAAGGGTGGCGCGGAGACAGGCGCCCACACGCGTCTCCTCGTGCTAACTTCCGCAGGTTGGTTTCCGTCTGCCGCTGTTTACCCGCGTTGCGACGCCGCCACCGACGGCGTCATGCGGTTGGCTTGAGCGCCGGGTCAGGGGATGAGATGGGAGCTGGGAGGGCCCCGTCCAATTTTCCCCAACTTCGCCGTCTATGGGTCTCTTTAAAAACTCATTGGTGACCGGGCTGAGACCATCAACTCTCTGCTGCACTTGAGAACCCGTTTTTACCGCAAACTCGGTCTATGCGAGTTGGTGCCCAGGTGACCGCTAGCTCATCGGCAAGCGTACCGATTACGATCCAACAAAGACACAGATGCATTCTTCGCATTCACCCCGTTCTGCGTAGGTGAACAATAAACACGCTGCCAGAGCCCAATTCACAACGTTTATCATTATCCGTGCGTGTGTTCTTTGTGTGAGCCACCCCATCCTCACAATTACCCCAAGATAAATGACTGTATCCCCGATCGCTGTCTTTTATGCAACTCTATGGGTCTCTATGCGAGTCTATGAGGTTCTATGTGAGTCTATGGGTCTCTGTGCGAGTCACTGGTGACCAGGCTGAGATCATCAAATCATTACACTTGACAATGCAGTTTAATCGCAACAAGGTCTATGTGAGTCTGTGGGTCTCTGTGCGAGTCACTGGTGACCAGGCTGAGACTCTCGACTCAAAAATAGAGAACCCAATTTAATCACGGGCGGCTGAAATTCAGACACCAACCTCGATGACCTCTTGACCTTGACCCTCCGACACAGAGAACGGGTTGAGCGAGGCGACCATTGGCTCCCTGCAGAGTCTGGAGGTGCAGTTGGATCTGAGTCCCGGGTCTCATTCCCACAACCTCGCCCTCAACCTCACACAACAAGGACCACAGGTGGGACTCCAGGTTTTGCACCGGATTTGTAGCAGGGTGCCGTGACGTGACTGAACTATGATATACCCTATGCAGTTACCTGGTGTCCGTTTGTAAACATCAGGGACTGGGGAGACAAAGGTGGCTGGGTGTGGTGCTGGCCACACCAACCCCTCGTGCGCTGTTCCGGCCTTCATAGACGAGTGTGCCCGTGCACCTGGCCTGGCACAGGTGCCGTGGTGACGTCACCGACACTTTGTGGCGAATGGCGGGTATTTGATTATTGGATTGTACATGTAGCGGTAGAGAGCACGGCTGTTGTATCTGCCAGTCATCGCAGTCAACCCATGGCACCTGGGTCTGTCCCGTGACCTGCCGCCGAGCCTTCGACATTTCACGTGGCTTCGAAGTGCACCTAGCCTGGCACCAATCTCTGTGGTAAACAACGCCGCAGCATTGTGACTAGTCGTGGTTGTTGTTGTTGTTGTTGTATCCATATGTGTACACGTTTGTGTCTGTGTGATTGTGCAGGGTGTAACTGGCCAATACAACAGCACTGCCCTGCACTCCCTGCCAGTGCTCGTCAACCTCCTCAGCAACTGGGTTCTGCACAGCCTCAATGGCACTGGGGTCATCACAACGTGGAGCCAGCCCCTGCCTCGGGTAACCACCGCCAGCACACACCTCTGCGTGCGTGCGTGTGTTTGCCTGTAGGTGTGTATCTGTGTGTGAGGAGCGGTAGTGCAGCGGTTAGCGCACTGCGCTCGAGATAGATTCCCACTCACGACTAACACCAGTGACAATGATCTGAATCGGTCCTGGGCCTCTCCTAGGTCGACTCAGCCTCAAATGAGTACCTGGTGCGATGTGTCAACATTGCCAATAGGGAGACAAATGCGGCCGGGCGTGGTGCTGGCCGCTCACCCCCTCATGTGCCGTGCTGGCCTTCTCATAGGTGCTCTCTAACAGCACTTGCCCAAACAGTCTGTTGAGGCTATCTGCTTTGTCTTTGTGTGTGGTGAGCAGTAGTGTAGCGGTTAGCACGCTGCGCTACAATGCGTAAGCATCAGCAATGGGGAGGCGGCCGGGTGAGGATTCCGGCCACACCACCCACTCGAGGGCCACCGTGTGCCGGCCTTAATAGTTGCTCACTTACAGCGCCTGCTCTTTGTTTACTAGATGAACAGCTCGGGTTTCACCGACGCCACGCTGGTGCCGTTAGCCATGTTCATCGGCCTCGGGGCCAACTGGCTTCCCTGCTACTTCATTTTCGACATCGTTCGCGACCGAGAAGTAAGACGTCGACAATTTCAGATTGTTGTGGTGCGAACCGTTGTGGTGCGAATTGTTGTGGCGATCGGTTGTTGGGCATCGTGTTGTGAGGATGAGGAGCCCATTTGGAACTCAAGCAGGGAGACTGCACGAGCATGAATTACAATTTGAACATTGTGTGTGGAGGTTCATCTCTGCGTTCTCCAGTTTCCTCCGACAACCAAGCAAAACCACTCCTTATTTAAAAATGAATTGGCAAGGCAAAACATCCGTGTAGTGCCGTGACTTTAGAGACTCGGCGAGACTTTTCTGGATAGTTGAAATAAATGGGGCGTTAAATATTTTACTTATTTTATTTATCCCAGCCTTATTTTTCACAAATAAAAAAAATGTAATCCTTTTATCTAGGAAAATCACAAAAGACTCTTTTTCAGGAGGGTCCCGGCTCATTGAGATGTTTGGTTAATTCCACGAATGACTGTGTTTGGCTTGGCGTGGTGGAAAACCAGAGAACCCAGATAACTCCCCCCCCCCCCCCATGCATGCGAGGGAGTAATACTCGAAGGGTCCTCACCCATGGGTTCACGAACCTACTTGCTGCACTGCCACATCCTGGCCACGTCACAACCTAGCAGGCTAAGGATATTCATTCAAAACTCCGCACACATCGATTCCAGAATCCTTCGCTGTACGGCACCGGCATCTCCATCCTCCTCTCGTTTATACACGGGGGTTGTGTTCTTCAAAAACGGCACAGAACTCAAAATCGCATAAATTTAATGTCATTTTCCCATTCGAAATTGGAAATAGTTTGGGTTCGGGAGAACACGCTATCGAACCTCATTCTTACGTCTACATAGTTCACTAGTTGGAGTACATATTATATTTACAACACTACCATACATGTATGAAAGATAGTAACAGCCTCTTTAAAGAAAGAAAAACACATTTTTAACACATAGTGAGATGCTTACCAGATGTATTGGTAGGCAAATGTGTGCACAAGCCAAATTTCACGTGGACTAGATTTTCAAAGTGCTACGCAAGAAGGAGATGCTGATGCTGCCCGCGCTTTGTGGTTGTCGGAATGCACCCGCTGAAGTTTGCTGCCTGACTGACGATTAGCTCGCAACGCATTCCGTACACCCTGGCCAACATGCTGGAGTGCATTATTTCAATTACAGTGCGCGCATAACAAAAATAAGTGTAAGTTCATCTTACTTGCTGCTTCAAAATCGCGTTACATAAACGCGTAAAACGCGAGGCAACTACCACCAACACAAGAATACAAAACCCCTTCGTTTCGGCTTGATCAGGTCTCGTCAGCAACGTGCGTCCCACTGATGTAACGCAGAGCTTGCGTTCGTGTGCGTGCAGCTGCAGGCGCGCTCGCTCATGCGCATCAGCGGACTGGCGCCCTCGGCCTACTGGCTGGGCCTGGCCTCCGTGGACCTCGCCTCCTACAGCCTCCTGCTGCTGGCGCTGCTGGCGACGGCGTTTGGCATCGGCGTGGGGTCGCTCACTCAGCCCGGCGCCGCCCTCGCGCTGGTGCGTCGTGCTACCAGTCGTGCCGGTGGTGATGGCGGTGGTGGCGCTGGTGGTGCCGCAGGTGGCGGCGGTGGCGGTCGTGGTGGTGTGGGTCAGCAGCGGGATCTTATAGTCCACTCAATACCTGACTGGTAGCCAGTGTAAAGACAAGAGAGCAGGTGTGATGTGCTCGTAAGGACTCTAGCAGCTGCATTGTGAACGAACTGGAGTCCAATTAGGGCTGCAGTGTTACTGGTGAATGTGTCGAGTTGTTGTTTGTACGTTGTGCGTCGCTGCTAAATCAGCAGGAGCATCACCGGGTGACGTGTGTCGCGTGCAGATCATCTGCCTGGTGGGCTCTGCCCCAGCCACTTTGCTCTTCACCTACGTCTGCTCCTTCCTCTTCTCCAAGATGGAGAGTGTGCAGACCGCATGGCCCCTCATCGCCATGCTGGTAGGGCCCCCCCACCACCCCCGCACTGTTTGTGGCTGGTGTGCACTTGTGCCATCTTAACGACTGCCGCACACCCATGCACACACTCGTCACGCACTTGCCACACTCGTCACACACTTGCCGCACACGTCACACACTCATCACACACCTGCCAAACACGACACACCTGCCACACTCGTCACACGCTTGCCGCACACATCACGCACTTATCACACACCTGGGGCACTCATCACACGCCTGCCACGCTCATCACACACCTGCCACACTCATCACACACCTGCCACACTCATCACACACCTGCCACACTCATCACACACCTGCCACGCTCATCACACACCTGCCACGCTCATCACACACCTGCCACGCTCATCACACACCTGCCACACTCATCACACACCTGCCACACTCATCACACACCTGCCACGCTCATCACACACCTGCCACGCTCATCACACACCTGCCACACTCATCGCACACCTACCACACTCATCACACACCTACCACACTCATCACACACCTGCCACACTCATCACACACCTGCCACGCTCATCACACACCTGCCACACTCATTACACACCTGCCACGCTCATCAAACACCTGCCACACTCATCACACACCTGCCACTCATATCGCACACCTGCCACACATATCGCACACCTGCCACACTCATCGCACACCTGCCACGCTCATCGCACACCTGCCACACTCATCGCACACCTGCCACACTCATTACACACCTGCCACGCTCATCAAACACCTGCCACACTCATCGCACACCTGCCACACTCATCACACACCTGCCACGCTCATCAAACACCTGCCACTCATATCGCACACCTGCCACGCTCATCAAACACCTGCCACACTCATATCGCACACCTGCCACGCTCATCAAACACCTGCCACACTCATCACACACCTGCCACGCTCATCAAACACCTGCCACTCATATCGCACACCTGCCACGCTCATCAAACACCTGCCACACTCATATCGCACACCTGCCACGCTCATCAAACACCTGCCACACTCATCACACACGCTGATTTCCCGCAGTTGGCGCTGGCCCCGTACCTGGTGGTGACCCTGCTGGAGAGCGCCGGCGAGCTGTACGGCCTGGCCACCGCGCTGCACCACGTCTTCTCCCTCTGCGACCCCCTCTACGTCCTCATAGGCAACATCTACTACGTGCTCCAGGTGCGCCGCCGTGCACCCTTCGCTTCCTTCCTTCTGCCAGATCCCGCCATCGTTTGTATGTTTAACACGTAAGCTTTCGCGACCGGTCTTATCCATAATGAAGGTATTTTTTGGGGTTAGATCGCGTAAATATGAACGTGTCGTTAAAACCGCAACCACCCGACCCAGCCAATTATTTAGGTTTGGTTGTTAGCCAAAAGCCCCTGCTGCGAGGATGACCAGAGTTCACGTGATGGTTTGGAAATTCCACAGCTGCCCATCTTTTCAGAGCCTGCTCACGCAGTGTCACATCACCGCCACCCTCTAGCTCTTTATTACGTGGTTAATGTTCTTCAAAAGCAATCTTGCAGTCTCCCGATCTCCCATCAGAAGTAGGTCTTTCTCCTTGCGCGCGTGGTTCATGGTTCATCGAGGACTACTTTTGGAAGTCTCTCATCGTCGCCAGGTCTTGTTTACATGGCCAATACGTCTTTCAAGGACCGCGCTTTTCCAGTCTTGCCACCCGGAACATAACGTCTTTACGCACCCGGCACACCACGTCTGCTGTACCCCTCGCCGTGGCTGTGACTGTTACCCATGTTGCCCACCTAGCCTGGTCCGCCAGCGATGTAGAGGATGGTCGCCGTAGGCGCGACGGAACGTCGCGCGTGTACGTGCATGCGTGTACGTGCGTGCGCGTGTGTGTGTGCGACTCATCAGGTTTACTTGCGGGGCAAGCAGAGGGGAGCACAGCCCACTCTCTCCGACTACTTCGCCTGGGACTCCAACATCCCCATCACTTTGCTGGCGGTGAGGCCTCGCTCGGGTGGACGGGGGTGGGGGGTGGAGGGCAGGGGGAATATTTGTTCAGAGGACAAAACCCCCGAGGGATTCAAGAAAAACAAATCTACATGCACGCGGTTGCGTTATTGGCGAGCACCTATTATGATTATTACTACTGCAGAGGAAAGAGAGAGACTAAAACTAAACGATGATTTATTGATTATTTTACCGGATAAGGCCCACTGAGCTTTATCGCTTATTTTTCAGAAGCGACTTGGCCACAAATGATAGTTCAACAAAGCGGCTTATCACGTGGTAATTTAGTCCAGCCCAATGCTGTAAACGCATGTTCCTAAATGTGGAGGGCAAAGCCGGAGGACCTAGAGAGAAATCTACGCTACCAGGGAGAGAACACACAAACTCCAAATATACAGCAGGCGTCAGGGTCGGGATCGACCCCACGACCTCCTGTATACCAGGCGAGGTAGTTAACATCTCACCACGGCGGCACCCATTGCTTACTTTGTTTCATACTATCCTCCAGTATGCAGCATCTCACACGCATTGACCCTCCCGTGTCGCAGCGCACGCTTAACTTATTAACTTAAAGTAGATGAGCAGAACATTCACCTCCTTCCCTTACCTGCTGCTCCGCGTAAAAAAAAATGAACGTCCACTTCTTTTTACACATCCCATCGCACCTCCCCTCTGACCGCATCTGCCCCTCAATGTTCTTCCTTCCCCCATGCTGCCGCACTCAACCTTCGACCGTTTGACCTCCGCGCGTGTGCGTCTGTCCCCGCTTGGCGCTGCCCGCCGCAGCCGTACGCGATGGTGGGCGCATTGTGGCTGGCGCTCATGTTTCTTGAGAGGAGACCAATGGGGCACGGGGACGTTCACGACCCCGTCTTCTGGTGAGGAGCGGCGACGGGGGGTGTGGGGGGGTCTTAGTCTTGTGGGTGCTGGTGGATCTCGTGGCCAACATCAGTGAATATTATTTGAACTAATCCTGGGCCTCAGCGAGGTCGACTCAAATAAGTACCTGGTGCGGTGTGTAAACATCACCACTAGGGAGACAAAGGCGGCCAGGCGTGGTGCTGGCCACCCACACTCTCGTGTGCTATGCCAGCCTTCATAGGTGATCGCTAACAGCACTTGCCCCAACAATACAGGGGGTGTTTGTCATTGGTGTGTATCATGGGGGTGATAGTGGTGGTGGTGGTGGTGGTGTCTCTCGTATGTTGGTGATGGTGGTGGTTTTAGTGACGGTAAGTGGTGGTGCTGCTGGTGATGATGTCCTGCCGTAGGTCTGATGCTCCTCTGCCCAGTGTGTCCAATTTGTTTCTATTGTTTCACATCTGTCCCATGTATTTGTCCTGCACGTGTCCCACCGTTCTCTGTCATGCGTCCCGCTTACCAGGACACAAGGTTCACCCCCCGTGAACCTTGTGTCCTGCTCATGTCCTGCGCGCCCTGTGTGTGGCTGTTTTCTCACGTCGCTTCAATGTCTCGCGTGCCATGTGTGTTGTTATCATGGGCGATGGACCGTCATCGTCATAATCATTACGTCCCACGTGCTGATGATGACGATGGCGTGATGTCATTACACGTGTACCACCCGTGCCCCGTACGAGACGTCCGTCATCACCGTGCGTCTTTTCTCGCTCGCGCTTCCGTGTCCGACAGCATCTCCGGGCGCCGGCGCCGCGTGGTGGCCAACACCGAGCGGCCCGAGGGGGAGGACGAGGACGTGGCGTGGGAAAGGGAGCGCGTGAAGCGCGCGCTGCACAACCACGAGGTGGGTGCGGTGGTGCGATGACGGGAGCACAACGGGAGCACGCGCGACGGGAACACAGCGATGGGAACACAACAGTGCATGAGACACCGTGATAGTTGTGTTGTGTTAACATCAACACTGGGGAGTCAAAGGCGGCCGGGCATGGAGCTGGCCACCCACCCCCTCATGTGCCATGCCGGCCTAGTATGTATCTATGTATGTTGAACTTCTTTTGCACCGTATGTAGTCAACCGTGCTCATCGGAGGTGCGGCCTTTGTAGGTGTTACTCGCTTGACAGCACTTGTTCTTTGTGCCTCGCAGAGCCCAGCGATGCTGGTTCACTCGCTGCGCAAGGAGTTTGGAAAGAGTCAGAGTGGCTGCCACTGCCGGAGCGGCCGTGGGAAGGCGTGCGTTGCCGTCAGGAACCTCTCCTTCATGGTGGAGCGAGGTGGGTGCCACATGAGGCGCCGCAGTGGCCAGATGTTAACTACCTCGCCTGGTATGCAGGAGGGCGTGGGTTCAATCCCGAGCCTGACACCTGCTGTATATTTGGAGTTAGCGTGTCTCCCTGTGGTCGCATGGATTTTTATCCGGGTTTGCCGGTTTTTCTCCTCCATATTTACATATTTAGGATCATGCGTTTAGAGTATTTGGCTGCTATAAATTTCCACATGATAAGCCATTTTAGTTGAGCTATCATTTGTTGCCATGTCGCTTCTGAAAAAGAGTTGTATAGCTCAGTAGGCCTTACTTGGTAAAATAAAAACAGTTCGTTTATATACTCTTTGGTTCTTTCGGTGAAGTCACGTAGGTATAAAATAACTTCCTCCTCCCCCCCCGCATCCCCAGCTCTCTCTCTCGGCCTCCCACTTACAGCCCCGCCCACTTCCCCCCCCCCCCCAGCCTCACGTCCCTCTCCTAGCGTCCACGCAGTGCTCCCCTCCCCCTACCCCCCCCCCTCTCTCCCCCCTTTCTTACCTATATAACCTCTTACCACGGCAGCTCTCTCTCCCACTTCAGCAAAAAAAATTGCTGTGGTTTTCCCACCTGATGATGATTGCTTGTGTTGCAATCGACACGTCGTGATTTATCTTATTTTCTACCTACGTGACTTTACCGAAAGAACCAAAGAGTATGGATTCCTGCAGTCACGAAAGCTTCAAATCTGGTTAGTTCATGGTTTTAGTTTACACAGCCGCGCCATCACACAATTCGAACACAACTGCCAACACAACCACCACATAACCACCATGCAACCGCCACGCAACCTTGCCATACCTGAGTGTGAGGTGGACTGTTAAAGCCATTACCACGTTCATCTCCCCTAGGTCGACTTAGCCTAAAATGAGTGCCTGGTGCAATGTGGAAACGTCGCCACTCGGGAGACAAAGGCAGCCGGGCGTGGTGCTGGCCACCCACCCCATCGTGTGCCATGCCGACCTTCATAGGTGATCGCTAAGAGCACTTGCCCCAACAATCTGTTAAGGATATACGGACGTACGATCTTTGCCTTTGTGAAAGGGTGTTTGTCCATGTGTTTGTGTGGTGTGCCTGTGCATTTGTGTCCGATTGTATGTGTGGAGAGCAGTGGTGTTATTCTTTACGCAACCTACAAACCCGGTTGCCTAAGTTCAGTTTCCAACTATGGCTAATGTCATTGGCAAGTGACATCTTAACTGGTCCTGGGCCTCCCCTAGGTCAATTCAGCCTTAAATGAGTACAGGGACTCCTCTACTTACAAACACACCTGTATGTCCAGTTGGCTGAGTCATAAGTGCAACCACTGCGCAATAGATGGAAGTGGTGGCATCTCCATCTGCAGAACATGAAGAACCAGTGGCATCTACATCTACAGGAGATTATACAACTTTTAAAGCCATTCCCCGTGTTTAGTGTACAACATGTTTGGAATCGACAGGAGTAAAGTTGGACTTACGAACAAATCGACTTCTGGAACCTCACTTGTTCGTAAGTATAGGAGAGTCCCTGTATCTGGTACTCTTGTGTTTAAACATCAGCACAGGTGAGATGGTGTCAACCGAGCGTGTTCTTTCACCGCATCTCCCCCCCCCACGTGTTTAGTTACTGAACTTAATGGATGCTCACTAACAACCACTGCGCCCGAACATTCTGCGTGCGTTACCCGGCTGGGGGGATCTTTGTCTGTGCGCAGGGGAGGTTCTGGGGCTGCTGGGACCCAACGGGGCTGGGAAGACGACCACAGTGGAGCTCTTAGCTGGAGAGTTGAAGCCCAGCGCTGGACAGGTGCCACAATCGGTTCCTGCTTCACCCTGCGTGGACTTGGCGTTACCCAGCGCCATACCAGGCCTGGCACAGGCTCGACGCAGCCTTCACCATAACGGCATCGTTCACCATAACGGCATCGTTCACCGTAGCATCCATTCACCATAGCGTCCGTTCACCACTGCGTCCGTTCACCAAAGCTCAAACCGTATTGCTAGCCCTAACCCTGTACGTTCACCAACGCAACGTTTCGAGAGAATGACCCTCGCGTGAATCCCCGACGGCGGCAAGACGCTCGCACTGACGGCGCGCACACCCTGCCCTTGCTGTCACGACCGCCGCCCCCCGCAGGTGGTGCTGGGAGATGGCTGTGCGCGGGGGGCGCAGCTGGGCCTGTGTCCCCAGGTGAACCCCCTGTGGAAGAAACTGACGCTGGCGGAGCACCTGTCCTTCTACGCGGCCGTGCGGGGGCTCCGGCGGGATGAGGCACGCGCCGTCACGCAGGGGTAACGCCACGCGGGGGGGGGGGTAACGTAAGGCAGGGGGGGTAACGTCATGCGGGGGGGGGTAACGTCACGCAGTGGGGGGGGGGTAATGCCACGCGAGACGCGCAGAGATGTTGGACAGCGCAGAGAGAACACGGGCAGTTCTGATACCAAGTAAATTAGAATAATACAATGAAGCGTATATGTTATATTTCGATTTAAAGCTTTCGTGACTGCAGGGATTCATCTTCTTGGTTCTTTCGGTAAAGTCACCACGTAGAATGGGAATAAAATAATAAAAAGAAAACATAAAATATTTAAGTCGCGTAGAATGGAAATAAAATAGTAAAAATAAAACATAGTAAAATAAAATATTATATTTTATTTTTATTATTTTATTTCCATTCTACGTGACTTTACCGAAAGAACCAAGAGGGCGTATATGTTATAGTTTTATTTATTATGACCGGGAGATGATGGATGACACTGGATGATGATCATGATGATGGGAGACGTCTGGAGGCATTGAGCTATACTAGGGAGGCTCTTGAGAGACGCTTAAGATGCTGGGAAAGAATTGCGTGTTCTGGGTGATTCTGTGCAAGACACTGAAAGACACTTTGAGAAACGTTGGGAGGCACTGGTGGAGAAAGTGGGAGACACAGGGCAGACAATTGGAGACACAGGATGTACCAATACCAAGCTAATAACAATAATATCTATACATCACGAAACTATTTAAATCAATTAACATCAATCAGCCATGATCCAGTGCATTGCTAGATGATGGTGTGATTGTGGCTGTGTAGGATGATATCGGCATTGGCGCTGAAGGAGCACGCGGAGAAAGTGACGCGGAAGCTGTCGGGCGGCACCAAGCGCAAGGTGGGGGGGGGGTTCCCTGTGCGGTGCCTACACCCCCACAACCACCACTCAACCACTCACAACCACCAGCTCAACCACTCACAATCACCAGTTTAACCACTCACAATCACCAGCTCAACCACTCACAACCACCAGCTCAACCACTCACAACCACCAGTTCAACCGCTCACAACCACCAGTTCAACCGCTCACAATCACCAGCTCAACCGCTCACAATCACCAGCTCAACCACTCACAACCACCAGTTCAACCACTCACAATCACCAGCTCAACCGCTCACAACCACCAGCTCAACCACTCACAACCACCAGCTCAACCGCTCACAACCACCAGCTCAACCGCTCACAACCACCAGTTTAACCTCTCACAATCACCAGCTCAACCGCTCACAACCACCAGCTCAACCGCTCACAATCACCAGCTCAACCGCTCACAACCACCAGTTTAACCTCTCACAATCACCAGCTCAACCGCTCACAACCACCAGTTCAACTGCTCACAACTACCAGTTCAACCACTCACAATCACCAGTTTAACCTCTCACAACCACCAGTTCAAAAGCTCACAACCACCAGCTCAACCGCTCACAACCACCAGCTCAACCGCTCACAACCACCAGCTCAACCGCTCACAACCACCAGCTCAACCGCTCACAACCACCAGCTCAACCGCTCACAACCACCAGTTCAACCTCTCACAACCACCAGCTCAACCGCTCACAACCACCAGCTCAACCGCTCACAACCACCAGCTCAACCGCTCACAACCACCAGCTCAACCGCTCACAACCACCAGTTCAACCACTCACAATCCCCAGTTTAACCTCTCACAACCACCAGTTCAACCGCTCACAATCACCAGTTTAACCTCTCACAACCACCAGCTCAACCGCTCACAACCACCAGTTCAACCGCTCACAATCACCAGTTCAACCACTCACAACCACCAGTTCAACCGCTCACAACCACCAGTTCAACCGCTCACAACCACCAGCTCAACCGCTCACAACCACAGTTCAACCGCTCAGAACCACCAGCTCAACCGCTCACAACCACCAGTTCAACCGCTCACAACCATCAGTTTAACCTCTCACAACCACCAGCTCAACCACTCACAACCACCAGTTTAACCTCTCACAACCACCAGCTCAACCGCTCACAACCACCAGCTCAACCGCTCACAACCACCAGCTCAACCGCTCACAACCACCAGCTCAACTGCTCACAACTACCAGTTCAACCACTCACAATCACCAGTTTAACCTCTCACAACCACCAGTTCAAAAGCTCACAACCACCAGCTCAACTGCTCACAACTACCAGTTCAACCACTCACAATCACCAGTTTAACCTCTCACAACGACCAGTTCAACTGCTCACAATCACCAGCTCAACTGCTCACAACCACCAGTTCAACTGCCCACAACCACCAGTTCAACTGCCGACAACCACCAGTTCAACCGCCCACAACCACCAGTTCAACCGCTCACAACCTCCAGCTGAGGCCTGGCTTATATTGAAATGTATAACATCCAAATACTGCCAAGTGCATGTTTCTAAATGTGGAGGACCCGGAGAAAAATCCACGCAGACCACGGGGATAACATGTAAACTACATATATACAGCAGACGTCCTGCATACCTGGCGAGAGAGTTAACATCTCACCACCACGGCATTCGTATCGACTCAACCACCAATTCAACCACTCACTCACAACCACCACCCTCAAATTCACCGACATAGCCGCTGATTTAACCAGAGGCATCTGCCAGCTCAACCTCCTACTCGGAGCCACCGACTCACTGAATGATGGCCAATTATTTTGATGTTGCGAGTTTTGACAGGATCCGTGGTTGCGTTTGACACATTGTTGTTGTTGCTGATGTTAGTGGCGGTGATGGTGGTGGCGGCGATGGTGGTGTTTATAGTAATGACGTCGGCGGCGGCGGTGATGACGGTGATGCTGATGATGGTGGTGACGTTTGCGGTAGGAGTGGTTGTGATGTCAGTAGTTGTGATAATGGTTGCTCGTGGTTGCCTGTGGCAGCTGTGCTTTGCTCTCAGCATGCTGGGAAGCCCCTGCCAAGTGCTGCTGGACGAACCATCCATGGGCATGGATCCCAAGACCAAGCGCTTCATGTGGTGAGAGCGAGCTTGGGTTTATTTAAATGCGTGCACGCGTTTGTGCATGCGTGTCCATTTCTTTATGGACTTACCTGTGTATTCACCTACATGTGTGTATGCGTGCCTGCGTGCATGTACTTACGTGTGTACGTGTACATGTGTGTATTTGTACGTGTGAGTACATGTACATGTGTATACGTATACGTGTGTGTACGTGTGTGTCGCCTGCGGAAATGTGTTATTTTTCCTCCATGAGTTTGCGGTGAGAACCTATGTGTGTGCGTGTGTGTGTGTGCGCGTGTGTGCGTGTGTGTGTGTGCGTAGCGGGTAGCGTGGTGCACTACGAATCCGGCAACCCGAGTTCAGTTCCCGCTCAACAGCAGCGATGATTATCTGAACCTGTCCGAGGCCTCTCCTAGGACGACTCAGCCTCAAATGAGTACCTGGTGCGGTGTGTAAACATCGCCACTAGGGAGACAAAGGCGGTCGGGCGTGGTGTTGGCCACCCAACCACCTCATGTGCCGTGCCAGCCTTCATAGGTGCTCGCTAACAGCACTTGCCCTAACAGTCTATTAAAGGCTATACGGGGGATCTGTGTGTGCGTGCATGAATGTGTGTGTGTGTGTGTGTATGTGTCTGCGTGTGCTTGTACGCGTGTGTGTGCGCGTGCATGCATGTGTGTGTGTGTATGTGTCTGCGTGTGCTTGTACGCGTGTGTTTGCATGTGCATGCATGTGTGTGTGTATGTGTCTGCGTGTGCTTGTACGCGTGTGTGTGCGCGTGCATGCATGTGTGTGTGTGTATGTGTCTGCGTGTGCTTGTACGCGTGTGTTTGCACGTGCATGCATGTGTGTGTGTATGTGTCTGCGTGTGCTTGTACGCGTGTGTGTGCGCGTGCGTGCATGTGTGTATGTGTCTGCGTGTGCTTGTAAGCGTGTGTGTGCGCGTGCGTGCATGTGTGTATGTGTCTGCGTGTGCTTGTACGCGTGTGTGTACGTGCGTGTGTGTACGTGCGTGTGTGCGCGCACGTCGCTGCGCCCAGGAGAGCGATCGGCGCTGCATTCCGGAGCAGCCAGCGCGGCGCGGTCCTCACCACGCACTACATGGAGGAGGCAGAGGCGCTGTGCCACCGCGTCGCCATCGTGGTGGCCGGCCGCCTCCGGTGAGCCTGGCGAGGCCCCCCAAACGCAGGCACCTCACCACACGTCGCCCGCACCGCGCCTCGCCTCGCTGTGCCTATTCACGCCACGCAGCTCCACTCTCCTCACCTAGACATGCCTAGGCCACACTGCACCTCCCCTCACCTAGTTAGGCCACACCTCACCTTCCTATGCTATGCCACAGCAGACTGCACCCCATCTCGCCGTGCTATTCCTCACCACACTTCGCCTTGCCATGGCACGCCACACAACACCTCACTGCATCACGCAGCACCGCACCGTAGTCGTGGCAATGATCACGATTAATGTTGTTGACAGAGCTACTCTCCTGTGCACCAGGGCCTCACAGAACCGTTGTACATCATATCTCAACTCAAACACGTTTTTGAAAGGGCACCCCCAGTAGTAGCTGTCTCTGGGCACAGGTTTACTCGGCCAACGGGCATTCGTCTGCCAGCAAGGGGCGACGATTGTTGCTGTGTTACGCCACTTGAGTAACTGGCGGTGTCATTTTAGAATTTGGCAAAGTCTCACGTCACCGCCACGTCACCGCCACGTCACACCTCTCCCCTTTGCCCCCAACCTCCCGCGTCCCACCACACCCCCGCAGGTGCCTTGGTTCGATCCAACACCTGAAGAGTAAGTACGGTGGGTGCTACCACCTGGAGGTGAAGGTCGGGGAGGCTACGGTGACCGGCGTGTCGCTGGAGCAACGCGTGGCCGAGGTGCAGGCTCACCTGGCGAGCAGCTTCCCCGGGGCCTCGCTTCAAGATGGGTGAGTGCTGCACGTTACACTCGCGCACATAGACAAAGATCCCCCATATAGTCTCGACAGACTATTGCGGGCAAGTGCTGTGGGCGAGCACCTGTGAAGGCCGGCGCAGCACACGAAGGGGGTGGGTGGCCAGTACCACGCCGAGCCACCTTTGTCTTCCCAGTGCCGGTATTTTTTTTTGTGTTCAGCTTGTTGTCTTTCCCCCGCACATCTAATGAGCACGGTTGGCTACGTACGGTGCGAAAGAAGTTCAACATACACACATACACATCACACCAGGTATTCGGTTTAAGGGCGAGTTTAAATAATGCATGTGCAGGATTCGATTCTGATATCAGTCACCACTGATTTTACATTTATTCTCTTCTATTCTTGCGTGTAATGGCAATATGTTCGGGAGCTAAATGCTAATGTTGAGGTCTGCTGGCTATGATGAGAGGGCTTCAAAAGAGAGTTGGTGTCGGTTTGCTATTCCTCTCCTCCATTGAAGCAGCACAAAAACAAACCGTGGTTTACAATATGGTAGCCTCCTCTAGGCCTCGGCAAGGTAAGGTAATTTACCTTTTTTACCGGGTAAAAGGGTAAAGGTGAAGGGTAAAGGTGTCGACATGCCAAGGGGTAAGGTAAAGGGTAGGGTAAAGGTAGCTCTGAAGAATTACCCGGTAGGGTAAAGGTAGCGCGAAGTATTAACCCGGTAAATACGGTACCTTGTTTACCGCTAAAAGCTCCGTGGCACAGTCCGTGGCCGCCATTTAATAAGTAATATTTTTTTTAAACTTTTTTAAAAACACGCTTTTATGAAATGTACAAGTAATGGCAGAAGTCCACGACTCCAGGAAGTGGACCCGAGTTTGCCATAACATAAGGGACCTTGGGCAATTACAGCCAACGTCAGTTGGCCGTGGGCAGTTCGACCCAATCCGAAACATAACATATAAAAAATAATGTTCAAAAATGTTTTTATTTTATTTTTAATGATAGAATATAGTATTGTCATAAGTATGACATAAGTATACCAAGTTTGCAGTCGATACCACATTGGGAAGTGGGTAACAATTGTGTTACAAGATTTGAGGATACAACAACGACAACAACAGACACTGAGTTAAAAGAAAGCGTGTAAAATTGGAATCATTGAGAGTATTCTATATGATTAAAGCGCTCTACCTAGCATTTACCTGCATGTGTAGTAGTACCCCAGTAATTACCCTGTAATCGGGTAATTTGTATGGGGTAAGGGTAAAAGGTCGGGTAAAGGTAGGCTCGTTGCTTTTAACCTTTAACCTTACCTGCTGAAGGGTAAAAGGTAGGGTACAGTGATTGTATTGTGGTAAGGTAAAAGGTAGGGTAAAGGTAGGCTCGTTGTTTTTACCTTTTACCTTACCTTGCCGAGGCCTAGCCTCCTCATGTTGGTTTACCATGGTTTGCCATATACAGTCTGTTCTATAACGGGGTAGTTACGTTCCTGAAGAGTACCGTGTTATGGAAAAATCTCGTTATAATAAATACTATATAATATAGGGATAAAGCACAGTCCGCGATAACACCGTGAGAAGCGTACGCAGGTTGAACAAAGACTGAGGCGCGTGGGTAGCATCTAGAAGCATCCAGCAGCATCCCGCCTTGTGAGGATGCTTCGCCGAGGCAGCCGCACAACAGCTTATTCCTGCTCGCGCGACGTAGTTCCGTTCACTCAATCGCGTTACATCCCAATTTGCGTTATTTAAAAAAAAGTGTTCCCCAATACATTCATCGCGTTATATCCCATTCGCGTTATGAAAAACAAACACGCGCTATCGGGGAACAGATAAAAGTAGCCTTCTGACGGTGGCTCACCCTTGACCTGTTTTCGTGTGTACCTCAAACACAGCTGACAACGATCCTGTAGGACGCTGCAGGGTGGCTAGACGGACGTGGTTTATTCAAATCCAGATACGGGTTTCCCGTGAAACGACCGCGTGCCGTGTGCCCAGGTTTGCCGGGAGGCTGGTGTACAAGGTGCCGCGTGAGCACGTGGGATCGCTGGCCGAGGTGTTCAACAAGCTGGAGAAAGGTGAGGAGCTTGCGCCGGGCAGCCACCACTCGATGGGAGCTTGCTCCACCTCTCCTGCCACGGTGGCTAGGAGATGTTAACTACCTCGCCTGGTATGCAGGAGGTTCGTGGGATCGATCCCGACCCTGACGATGCCTGCTGTGTATTTGGAGTTTGCGTGTCTCTCTCCCCGTGGCCGCGTGGATTTTTCTCCGGGTCAGTCTGGTTTTCCCTCCATATTTAGAATGAACGTCACGCGTTGTAGAGTATTTGGCTGCAATAAATGTCCACACGATGATAAGCCACTCCGTTTGTGATAGCCAGGTCGCTTCTTAAAAAGAGCTACACAGCTCAGTGGGCCTCAACTGGTAAAATGAAAAAATAGTAAAGAGTTATAGTCCTCCTCCATGTCTACAACTGCCTCACCCTGTCGACTGACACTGCTGAGACCTTGATCCTTGTTCAGAACCAAGCCTTCTCTCCTGCATATTGGCCCACGAGCCATGGGGGGGGGGGGGGGGGCGCGGGGGTTGGTCTGTACCACTTGGGGGTGGCAGACGCTACCCGTGTCCCCCACGGGCACTGTCCACCATGGGCGTTGATGGGCAATGTCCCCCTCTATGCAGTGTCCCCAATGGGCATGGACGTGGCTATTGAGTGCACAGGCAGTGCACTTGCACCGCTGCCAAAGAGGGTGGGGGGGGGGGGAGGAGGGCCCAGGCGCCGGGCTACGAAGAGGAGGGGGGGCGCACCTCGCCCCCCCCATTTAATTATTCGCACCAGGGGGCTAATGCCAACCACGCTGCGCCGCCGTGATGTGCACGGAGAAAATCCGCGCGCACGTGGAGAACGCACTGAAAAACCAGCGAGGCTTGATCTACAGGAATCGAAAAAAAACCTTGCTAAACAACACGCGGCCTATTTTTGGCCGTGTGTGGGTGTGTGTGCGTACAGTGTGCGGGGAGCGGCAGTGTAGCGGTTAGCACACTGCGCTAGGAACCCAGCGACTCGAGTTGGATTCCCGCTCACGACAGATAACATTCGAACCGATCCTGGGCTTCCTCTACGTCGACTCAGCCTCAAATGAGTACCTGGTGCGGTGTGTAAACATCGTCACTCTGGAGACAAAGGCGGCCGGGCGTGGTGCTGGCAATCCACCCCCTCGTGTGCCGTGCCAGCCTTCATAGGTGCTCTCTAATAGCTCATGCCCCAACAGTCTGTTCAGACTACACACGGGGGATATTTGTTTTTGTGTGTATAGATGCATATGTAGGCAAGTAGCGGTATAGTGGTTAGCACGCTACGCTACAAGCCCTGTGTCCAACATCAATGGCAAATATCTGAACTGGTGCTGTGCCTCCGCTAGGTCAACTAAGCCTTACTTGGTTCTATGTGTAAACAGCTGCACTGGGGAGACAAAGATGGCCAGGCGTGGTTCTGGTCATACCACCACCGCCTTATGCATCGTGCTGGTCTTCGCAGATGCTCGCTAATAACACTTGTCCCTTTGGAAGGCTATATGGGGGATCTTTGTTTATTGTGTGGGTTTGTGTACAGATATGTGTATTTGTATATGTTTTTGTGAGTATATAGGCCTATCAAAATTAATTTGGATTTCAAGAGTTGACCGTGCATAATGCAGTTTGCAAAAAAAACTTACTTTCACACATATACACGGACACACGCAATGACACGCGCGCGCAAACACAAGGACAAATACACGCACACACGCACACATGTACAGGTTAGGGTGATGCTGCCTGCACCTCACCCAATTACCTGGCTCACCAGTGTTGCACACGCCACACCATGGACGCATTTAAGGTTGAGTCTACCTAGGGGAGGTCCAGGACCGGTTCGGATACCACATGCCATCGACGTTAACCGTGGTCCGACACTGCAAAGCACGTTGCTGGGTTTAGTGTGCAATCCACTAACCACTGTGCCACCACAAAGACAAAGATCCCCCATGTAGCCTTAACAGGCTGTTGGGGCAAGTGCTGTTAGCGAGCACCTATGAAGACTGGTACGGCACACATGGGGGTGTGTAGCCAGCACCACGCCCGACTGCCTTTGCCTACCCGTTTTGCGTTGTTTACGCACCGCACCAGGTACACTTGAGTCCGAGTTGACCTAGGGGAGGCCCAGGACCAGTTCAGATAATCGTCACTGGGTGTTGGCGGTGAGCGGGAATCGAACTTGGGTTCGTAACGCAATGCACTAACCGTGGTCAAACACTGCAAGCACATTGCTGGGTTCGTGGCACAGTGCACTAACCACGATCACGTACACACACACGCACTCACAGTATACTCGGGCACACACACATCCAATTGCATACAGCTTAACATCAACCTCAAAATGTACATGTGCAGTCATTTATCAATCCACTGGTGGATGAGGGTGGCCCTACGATATATCAGTCCATGAGGGTTATATGACCATACGTCACCATGCTGGTGAAGTACCGAGGAGCATAGATGTAGGAGCATAGAAGAAGTACATTTCACTGCAATATATTTTGCTGCGCCGTCCTCTGCTGCCCCTTAAGCTATCCTCTCCGCAGCCTACATAACATCTATTGTGCATGATAATCGCTCATCCAAACACTACCCGGTCTGAACCCTGCTTAGCTGCCGATTATCTGACCAGAATCAGGTGCATTGTGGGTAATTTTATCAAAGGCCTGACCTCAAAATAGCAGAAGTCAAGTCATTTTCGTCCTGGTCTGGGGTTAACAGACGTTCCGCCTTTGGAGCTATTTTTGAGTCAATCATGCATTTCCCAATAACCCTTGTATTTCCAGAAAATACAGATGCCACAGTGCATTTTGGGTTTCCTCCCCAGCATCTTCCTCAGTCCTCTTATCACCACCTTTGATTGGTGCCACGGATTAAAACAATCGTGACGTGGCACGGTAATTTAACGTGGCTTTGCGCCAGCTAAAGATACATCACCTGGTGCCACGTGACGTCAATTTGCAAGAAGAGCATGGACGGGATGTGATGAGGCAAGAACTTAATATTACTTCTTGTGCCATCACATCCATAAACATGTTTCAAATCATCTGACAAATTTTTTGTTCGGACTTTTATCCTCATTAATCCTAAAATGGTGAACGCATCACTACGCCCTAAATTATCCGGATATGCGTCTTCAGTCAGAGCAGTTAGTCTCATCTTGTCATCGCCAGCCACCCTTTGATCTTTGGTGGGCAGCATTCATCGGCGTCATTAGCACTTCATCCACTCCGAGCGTAAAAACAAAACGGGCACAAAATCCATGCTGTACCACCTCTATAAACTATTAAAGCATTGTTTATTTTCCCAGATAAGGCACACTGATCTGTGCAGCTCATGTTTAGAAGCGACCTGGCCACAAATGATAGCTCAAAGTGGCTTATCAAGTAGAAATGTACAGCAGTCAAATACTCTAAACGCACGTTTCTAAATGTGCAGGGAGAAACCGGTAGGGCCCGGAGAAAAATCCTACGCGACCGCGGGGAAAGAGACGTGCAAACTCCAAATATACAGCGGGCGTCAGGATCGGGATTGAACCCACGACCCCATGTATACCAGGCGAGGTAGTTAACATCTCGCCACTTGCGGCACCTTTGAGCGTTGTGGGTCCACCGCAGCGGTTCCCGGACCCCCTGTGGTACGCAAGTACCCCCCTGGCTGGTGACGTGTGACTTCTCTCATCATCGCCAGCCACGCTTTGATCTTTGGTGGGCAGCAGCAGCAGCAGCAGCAGCAGTCGTCGTCGTCATTTCATCCACTCCAAGCCGTCGTTGAGTTAAATAAGAAGGCACGACAGAAATATTTTCGTCAAGTAATTTTGCGTAAGAAAAAAAAACGCACGCAAAAAGGAAAACCCATCGCGCCGTGGAATCCGTGCCGGACCGCCTCTGTCGACCTTTGAGCGTTGTGGGTCCACCACAGCGGTTCCCGACCCCCCCTGTGGTACGTAAGTACCCCCCTGGCTGGTGACGTCTCTGGGGGGGGGGGGGGGGGTGAGTACGCGAGACCTTTCACGCATTGTCGGTGGCCAGGCGGGGCACAGTTTTGTGTGTGGGGTTACTAGGCGCGCCGTTGCGAGTGTGTGTGTGTGTGCGCTCGTGCGTGTGTGCGCTCGAGCGACTGAGCAACAGCGATGCGAGCTCCAGTTTTTGACGACTCGACGATGCCGAATGTAACCTCCCGGCGAAACGTCGGCACCCGTTTATAAACGTCGTCGCGAGATCTCCCTCCAACAAAAACAACAACACCACCGGTGGTGCTTCTGCAACGGTGATATACAATTGGCTACGTTTGAGTCACGTGACAATTTGATTAATTGGCCGCGTCGGGTGGAGGAGGGTTTACGACACACATTTCTAAGCGAACTTAACCCAAACAAAAACTGTTGTGAATTTCTGTGAGGAAATCAAATTTTCTCCGTTGTATGTAATCGGATTCCTCCAGTATAAATAAAGATTCTGAATTTGGAAATCCACACGCTCTGCTCAGGCCCTTCCCTCCACTCGGTCGTTGTTTCACATTCATTTTACATTGGTTTGCAAATCAACAAGATCAATTATTTTTCGATTTAAAGCTTTCGTGACTGCATGGATTCATATTCTTGGTTCTTTCGGTAAAGTCACGTAGAAGGGAAATAATAAAATAACAATACAATTCTTTATTTTATTATTCTCTTCTACGTGACTTTACCGAAAGAAGCAAGAATAAGATAAATTATTGTTATTCTCTTTAGGGCCGTATTGGAAAATGTCTTCATCGTTTTCAATGCAATGGAAATCAGTTGGAAATATTCCACCCCCACTAACCAGTGTGGTGAAGTATGGTCAAACAGCCCCCAAATATTTAATTGGTATTCACGTATGAAGTGCTAAACAAATGGCCTAAGTGTTGATTGCGTGTAAATATTAATAAAATGCGGCAATTATTCCGTTTTATAAATGGGGCATGGAGATGCGCGCTTGGAATTCCGCTGAGACACAGAAAGGAGAATGCGTGGCTTATTGAGGAGCCATCATCACATTGCTTAACGACGATGTCGTTCAGAAGAGAGGGAGGGTGAAGGGGGGGTTGTGAATAGTGGTGGTGAAGAATAACAACGCAGCATCAGCCAAGGAATGGAACTCATCCGAGAACGCGTCCACGGACGGAGATGGAGCGATTTACAAATGACTTAGTTTAATACGTAGGCTTTCGCGAACAATATTATACATAATCGAGGTTGTTTTGGGTTTGATTGCGTGAATATGAATGTGTGTCATTAAACCCGCCACCACCCGACACAGCCAATTAGTAAGGTTTGTCACGTAAACCAAAACGTGCCAATGAGTTACTCGTTCAGCACACACCATTGTGTTGGAGACGGAACCCACAACATGTACAATTTGAGTACGACGTTTCGCCAGCAAGTACAACCAGCCTCATCAGCTCATCAGGCGATAGCCAGAATTGTGGAGAAATCTTCCTGTTTCGGTCTTATACATTACGTACTTCGGGGGGGAAAAACACGTAGCGATCAACACCCCCCTCCCCCCCCTTGTACAAGCAAAACTTAGCAGGACCCTCATGCAAAAATAGTCTTGGGACCCAGTGAGCCTTTCCTCGGTAAGTAAACAAGCGTAGTAGTAATTAAAATAATATCATTCCGGTTGCCTTTTCCTTAATTAAATCGGTGTTTGCCAGGAGCCCTCGCCAGGACGGCGTGCATTGGCCGAAGTGGCGGGGGGGGGGGGGGTGAGGATGGAGCGGGGGGTCTGCGTATTCCGGCTGGTGTTGGTACAAACGGCACGGGCGCAGAATACCAATTCGGCGGCACGATGAGGCCGAGGGCAGCAGAGGGGCCTAGGAAGGATCGTCACCGAAATGGAACTAAATCCAATAAGGCGACAGAACGCACACCGACTCACCCCGTCCCCTGATAACTTGCTCCCCCCACCCCGCATCGACTCCCAATATTGGATTCGTGTGCGCTTGGCCGGGGTGGCTTAGTGGGGGGTGGTGAACGCGGGTTCAGGGCCACTGGGCCGGCGCCGCTCACAATCCTGGGTTTGAATGTGGGGAGGTGTTGGCCTCACGGCCGTCGTTTTAAATGGGAGTCTCTCGAGTGTAGTGGCGGACAGTTGATGGTCTCCGCCCGGTCACCAATGTCTTGCGCAGAGACCCACAGACTCGCGTAGACCCAGCTGTCATTAAACTGGGTTCTCAACTGGAGCGGCCAGTTAATGGTCTCAGCCCGGCTACCAATGACTTACGCGGATACCCCCATATACTTGCGTAGAGAACCGCAGGCTCGCATAGACGGAGTTGTGATGAAATTGGGTTCTCAACTGGTCTGAGTCCGGTCACCAGTGACTGACCTAGGCATCCATCGACTTGCGTAGCGACCCATAGACGTGACTGCGTAGTCCACGGTTTGCGATATATATTTACATAGATTAACATAGATACCCACAGACTTGTATAGAAATCCATAGACTTACGCAGAGATCCATTGACTTAGAGTGCTGTTGTTATGTGGTCAATCGTTTGAGAGCGGTGACCCACAATCACACTGGGAGCTGTTACAAGTTGTCTAGCGGCGTAGGAGATCGCCGCATCTCTCATGCAGTGTTCTGTTGGATTAGAACAAAAACAATTTAAGATCTGCACACAAATGTCACGTCGGCGACAGGGGAATAATAATTTTAAAAATGTGTCTCTCATGTTTGCATCTCCAACTCTCCCCACCACCACTACCACCCCTCAGCCAAGCTGGAGCTCGGGGTGGAGGAGTACAGCTTTTCACAGGCAACACTGGAGCAGGTGAGATACACACACACACAAAGACAAAGATCCTCCGTATAGCCTTAACAGACTGTCGGGACAAGTGCTGCTAGCGAGCACCTATGAAGGCCGGCACGGCACACGAGGGGGCGGGTGGCCAGCTCCACGCCCGGCCACCTTTGTCTCCCAAGTGGCGATGTTTACTACACACCGCACCAGGCACTCATTTCAGGTTGAGTCGACCCAGGGGAGGCCCAGGTCCGATTCAGATCATCGTCAACGACATTGGCCGTGAGCGGGAAATCAAATTCGGGTCGGCGGGTTCGTAACAGGGCGTGCACTAACCGCTGCTCTCCCGCTACCCCACCCCTCCACGTTACATCACGCACACACACGTATGCACGCATGCACATATGCACACGCACGCATGCGCGCGCACGCGTGTGTATGTGCGTACAGGTGTTCGTGGAGTTCGTGAAGGAGCAGAGCGACACCCATTTGCTCCTGGAGCCGGGCGAGGCGGAGGAGGTGCGGTGGAGCGACACGAGCCGGGCGTGACGGAGCCGGGAACGGCTCGACGATCGCCAGGACTCGCGGCAGGCAGCTCGGTGGCGTAGCGCGGTTGGCGTTGGGCCCCTGTTGCAAGGAATCAAATGGGGGTTGGGGGGGGGGCAGGCAGTGCAAGTTGCACCGCCTGCGACCCTCCCCGATAGCTACCCCTCGAGATACTTCAATACGAAAGGGCCTTTTTAAAACACGAGGTTGTTATTATTGCTACACCCACTGCGTCGCCTCCGGAATGCACTTGGACCTTGATGGTGGTTGGAGCGGGTGGGACGGACGCTGCTGCCCGTGCGAGCCGGGCCACCATCGTCCGCGCTCGCACCTCCCGCTCCTCCTCCTGCCCGCGCCGTGGTGACTGTGGGTTTTCGCAGAGGCTGGATACTGCCGCCCGGGTTCTGTCGGCCTCGGTTTGACGGCACGCGCCGTGGAGTCTCCGGGTTGAGAGGGAGCACGTGGCGGTGGCAGTGGCTGCGTCGTCGGCTCCGTCCTAAGCCAGACAGAAAACTTGAATCTTCATCCCCCTCCGTCCGTGAATCCCTGCCTACTTTTAACATAGCCACACCTATTAGCTCACTAGCCCGCCCAACAGAGCAAGTGGCCTCATCATTCTCACCTATGTTAGCTCCCCCTGCATCCTGCTCATAGCCCCCCCCCTCCCCGGCCTACTCCGATGGGGCCACCCTCTCTCTGCCTGCATTATGAGTCGAGCACGAGGCCAGGAAATTTTTAACTGGGGGCAAAAGCTCCGAAAATTGCGTTCCAAAAAGCATTGAGGGCCAGCGACGGTCTCGGTTGGGCTGGGGGCTGATCCAGTCTGGATTGAAGGTTCTTGTGTTTATCTGCTTCTAAGAGTAGGGGTGAGGGGGTGGCGAGGGGGGACCGTGGTTGGTCGGTTCATGCCCGGTGCCTTTTGTAATCAGCACCTTGCCACCGATGAATCGGACACATCGGGGTAGGGCACTGGCTGCGAGGCGTCAATACCCTCAACCCAGGGCTTCGTTTCTCACTCTGTATTTCCCGGCTCGCTGCTGTACCGAGAAGCAGGCTTGGCAGACCCAGCCAATTGAATCCCTCGACTCCACCGACCCCACACGCATCGGTAGCTGCTGCACCGCGAACACACGGTCACCGGCTCGAACCACCGCTTCCCACGTACACGAAGTCACGCGCATGCACGCGAGGCGGCGGCGCAGCGGTTGGGCGCGCTGCGCTTACGAACCCGGCGACCCCGAGTTCGATTCCCGCTCACGGTCTCAAATGAGTACCCGGTGCGGTGTGCAAACATCGCCGCTTAGGGGAGACAAAGGCGGTCGGGCGTGGTGTTTGGCCACACTCGCCCCTCGTGTGCTGTCCCGGGATTAATAGGTACTCGCGAAACAGCGGTCGCCCCACAAAGTTCTGTTAAAGGCTATACGGGGGATCGTTGTCTTTGTACATATATATGAAATAGAGCCGTGTGTAGAATGCTGCATGTTTAAAGGGGATCCTGCAACATATTCGTTAAGTGATCAATCCACTGCTGGATGAAGGCCCTCCCCTAGCCGTCGCCGTCCCTCCTCAGCGTCTCCTCGGTGCGGCGTGCCCCCACCCTGCGTCTGGACACGTGAGCGGATTCGATCGCTCCGTCTCCCGCGTGCGTGGGGGCATCCTCACGTACGCACTGCTCCCTGTGCTTCCGTCTCCCCCGTTTAGCGAGGAAGTGTCATTCCCACTCCCCCCCCTTCCCCCCTCTCGAGCCCGCTACCCTCCCCCACACAGCCCGGACGATGCACTTGACTTGCGCTTCTTCTGTCATCGATCGAGTGAAATTAATCAAATAGAATTCCACTTTAAGAAGGTGGGATGGGGTGGTGGATCGAAGCCCCCCCCACCCCCATCACCCTGGCTATTTGATTAATTGTCGCATTTCAGGGTCCTTAATTCGATTCCAGAGTCAATTATTAGTTTTTAAATTGCAACGTGGCGCGGGGAGGCCTTCATCCAGCAGTGGACTGAACCTATTTATTAATATGCATGCACTGCACGAGAACAAAACACGGCAGGGGTAACGATTTATGGGCGTGGGAATTAATCAGACGTTTATGGCTTTCAAAAATCCTGGGTTTTGTTTGTCTCTTAATTATTTATTGCTGATTAAATGTTCATGAATAGCCTTACTGGTAATGATTTTGCACGGCACCGTGTCATCGATGCTCACCGGGCCGCTCTATGCAGCATCGGCGCGTCCTGGATTCACCCGAATCTGGCACCCTCTGCTCACTCGCTCTGTAATGTCCGAGTACCACGCAACCCACGCAACCCACACACTCGGAGGACCACGCAACTCACACGCGGGGGGGGGGGGGGGGCATGCAACCCACACACTCGGAGGACCACGCAACCCACATACGGGAGGGGGGGCACGCAGCCCACACACACGGGGGGGGGCACGCAACCCACACACGGGGGGGGGGGCAGGCAACCTGGTTGGGCTGGCGTGCAACGAACATTGCTCTCGTATACGGAGCGGGTTAGGCAGTGATGATGGGATCTCAGAGCTAGCTCTGTGATACCCACTTCCGCGGCGTCATTCTCCAACGCATAGGAATCGGGGGGGGGGAGGGTGGGGGATGAAGCCTCGATAATAATTTGTCTACATTGGCCCTCAAATGAGCCACAGTTCAGTATCTTCAGCTGTCAGAGACAAGTACTAGCGGGAGAAGTGGGACTGTGGGAGAGGCGTCACTTGCATGCCACCGGTACCCCTGGCTGCAGCTTTCACGCAGCTCGGCAGCGAGTCTGACATCGTCTGGCCGCCTGTCCCATGGGTCCACACATCCTGCAATCTGGCCTCACTGCAGACTGACGCTGGCTCAGGGTTTTTATCTGCCGCGGGCCAGTGTCAGACGACACCAGCGCAACTCACGCCACTGAGTCTTCTGACGGTGAGAACAATCAAAAACTGTACGACGATGATAACGACGCCAGCGACGCTGTGGATATTTGAGACGGCGGCCCAAGCAGACTGCAGCTAACGCTGCTGTGCTTCAGTTGACGAAATCCCTATCACACGTAACCTGTTCGACTGGGTTCAGTCGGCGTTTGAACCTAGCGGACACGAGACAAACTTTTTAAAGGTAGACAACTTAATTATTTAATGCAGCCGGCGGTGGACTATCTGTTTGCTTAAACACGTTAATGTTAAGCCGGTTGTGCGTTAAATCTTAAAGCTTTCGTGACTGCAGGAATTCATATTCTTGGGTCTCTCGGTTAAAGTCACGTAGATAGGTTCAAAGAAAAATAACACAAAAAACTACGACGTTTCGATAGCAACACAAGCGGTCGCCTTCTTTCCTGAAGACGAACCGCATCTGCAGAACACGAAGAATGAAGGCATCGATTCCATTCCCCGTCCTGAATATCGCTTTTTTTAGGTTCTATCGCGTAAATACAAATGTGTCGTTCAACCCGCTTCCCACCCGGTGTGCTGTACTAGTGACGAATTGGCACGTTATGTTTATGTGTTCCAACATTGCCGATTGGCTGTGCCGCGTGGTGGCGGGTTTTAACGACACATTTATATTTATGCGATTTAACCCAAAAAAAAAACCCTGTGTTACGGATGATATTGGTCGCAAAAGCCTACTACGTCTTAAACAGCAATTCCCCCGTGTTTAGTGTGCACGCCGTAACGACGTGTTTGGAATCGACAGGAGTAAACGTTGAACTTGGGAACAAATCGACTTACGAACAGTCACCTCTGGAACCGAACGCGTTCGTAAGTATAGGCGTCCCTGTAATCGTGTTCCGTGTTCCGTCGCTGCTCACACGCCCCGATCATGGCGAGTGACGGACTGCTCAGCGAGGCGCGTCGCTCACAGCGTCGCTTCCGAAAAGTAATCACGCGAGCTCCACTCACTCCACACTTCCACTTTTTATTTTTTTGTGGTGGAAAAAAAAAAGTATTTCGTATGGGGTGGGGGGGGGGAGCGGTTGCGAGCTGGTGGGTCACCCCCGGCCAAGATTCCCCCCCCCACCCAGGCCACCTCCAACCAGCCTCGCTACCGACTTCCTTCGTTGGTTCCATACTCTGCTTGACTCTCACCACGTTCTCAACTCTCAACGACTACCACCACCCACCACCACTGCTCTCCACCACCCACAAATTATCTCCACCACCACTGGTCACCACCATTGCTCTCCACCACCACTACCAACCCAATGTTCTCCACCACCGCTTCTCTCCACAACCACCACCGCTCTAAACAACCACCACCGCTCTAAACAACCACCACCGCTGCTCTCCATAACCACCACCAACTTCTCTCCATCACCACCACCAACCTCTAACTTCCTCCTTCACAAGCACCTCCCCTCTCGCTTCCCGAAACGGGGCGAGGGCTCTGGTGCTTGCGGCTAATTGCGATCCAGGAAGCACGTGGCTGAGCACGCAGGTGCAGCGTATGTACACAAAGACAAAGATCACCCGTATAGCCTTTGGCAGACTGTTGGGGCAAGTGCTGTTCGCACGTAGCACCTAGTGAGGCACACGCGGGGGTGGGTGGTCAAACACCATGCCCGGCCGCCTTTGTTTCCACTCGCCCCAGTGCTCATCGAACTCGGGTCACCGGGTTCGTAGCACAACGCCCTAACCGCTGCACCACCGCTCCCCCCCCCCCCCACACAAATTAATGCAAAGACAACGATCCCCCATGTAGCCTTAACAGACTGTTGGGGCAAGTGCTGTTAGCGAGGAGCACCTATGAAGGCGGGAATGGCACACGAGGGGGTGGGTGGCCAGCACCACACGCGGTCGCCTTTGTGTCCCCAGTGGCGATGTTTACACACCTCACCAGGCACTCATTTGAGGCTGAGTCGACCTAGGAGAGGCCCGGACCGGTTCAGATAATCGTCGCTGCTGTTGGCCGTGAGCGGTAATTGAACTCGGGTCGCCGGATTCGTAGCGCAGCGCGCTACCCGTTACGCACACACAATGGCGAATGCCGGCGGGCATTCGCCGGCATTCGCCACTAAGTGGCGGTGACGTCACCACGATGCTTGTGCCAGGCCATGTGCACCTTGAGGCCACGTGAAGTGTCGAACGCCCGCCGGTAGGTCATGGGGCAGACCCAAGTGCCACGGGTCGACTGACTAAGATGACTGAGATGGCTGGCTGATGCACCACCTGTGTCCCCCTACTGTGCCAACCTGCTGTGCTTTAGCCACCCGGCGCTCCGCTCGTTGTTCTGAGCGTCGCTCCTCCGCCCTCCGTTGTTGTTGGAGGGCGACTGCCTCCAACTGCCCAGCAGCGTCCTTCACGAGCCTCCTCCACAGAGGCCGATCTTAACACCGCTGGTACCAGTCATCGGCAAGTCCACTCAGCTCCACGTACTCCTGTACCACATCACTCCATCTCTTCTCTAGCTCGTGCCGCGCCAGTTTATCCCCCTCGATCCGGCCGAACAAAAGCTGTTTCGGCATGCGGGCTACAAGACCCAGCCATGCACACACATATGCACACACACATGCAACAACAACAACCGCCATTCGCCACTAAGTGGCGGTGACATCACCACGACGCTTGTGCCAGGCCATGTGCACCTTGAGGCCAGGTGAAGTGTCGAACGCCCGCTGGCAGGAGTGCCACGGGTCGACTAAGATGACAGATGACTGGCTGATGCACCACCATGCACATGCACACAAAAGACAAAGATCCCCCATATAGCCTTAACAGACTGTAGGGGCAAGTGCTGTTAGCGAGCACCTATGAAGGCCGGAACGGTACACGAGGGGGTGGGTGACCAGCACCACGCCCGACCGCCTTTGTCTCTCTAGTGGAAATGTTTACACACCGCACCAGGTACACATTTGAGGCTGAGTCGACCTAGGGGAGGCCCGGGACCGGTTCAGATAATCGTCACAGGTGTTGGCCGTGAGCAGGAATCGAACCCGGGTCGCCAGGTTCATAGCGCGGTGCGCTAACCGCTACACCACCGCTCGCCACATACACATGCACACACACATGCACACGCACATGCACACACACATGCACACACACATGCACACACACATGCACACACACATGCACACACACATGCACACACACATGCACACACACACATGCACACACACATGCACACACACATGCACACACACATGCACACACACATGCACACACACATGCACACACACATGCACACACACATGCACACACACATGCACACACACATGCACATAGGTTCTCACCGCAAACTCATGGAGGAAAAATAACGCATTTCCGCAGGCGAAAGCATACATTTACACACGTCCACACATTTACACACGCACCGCAGCATCAGCTGAAGCGTCAGCCGCCGCTTGTTCGCTCTCTCACCACACACGCACACAACCCATCAGTCTCTCGCTCACGTAATCACACTCCCTCGCACGCGCGCGCACACACACTCACACTGTGGCACGCTCGTTCACACACACACACGTACACCATCTCATACTCACACACCATCTCATACTCACACGCCATCTCATACTCACACACCATCTCATACACACCATCTCATACACACGCCATCTCATCCACACATACACACTCATACACACACCATCTCATATACACACACACCATCTCATACAAACACCCAAATCTCATACACACACAATCTCATACACACACAATCTCATACCCACACACACACCATCTCATACACACACACACCATCTCATACACACACACCATCTCATATACACACACACCATCTCATACCAACGCACACAATCTCATACTCACCATCTCATACCCACGTACACAATCTCATACCCACATACTCACCATTTCATACCCACATACACACACCATCTCATACACACACACACCATCTCATACACACACCATCTCATACACATACCATCTCATACACACATACCATCTCATACATCATCTCATACACATTGTAGCTCCCACACGATACCTCGCCCATACTCGCACAAAGGTCACCCGTGTAGCCTTTGTCAGCCTCTTGGGGCAAGTGCTGTGAGCGAGCGCCTCTAAAAGCCGGCACGGCCACACGGAGGAGTGAGTCTCCCCAGCGGTGATGTGTTTACACGTCGCAGCAGCGACACATTTGAGGCCAAGTCGACCTAGGGGAAGGCAAGGAGCCGTTCATACATTCGCTG